TCTCGTCAGGAACGAAGTATAAAAATTTGGTAAGAAAGGACTTCTTCTCTGGTGCTCTTAAAAAAGAAGAAAAAAATGGTACAGTGGATATAACCAGAAATTAATAAGCAGGTTACCCTACGATGCAGCAGTTCTGCTTCAGGGTCTCTGCCTTAAGGCAGTGCGGGCAGGGCCTGGAGGAGACATTGCACCCTGTGCTCTTGGCAGCACCTTGCACAGAAGGCCAGAGGTGGAGGCAGCCCGTGTGTGGGTCCAGAGGCTGAATGATAAACAGAACGTGGCAGACACATGCAATGGGACATCATTCAGCTTTAAGAAGGAAGGAAGGGAATTCTGACACATGCTGTAACATGATGACATTTTGAGGACATTATGCTAAATGGGATAATGAGATACTGTGTGATTCCCTTTAGGTGCAGAACCCAGAGGCGCCAAGTTCACAGGGGTGGGAAGTTGAATGATGGTTGCCAGGGGCTGGGGGCTCAGGGGGATGGGGAGTTACCACTTCAGGGGATGAGTGTTAGTTTGGCAGGAGGAAGGGTCACGGAGATGGCTGGCAGGGGTGGCTGCCCAGTACTGTGAATGATCTTGACCCAACTTAAAAATGGTTAAGATGATCAATTTTATGTTATGCATATTCTGCCACAATTGAAAGAAACAGCTCCTTCTGCAAACCCCAGAAAGCTTACAGATTTTTTTCCCATGGGTTGTTCCACATGGTTCCCAGTGCCCCATGGGGCTGGTCCAGCCACCCTAGCCCTGGGCCTGCCCCCTCAGACCCAGAGCAGTCTCCATGTCTGTGCAGATCGTGTAGACTTGCTGTCATCATCCACTAGATCTGAAAGGAACTTACTTTCTAAACTGGTTCCCCCTCCTATGTCTGCTCTGCACATAGTGGCTTGTGCAGAGCCCGCAGTTCATGCTTCAGTCTCAGTGTAGACAGGCACCTTCTCTCCATAGTGCTGGGCCTTCTCTTGTCTTGCAATTATTCATGCTTGTTCTTAGCACCCTTTCTGAGATGTTGCCTGGAATGTGCTGAAATCCCTTTTAATTTTCTGACATTGCTTGCATTTATATCGAGGGCTGGCAAATTAAAACAGCCCGAGCTGCCTGGGATGGTGCTCCCGTTGTGAGCACAGCCCAGACGGTGCTCCCAGGGATCCCGGAGATGCGCTGACCAGCAGTGAGTTTCCATCTTGCTGGTGTTTCCTGGAGGGCTTCTCGGCTGCTTCTCAGGTAGTGGGGAGGCTTTAGAGCCGGCAGTGTGTCTAAATATAAACTGATTGAAACAGACCCTTAGGACTTCCCTTGGAAAGGTCATCTGGGAAAGTGGAGCTTTTGGCTTTTGTCAGTGATCCCACTTCACTTCCTCCACACGGACAGTGCGGTCATGTTCAGAAAATAGCAGGTCCAGGGTGAGGAGCACAGAGGAGCTGGCCGGCCCTGCGTGGCCTCCCCGCTCAGCACGGTTCTTGTGGACAGTCACCTTTCCCTGACCTGGATTCGGTCTTGTTTACAAAAGGAACAAAACAAAACAGCGAACCTGAGTTTTTGTCTCATTCATTTTGACAAAAGAAACTTTTGAAGTAAAGGAATGAATGGTGGGTCTCGACTGTTTAGAGGTTCAGTGGACTCGGCCACTTTCAGGCGTCAGTGGGGGAGACAAGTGTCCCTGCATCCCAGGTGCTGGCCTTGTTGGCCTGGAGGGTCTGTGCGAGGGCGTCAGGGCTGGCTCTCAGGTGGTGTGGCCTCTTATGTGGGACCAGGAGTAGGCTTCAGGGGTCAGGTTTCTGAAAGTTTTGGCAAAATTTGCATATGTGTTTTTCTGGGGAGAGGCTTCTCCAGCTCCGTTAGGGTCTCAAAGGGTTCCAAGTTACAAGCTCAGAAGATGTCATTGTCGCTGGCACCATCCCCTGATTGAAGCTGTTACCTGCAAGAGCAGTGTCATCTTTTGAATATTTCAGGAGGCCCATTAAAATGGAAGTGGATAACATGGGCCATTGCTACTCAAAAAGAAGTGGGGCCTTCCTGCTGGCATAGGGGTTAAAGACAGAGCTATCCAGCTATTGGCAGTCACTGCAGCACCAGTTCGATCCCTGGCCAGGGAGCAACCCACATGGTGCAGCAGACCTCTCCTGTCTTGCCCGCTGCTCCCCTCAGCAGTGTATTTCAGTAGATCTGCCTGGTTCTGCTCCCCACTCTTCTTTGGTGAATCCTCTCACCCTCCCGCACCTCTGGCCTGTACCCCAGCTCTTGTATGATTAAATAAATAAATCTTAAAAAAAATGCATCTTCCTTAAATCCTTGTTGAGACCCATAATCTTGGGGAAGGGAGTTGAGTGTAAGATTCTGGAGTCAGGCTTCTGGGTTCAATTCCGAGCTCTGTCCAGTAGTGACTGCGTGACCTTCAGCAAATTCTGTCATTGTGCCTCAGGTGAACTCGTATATAAAATGGGACAAGACTTCATAAGGTTGTTGTAAGGATTGCATGGTAGTGTAAAGAGTTCATGGTGACATGCAGGACATGGCAAGTGCTTGGAGAATATTAGTTATTATAGCAAAGCCAGGAGGTTGTCCTTGATGATATAAAAAGTAGTTAAAATACAACATCATGGTTTTGGTAGCAGAATGTGGTCAGCTCGATTTTTGTGTGCCTGTGTTGGTTGTTTTGTGCCTGTCTCCAGAAAGTCCCCTGTCTGCAGCATTTGTCTACTTGTGTGACGTTTCACAGCGGTTTTGGTGCATAAACATCATAGATGGTGGAAGAATACTGTCACATAGAAATCCTTATAGCAAAATAGGGCAGCCTGTGTTCTTGTCACAAAATAACTCCTCAGTGAGGTTCTTCCTAGTTGAAGACTCCCTGTGAACAGACTAAGCCGAGGAGAATCGCATCTGTCCTTTTTGTCTTTAGAACTATATTATTCAGTTTTCGATCCTCAATTTCTTTCTTTCTTTTTTTTTTTTTGGATCCTCCATTTCACCTAGAATATGGTTACTGAAAGCACGTTATCTGGGGTTTCACTTTGTGATTGACTTCTCTGTCATCCTTAGACTCCGGAGAGCTGTGATCTGCCTGTCTGCATTCATCTTCTGACTCACCTGGCACTTGTGAAATGTCTTCATGTGCTGGTTTTATTCTTTTGCCATAATAGGTGGAAAATGAATAAATATGAATGCTCAACTATAGTCCATGAAAGCGAAAGCAGAGGACCACAAAGAGCCCATCTTCAGACTTCTTTTCATACCTTCTTGAAAATGATGTAATACTTTGGGCAGTGCAATACAAAAACAGGAGGATGATGTTACATTGATGCGTTATTTCACTATTGCACCATCTTAGGTGATCTGTTGTTCTCCTGCTCTTTATTTAGCTTTCCTAAAAAATCATAGGAGGGATAATCGATGGGTAATGATGAAATAATTCCCCAAATGACAAAATGGCAAAATATTTCAAAATATTGGAAACATAAAATTACTAACATGGTGTTCTTGATTTTTAAGAGGGTCCAGTTGACTCATGGATATTTTATAAGGTAGGATGAGTTTTGGAAAACCTCCAAGAAAGGAAAAAGTTATGGTATTATAATCCTTACAATTCCAAACTAAGACTCCAAACTAATATTGAATTCGAAGGACTCTGATGTTATCCTAGGGGTTAATGATACTTTTTTTTAAAAGATTTATTTATTTGTGCACACAAGAACTGGGGTACAGAGGTGCGGGAGGGTGAGAGGATTCACCAGAGGCAGAGTGAGGAACAGAACAGGTAGATTGACTGAAATACACTGCTAAGGGGAGCAGTGGGTGAGTCAGGAGAGGCGTGCTGCACCATGTGGGTACCTCCCTGGCTGGGGATTGAACTTCTGCTGTGGTGGCTGCAGATAACTTTGTAGGTTGCAGTGTTATTTTTTATTTAAAAGAGGAAAAAGGGCCTCCCCGGTGGCGCAGCGGTAGAGTGCTGGGTTGCGAAGCTGCCCGCGGCCTATGCAGCGCCGGTTCGATCCCCGGCTGCTTCCCGGCCACCGGAGGAGGGTCCCACATGGCGTGCAGACCTCTCCTGCCGCCCGCTGCTCCCCTCAGCAGTGTACTTCGGTCCTTCTGCCTGCTCTGCTCCCCGCTCTGGCTCTGGTGAATTCTCTCACCCTCCCGCGCTTCTGACTGTACCCAGTGCATGTATAAACAAAACAAACAAGCAAACAAATAAATAAAGAAAAACATGCCTCTAAAAAAAAAAAAAAAAAAAAGAGGAAAAAAAAACAATAACAGAGTTACTGTTATCATACAGCAATATACCAAAACCTAAGAAATGATTTAGTTATATTCTCAGAAAGTCTATAATGATGGGAGAATACAATCACTATAGAATAATAAATTTAGAGAGCTTCATACAAAGATGTATATGTGTTTGAGGTCAGCTGTGTAAGAGATATACACAGAATCTTGGCAGCAAATACATAAACTGTGAGCAGCTCTCTTTCTGGATGATGACATGTGTTCTCTTTACATTTAATTATCTGTATGTTTATCTTCTAAAATCTAGAGCTGGCTTGTATTATTTTTAAACAAAACAGCTCGCTTTGTGATGTCGAAGCAAAGTCTTTCTTAATAACAGTTTTAAGATATTATTTATATACCATACAATTCACCCTCTTAAAGTCTCCCATTTGGTGGTTTTAGAATGTCTACCACAGCTGTACAACCATCCCCATAATCAACTTAAGACATTTCCATGACCCCAAGAGGAATTCTGTACCCATTAGCAGCTCCCCATCTCCCCAGCCCCCATCCTATGCCATCACCCCTCTCCTCTCTGTCTTTGTGGACCCCCTGTTGTGAGTGGAGCCACACACCTTTGCTGACTGCTTCTTCCACTCAGCATAATGTTTTTAAGGTAGAGCAAATCACTCTTGCCCTTCGGTTGCCTCTTTCTATTTAACCGTCATCTTAGCCCCTATTTATCGTGTGGTATAATGTATTTCTTTCCCCTTTACTTCCAGAATTGGTGCCTTCAATCATGAGCAACTTGTTGAATCCAGATGCTATTTTCTCAAATAATGAAATGAGCCTGTCGGACATTGAAATCTATGGCTTTGATTATGATTACACCTTGGTGTTTTATTCCAAGCACCTCCACACCCTGATATTTAATGCTGCCCGGGACCTTCTCATCAATGAACACCGGGTAAGAGTGCTGGGACATTTGTCCTCCTGCCTTCACCTAGATGTTGGACCAACAGCTGTGGACTGACCTGGCATCGGGCTGGGTGCATAGCATGTCATTTGGTCAGTTGCTGGTGGATGGGTGTGTGAACTTCTCATGACTCTATGTGGAAGATGGCTTTTTTTTCTTTTTAAAAGATTTATTTATTTTTATACAAGAGCTGGGGTACAGGCCAGAGTTGTCGGGGGGCAGGGGGTGGGGTTTGAGAGAATTCACCAGAGACAGAGCAGGGAGCAGAACAGGCAGAATGACTGAAATACACTGCTGAAGGGAGCAGCGGGTGAGATAGGAGAGGTCTGCCGTGCCATGTGGGAATCTCCCTGGCTGGCCGGGAATTGAACCCGCGCTGCAGAGGCTGCGGACAGCTTCACAGGGCGGTGCTCAACCTGTTGCACCACCAGGGAGGCCCTGGAAGATGGCTTTTTAAGAAAACAACCGCTTCACTGAGGTCTGATTGACACATAAGTGCTATGTGTATTTAATGTATATAATTCCTTGAGTTTGGGCATAAGAATACACCCATGAAACCATTACCAAGGTCATAAACTATCCATCACCTTCCAAAGTTTCCTCCTGCCCCCTTTGTTATTATTACTGTTGTGTGTGTGTGTGTGTGCACGTGTGGACATTTAACATGAGATACGTCCTCTTGGCAGATTGTGAGCATGCCACATGATATTGTCAGCTGTAGGCTCTGTGCTCTACAGTAGAGTTCCGGAGTTTGTTTACCTGCTTGCATACTTGAAACTGTGCCCATAAGACATTGTTTAACAATAAAACCTTTAACTCTCTCCTTGACAAAAGACTGTCCCAGATTATGCATTAGCAGAGACTCAGCTGGTAGAATTGCTGAGACCCTGTAATACAAGGAAGGAGGAAAAGGAACACTCATTCCCCGGGATCTCTGCCCTCGTCCAGATTGAGAACACATTTCAAGAGCCAGGATGAGAAGCCTGCCCGAGGTCGCCTGAACTGGGCCCTGGGAGAGCCCCCGCAGCATCCCAGGGAATGCAGCTTGTGTGGGACCCCCTAAGCCAATCGCTCAACTGGGCAGTTCTGTCTCCTGGAAAATTCTTCCTTGGTTGAACAATTCTGCCTTCACACAGCTGGATCTCTTCTTTTGTCTTCTTTTCACCTGACCCCTCAGCCTTTCTTGTGTTCCTCTCTTGTGTCACAGGCAAGAGGTGAATGTGTTTAGGACATGGCACTGCCCTTGAAGAACCACGTCTAGTGGGGGCAGGTAGATCATGAAGCCCCCAGAGGAGGCCTCTCCAGACCTGGACAGAGGGCTGGAAATGTGTAGGGGATGGTTGGAACAACCTTCTCTGTCTGAGGGAGTTGGGGAAACAACTAAGTAGGTGATATTTCAGTGGAGTCTGGAAGGAGTTTATTGGCAAAGATGGCCTGGGGGTGGGTTGAATGGGTGAGTGTGAGTAACCCAGAAGCCCAAATCTTGAAGGCTAATGTTTTATCATTTGAGTAATGGGCTGGGTGTTATATAGACCAGGCACACTGCTTTCAAGACCTCTGCTTTCCCCAGGCAGATCATTGTCAGTTCTTTCAGCCATTCTCTTTTCTAGTCTTTTTATCATCTTGAACCTCTTCCTCCAACTGTGTTCTAAAAAGAAGTTTTTTTCTTCTCACATGTGAGGACATGAACTGATGATGCTACTGACTGTAGGTGAGGTCTGATACTGCTGCAGTGTGGTGTAGAAGGGAGACCATCACCTCCCCAGTTCTGGATACCATACTTTTATTAATGCTGCCAAAGTTTACATTGATTTTGGATCCCGACTGTTGATCCAGTACATTTCATGTTCCTCCCCATTTTTGATTATCAGTGAGTTTAACAAGCAACTCATTTTGTCCTTATTCAAAATGCAGAAATGACATTTGCCAAGAAATCACATTTGCCCTTTTTGCCACGAAGCTAACAGCCAGCTTTCTTTAGTTATGCTCACCTTGGTAGATATAAAACCATCCAGCCACTTGCCATCCTGCTGCATTTCTCTGTTTGTTCAGGAGACTCTTTTCTCTTCCATGTAGCCCCTGGTTCTTTCCTTTAACTTTGAGGATTGAAACAGAGTAAGAGCTGGATGGTCCTGCCCTTAGTTTCCTGCCTGCCAGTCTGTACCATCTCTCTTCCACCCCACAGTGAGATTGTGCAAAAGGGTGTTGCTTTAGTGCTGGCACACTAGTCCCAGGTTGTCTGCAGCATTTTCTATGACTCTGATAACACTTACAAAATGAAGTTGATCCTAACCGCACTGCCTTCTGGTGGGCTGCCAGGTGCCGACAGCACAGGGTCCAGAGGCTGACCCTGGGGTTCAAAACCTGGCTTTCACCATTTAGTTCTTAGGTTGTCCTGAGCAGCTCATCTCCTTTCTTTGGGCCTCAGTTTCTACCTCTGTGTAATGGGCTCAGATAAAGGATGTAAAGAGCCTGGCACACAGAAAGCACTCAACAGTTGCCAGCCTTTGTGACTTTGACTATCTGCGCAGTTACTGTCTGTGTTCAGCCAAGGAAGCAGCAGCTCAGAGATCAGCGAGCAGCCCCAACCCACAGGACCAGCAGGAGGCAGGACCAGCAGGAGGCAGGGCCAGGCTTCAGACTCAGATCCATCCTTTTCTGAGACGCTTGTCCCGTGCATTTATTCCTTGCTTCCTTCCATGCTTTCCTTGCACTTATTCCTCGCTGCCCCTTCTGGGATGAACACATTCCCTTCCTACCCTCTTATTGTTCAGATGAAAATTAAATATACATGAAGGCAAGAAATTTATGAAGATAAAAAATTTATGGAATTTCAGGGCAAAGAGAGATGAAATAGATGGAAGAAAAGCACCATCGTCACTGGAAAAGCATCTAAATTTAAGATGGTTGGACTCTCATTCCCATTATGTCTGTTTGTTGCTTTGGTAAAAGAAAAGAAGTCATAGCACTAATTATCTCAGGCATATTAATAGAATCGATTATGCTTATGCAGATTTTTCTCTTGCTCTGATTAAACAAAATAATTCTTCCAACATGCACTGAGTTTGCTGCCATTTTTCCTGCCAAGGCTAAATGTACTTGTCGGGATGGAAAGCCATCTGCTTTTAAGACGCACAGTGATAGAACCAGTAAGTCTGCAATTTAGCATCTTCCCAAGGAGCAAATGTAAAACTTCCAACCCCTTCTTAATTACCTTCTCTCTTTCTGTTTTTTTTGCAAGAACAAGTTTTTACGAAAATGGAAATAAAAAATTAAGGTAGTAACTGGGTCTGTATCTTCATTTCCTGCATCCACCAAGAGCTAGTACCCCATCTCCCTTCCCCTTCCACCTGCCCTCACTCTGCTCCAACTGTACCAGCCTCCTTGCCTCCCCCGGAGCCATGGGTCACCCTCCTGCCTCTGGCCCTTTGCACATGCTGCCTCTGCCTTCTTGCCACAGGCAGCCTCATTTTTTTTTTTTTCCTTTTTCAGATCTCTGAGCCCTGGTACTGTATTCATGGTACTTTTTGTCCCTGTGAGGCCCTGTGCCGGGTTACTTGTCTCTGGTCTGCCTCCCCGAGTTAGATTGGAAGCTTCTCAGAGGCAGAGACTGTGTCAGTTTTGTTCGCGCCTGTATTCCCAGACCTTGGCCAGGGTGCGAGCTCAGCACACACTCAATGTAGTCACTGAATGTCAGTTAGGGGTGTGCTGTGCCTGGTGTGACATCGCCACGTGAACGCCGGTTCTTTTATCCCCAGTTCATGTTTTTTGTGGTTATCAGAGAGGCAGAGAGCTTTGTTTTTACGCCCTTCTGCCCTGCCTCTAAATAGACTCATAATTAGGCTACTTCAAATGGCCCTCAGGAGCTCACGGGCAGTGTGATGTAGAGGCTGCTGCTGTATCTGGAAGTCTGACTAGCCAGGCAGGGGGCAGGTGCCAAGCCGCAGAGTCACAGGAATCATGCCCACGGGGAGCTCCCGGGCTCTGCTCTGTTTCAGTAACAACTTGGCTGGAAGCTGCTCTGGGCATTTCTGTAATATTTTCGGGGAAAACTTCGTTCCCACAAACCGGCCTGCAAGTCCAGGCTGCTCCTTCTGGAATTGGAACTAATCCAGGTACTGAAGGAAAACAGGCGGGGCCCAGATAGGGGTTTTAGTACAAATCCCAAGTAAAGGTCTTTTGTCTTCTGCACGACTTACTGCTATTAGATGTGCCAGGCACCTTCACAGACCTCAGGTGAGTCACGGTTTTCAGGCTGGTGGAAAGTTTCCAAACAATGAAGAGTTCAGAAAGTATAGCCATAAGTGATGGAGGGAAGTGTGGCCAGAGATGCTGAGTGTGTGAGTGTGTGTGTGTGTGTGTGTGTGTGTGTGTGGCGGGGGGTGGGAGGGGATTGTGTGGGGAATCACAATTAAGAAGCAGAAGAATCACCCCAGTCCAACTATGTCTTTCCATGGAAAGGAAGAGGCCTGGAGCGCTAAGCGACTCACTGGAGCCTGCAGGGGAGCAGCCGAGGCAGTGGATCTTGAAGCTGGGCCCCCAGCTCACAGCTCAGCCATGTGGCTCGATTTTCCTGCACAGTTGCTGTGTGCAGGAGCCTGCCCTGAGCTCCCTGTGTGTGTGTTTGACTTCATCCTCTCCCTATCTCATCGGGTAGGACTCTGTCATCCTTGCGTTGGAGATGGGAAAACTGAGGCTCACCCAGAGAGACGAACTTGACCTGGTCACCTAAATCCGCAGACTGAATTTCATGCCTGGCACCATCTCCTCCTGGAGATGGTTCCTCATCTCCATGTTTTCCTGTTGAGGCTTTTGGCTGCTTTCTGCTGCTTCTGTCGGTTTTCCAGGACTACAGTCTCTAGACTCTTTGGAAAACATCGTGTGCCTCTCAGGACTGGCTTCCGGAGAACACAAGCCATGGCAGGCAGGGCGTGCAAGCGGTACAGGGCCGTGTGTCACTGTGACCCTGCGACCTGCTGGGGAGTGCAGATAAGCCTGGTGCAAGGCAGGGGCTGCCTGACTGCCCTGCAGTCCTGGTGCAGAGAGCAAAAGCTCACGCGGGGTCACCTCTCTCTCCGCTAAGGCAGGCATCATGCTAGACTGGCAAATGCACTGAGCTTTGTTTTCATGGTTTCCTGCTGAGTGGCAGGTGCTGCTTTCACAGCAGGTCTGAGGGCCCAGCACGGGGCGCAGGGTGGGTTCAGAGCTGACTGCAGAGTGCTTGGTGTGGACGTGGCGTGATGCCAACCTCCGGGTTCAAACCCCGGCCCAACCTCTATGTCTCCCTGGAGCCTGGGGAAAATCCTTGACTCTAGTCCTCACATCATTCAACATGAACACGGCCTATCTCCTGCTCCTCCAGGTGGGTGTGGTGAGAGGTTAATAAAACGGTGTTGCAGAAAATATCGAGAACACTTTGTGACACGTGGCCACAGCTCAGTGCCAGCCCCCCTTCCTCTGCTGCTGCCCCTTCTCCATCACTCCCGAGGTGGCAGGGCTCCCGGCAGATGTGAGGCTCCCTGCAGCTCAGGGCTGTGTTGCTGTGTGTGGGACTGAGTGTGTGCAGGTCCCGGGCACATGGCAGGCTTCTTGGACACCCCAGCGCGCACACTGCACTGATTTCTTGGTCCATGGGCAGGTGTCAGATAAATGAAACCAAATGTCACCTTGGAGTCAGCACTCCGTGCACATGAATTGCAGACTTGCATGCAGTTTCTGCCGCGTGGTGCTGTCGGGATGTGTTTTCCCACAGTGCGCCTGGCTCGTGAGAAGTGAGGGCTGTGGTGCAGAGGGCTCTTCTGTGGTCGAGGTGGTTGTTTCGGGTTTTCGTTACTTCATAGCATGACTGGAAGATCTGACGACACAGCCTTTCTGTACTCAGGAGCAGACATTTGCCCTGCAGGTCTGTGCTCTGAGGGTGAGGGGAGCGTGGGGTCTGAAGGGCTGGCTCCCCGCCACACCACACCCTGTTGTGCGGCCAGGCCAGCTTGTTCCATCCCGCCCATCCATAAAATGGGCAGACTGGCTGCAGACATGCTGCCTAGTATGCCCATGTGTGGGGGCGGGGTGTGTGTGTGTCTGCTGTCCTAGTTCTGAAATGGGGAGGGATGGAGGCAGGGGCTGGAAGGTCTGGTGCAGTAGATAAGGAGGGTGGTGGGGTTTTTGTAGTTTGCGCAATGGTTGAATAACCAGGAAATACCAGGGGAGCAGAGCTGCCTGCAAAAGTTATATATGTCCTGAGTCAGAGTGTTGGCGTAGTAACTGGGAAAGGGTTTCTCCAGGCTTGAATGGGTCTCCCAGCCCATGGGGGTGAGCGGTGGCCTGCTGTCCAGATGAGAAGGGCAATGGAAAGTGACATGGGGGGGTCCTCCTTTGCAGAGTTTGCACCTTGGGTCTCAAAGCTGTTGGTACGACACCCCAGGGGCTGCTGAGCTGCATGCATGTTTGGAAAAACTCTGGTTTTTGGTCCAGAGCACATTCCAGCTCCTCCTCCCCAACCTGAAACTCACAAGGTAGAAGCAGATGTGTCTCTTGATCTTGAGAATTGGGGAGTTTTGGGGCAGAGGGGTAATTAAGATGAGAGAAGTGGGGGGCATGAGTCCCCACATGTGCTTGGGCAGATAGGGAGGGGCAGGAGGAGGCTCTGTGGCCAGGCTCTGTGGCACTTCCACTGGTGTGGAAGCCGGGGACAGGCAGGGGTCTTCTGACCTCACCAAGGTGCAGCAGCTACCTCGGCCTGTGTTCCAGGACCCAGCCCAGGCACATGTTGAACTTAGTACCTCGTTGGCTAAAACCAGTGCCTTCCCTCCTAGTATCCCGTGGAGATCAGGAAGTATGAGTATGACCCCAACTTCGCGATCCGTGGACTTCATTATGATGTGCAGCGGGTAGGTTCCATGTTTTCCTGCAGTTTATGGGTATTTGGGAATAAAATGTACTCCTGATGCTTTTCTTCGCTGAACATGTAAATTGACTTTTAAATTATGTTCTTTGGGAGTGCAGTACTGAATCACTCAAATTATCTTTGGATAAAGTCATCTTTGATAAAGTCCTCCCGAAAACATCCTGTTTTGGTGTATTGGGGGAGGAATCAGTTGTCATGTCTTTTTTTTCCTCCTGCAAACAGGTCATTGCCTAAATGGGTTGCACGGTGCTTGAATCAATAGGCAAAACTTTTAGGATCATAGCCATGCTCCTTGTCACCATGGCCTCCTGTGTCACAAGGGTGTATAATGACACCCGTAGACTCCGTTCAATATACAAATTGCTGTGTGTTATTTACCTGTGTATGTGTTTGTTTCTGAAGGCAGTGTTGATGAAGATTGATGCTTTTCATTACATCCAACTGGGAACTGTCTATAGGTAAGTAAAAGAGGAAGTTAATTAACTAAACTATTTGTTTTTAGGCAAACCTCATATAAAGAATACACACCCGTTTTAAGCAGGTATTAGTAAAGTATCTTAAAAATTGCCACTTGTGAATAAAGATGATATATATATATATTTATATATTAAGCAACAATTAAGCAGCAGCAGAAAGAATAGAGAAGCATGTGATGTATTGATAGTGAGTCACTTCCAAGGTGCACTGTTAAGTGACTAAAGGGGTGGTATGAAAGTGTATATGTTTTTATTACCATTTGTGAAAAAACTACATGTGGAGATTCGTATACATTTGTGTACACATTGGCTGTTTCTAGAAAAGTACCAAGACCGCAGAGATGTATTGATTTCCCGCTTCTGAGCTGACGTGGGGGTCGCTCTGTCACTGGGACTCTCAGTTTGCAGCTTGTGTGGCAGAAGGGGCCGGGTGAGGGCGGAGAAGTGACTCACCTGCTGGAGTTCTTTTCCTTCTTCTATTTTCCTCCGAAGCATTAAAGCCCGAGGGTGTGCCCTTCCGCCCCCGCCAAGGCTGCCAACTGAGCTGCTTTCCAGGGTCACCTCGCAGAGTGAGCTGTGTCAGTGCCAGTCTTATCTGATTTCTGGGGCAAAGATAAGGGGAAGTACTGGGCCTCTTTTGTTTTCAAAAGCCAGTAGTTGTAACAAGTTCATCAAGCTGGCAGGCTGGACATCCTGGAATCTACCAGGAGATCTGAAAAAAATTATCGAGGGTGGAGAATAGAGGAAAGAGGCTGACATATTTTTCATTAAAATTACATATCAAACACAAGTCATGTTTGCATTTCAATATTGGCCAAGTGATTCTGTGTGCTGAGCAACCTGTTCGTATCAGAAGTACAATTCCTAGAGAATTATATACCCCGCTACAGCACAGCCCGGCCGTTGTCTGTTGTCCTGGGTGCCTGTTTCTTGAGCTCCCCCACCTCTCAAGGACAGATACTTCCCTTCATAGCACACGAGTGGGCGGTTCCTGGTGAGGAACTACAGGCCCTCAGGTCCCAGGTGAAAGCACCTGCTCACGTCGCTGGGCCAAGATCTTTTTTCCCCTCTCTGCGGTGGAGCTGGATTCCTCTGCAGATCTGCTGCTACTCCCAGGAGGCAGGCAGATGGCAGGTGTTACCTTGGTGTTTTACAGATGAGGAAACGGGCCTCACTGTCACGCGGAGGCCATCCCCCTGGACCACGGGGCCGGGTTTCACTGATTCGCCTCTTTCTTCCTTAGCACCCACGTCCTCAGGGTAGAGTATCAGCAGCCAGGAGGAGGATGGAGACAGAACCAACCTTTCTGTCCCCAGTGTATTCAAAACATTTAAAGAAGAAACCCTAAATCCAGCCCAAAGCAGGTCCTTAGCAGGCCTTGTACCTTGCTGAGGGAGACAGTGAAGAACTAGGGCTCTAGAATCAGAAAGGCTGGGGTACAGTCCCGAACCACCCCTTTCTCCGTTGATGACCTTGAGCAAGGCACAGGACCTTTCTCTACCTTGGTTGTCTCTGCTGGAAACAGGAAGAGCAGGAGAGCAGGAGACCCCACCTCCTGCGGCTGTCGAGGAGGCGAGTGACTGTGTCATTCACTTCTGGCCCGTGGCAGGTGCACTGCACGGCATCAGCATCAGGGCTCGGTACGCAGGAGTCACAGCAGCATCTTGCCTGTTACTTGTAGCGCTTACCCGTGCGCAACTCACTCCCGGGACAGCGTTCGCACCTCCCTGAACGATCCCAGCCTTTCGCAGCAGCCTGAATGTCAGCGCTGTCTCTCGCTGCTCCTTAACTGCAGCTCCTGTGATTTTTCCAGAGGCCTCACCGTGGTCCCCGACGAGGAAGTCATCGAGATGTACGAGGGGTCCCACGTGCCTCTGGAACAGATGAGCGACTTCTACGGAAAGGTAGTAAGAAATGCTGTAGTATTTAGCAGCCTGTCTTTTTCCTTCTCTGTACTTGACCCAGGAGATTGAGGAACCGGAGCTACTAGACTCACTGCTCATGCAGAATTGGCAGGGCAGTTTGTGTTTTGAGCGCCCCTAGATTTGAGAGTGCTTAGGGTGTAAAGGGCCCCCCTTGGGCTGGTCATGATTCTCTTTCTTGGCTCTCGCCTGCTCACCTGGTGAAGGCTCCTTACATTTTCCTTGTCCCCTTGCCTGTTTGCCACCACCTGCTGGGTGTGTCCCCACTTTCTGGACTGAATATTGGGGGCTGTGAGTGTATAGCCATTGCCTCCTCTGAAACGGGCCTACAGAATGCCTGAGATCGAGGTACAAGTCGCCCTGGGCCTTAGGGGAGCCCCAGCTTTTCTGCCTATGCAGTTCTCTTTGCTCTCAGAACTTCTGCTTGCTGTATTTGATGTGCTTTCTTATTTGCGCTGCCAAAATCAAACGGAAAGTGCCCATCAGCTGGTAAACTTAGTGTCAATCACAGGCTTTCCAGGAAAAGCCCCCTTGTAAGCCTCAGTAAGGGCTCTGCAGGGCGCTCACATTCTGTAGCTCTAAGTGGCTTTCCCGGGGTCCCCGTGAGCACAGACAAGGCTTTCCTCTGTGTTTGAGGGAGGAGCGTGAGCTGGAAGTTGCACAGAGTGCAAAGGAGAGTGAAAGGGGGGGGGGCAGGTGGTGGGATTTTGGGGGGCGGGCCAGGCATTTTGTTGGATATGCCCCTATGTGAGAGTCAGATGTCAGTGCTGCTGTGAGTGATAAGAAACAAGGTATACAGTCTTGCTGTTCGATCATGGGAATTTTCTTTTGTTGTTGTGGAGAGGGAGCTAGGTGTGGAGCACCTGCCCCGGCTAGTGAGCAGATGTGGGGCTCTGTGCGGTGGCCCGTGTCTGACGCCCGCCCCTGCCCCTGCAGAGCTCTCACGGCAACACCATGAAGCAGTTCATGGACATCTTCTCGCTGCCTGAGATGACACTCCTGTCCTGCGTGAATGAGCACTTCCTGAAGAACAACATCGACTACGAGCCCGTGCACCTGTACAAAGACGTCAAGGTGGTGTCCGTGGCCCAGCTCTCCGGGACGCCCCGCTTTCAGCCAGAGTAACAGAGTTGTTAGCCTCTGCTGTAGTTAGGTCTTTGAAACAGCCTTTCTTTGCTGGGGATCCCTTTTATTGGCAGTTTGACCCTGGAAATTGTAAGATGTTATTATTATATTGGGAGAATTGAAAACCAATCAAACTTTTTAGGAGAAAATGGTGTTGGTTGGTGTCGTTACCAAGATTTTGAGTGGCTGATGTTCAGCCCTCCCGGCTGCCTGCTAAGGGGACCGCACCCCGGGTGGCCTTCAGGTTTCAGGGCCTGGACGGCAGTGGCCCACAGGGGGCGCCATTCCCCCCCCCACATACAGGCTCCGTAGGCCTTCCCAGGCCCTGCAAAAGCCTGGCAGGGAGACATCTGGAGAGGGTTGTAGGCAAATATCAATTCTTACAGTCATATGCACACCTTCCTTACTGATTTATAACTCCATAATTATGTCTTTCATATATACATTCTTCAGTGTTTATATATTCCTTAAGTTGTGTGAGCTTTATTAATACTTTATTATTATCTGCTTAATGTTAGTTTATTTTTAATATATTTCTAAGCATGTATTTACAAATACATACTACATACATGTACTTGTTTAAATTATTGCTTGTAAAATGTTAAATTTAATAATTCAATTATTTATACGCATGCATTTCTTTAACTATATTTTAAAATGATCCATAGTGACATAATACAATATTTTTATTATTTGTTTATGGCTCATTTGAAATTTTGCCCCAAATCATGGATTTAAGAAGGTAAAGGATGAATTATGAATTAGAATTAGAATTAGAGTGTGTCAATGAATTAGAATTATGAATTAGAGTGTGTCAATGTAAGTCTGGTATTGTTTGAATTAGGTTTATTTAAGTATGTAGTTTCTAAATATCTTGTTATATACACACATTATGTCATCTTCAGGTGACTATAAGAATCACTTGTAGTTATGTTAACCCTTTGCATTCCCGAAGAGAGATGTTTATTTGATTGTTCAGTTTTTATTGAAAGTGTTGCTATCTGCAATAAACACTTAGGCAGAGTTTACTCTGTCCCAGGTATTGTTTTTCTGAGTGCCTTATGCTGATTAAATAATTAAATCCTCACAATAACGCTGTGAGGTATGTATTATTATTACTACCCACATTTTACATATAAAGCAGTTGAGGCACAGAGAGGTCTAGTAACTTCCCAGGGTCACATAGCTCATAAATTGCAGAGCCTAAATTTGAAGACAGGAAGCTTGACTCTAGCTTGCTTTTAACTGCTGCTTTCTTGCAGTTGTGAGGTTGAACCAAGCTTGACAGTTGAGTTCACAGTGCAGAGGTCCTGACTTCTGTCCATTTTTTAAGGCTTAAAGCACGGTTTTACCTGCAGCCCAGACCTCTGCCAGAGGTTCCAGAAAGTTTCCATGTGCCTCCAGGAGTGCTTCTCTGTGGTCCCTCCTGAGGGTGGGGTTTGCTCTGACATCCCCCATCTGGGCGGCTCCTGCCTCCCTCACGCTCTCTGTTCGTGTTGCCAGCTGGACAAGGTCTCTTTCTAAGTCACCATCTCCTTGACAGATCCTTGCCCCATTGGTAGCTCTGGAGGGAGGCGGAGCCTCTCATACTTTTTCTAGACAACCGACCCTGCTGTTGGGGGAGGAGGCAGGGTGCAAAAGTGAAAAGAGCAATAATCAGTCCCCTCTGTCCGGATGACGTGTTGATTGTTCACAGTATCACACATAAGTCTATCATCTTGATTCAGAATTATTCACAGTTATCTGCTCCATGTGACCCTTTTGAAAGTTGCACTGGAAACAGCTACTGTCACGGAGGAAATTCTCCAAGGGGCCGCCTGTGCTAAATGGGCCAGAATTTAGATTTTGCTGAGTGCTTGGCTTGCCAGACTGGTAAAGACAGACATTATCACGAATGCCGTTTTACTTGTACTGTTTCTCTGTCTGAGTTATGCTTCACTGATTAAAAACATTTCTTTGGGCAGGATGCAATTCGAGATGTCCACATCAAAGGAATAATGTACCGCGCAATCGAAGCCGACATTGGTATGTGTGGGACATGATCATGAATGTCATATCAGCCTTTCCCTTTGCCCTGCGCCCTGTGGGCCTTTCACTTTGCAGCCAGGCTCTGAGCAAGGGCAGCAGCACTGCTTCTGTGTGCGGTGCCCCTCAGGGTCTCCCGCCGTGTTTTAGAAATTATCATAATCCTGACTCAAAAAGGAGAGGAATCTGGCAATTGCATGTAGTTTTTTCCACTTGGACTGAAAAGGCAGGCAGGGTTTTATTTTTTTATTTATTTTTATTTTTAAAAATTTTATTTTTATATTCCCCATACAATTGCAACCCCCTTATTTTGACCCCAATCCCTCTTTTCCCCGCCCCCCACCCCTCATACAGTGTCTCTGGTTCATAGTTGTTTGTTGATTTTGATATTTTCTTTCTTTTTTTAAGGATTTATTTTTATTTATTTATTTATAAAGCACTGGGTATAGTCAGAAGCGCGGGAGGGTGAGAGAATTCACCAGAGCCAGAGCGGGGAGCAGAGCAGGCAGAAGGACCAAAGTACACTGCTGAGGGGAGCAGCGGGCGGCAGGAGAGGTCTGAGCACCATGTGGGACCCTCCTCTGGTGGCCGGGGAGCAGCCGGGGATTGAACCGGCACTGCAGAGGCTGCGGGCAGCTTTGCAACCCAGCGCTCAACCGCTGCGCCACCGGGGAGGCCCGATATTTTCTTTCTTATAGTTATTCTTTTTCCTGGTCTCTTATTTAAGTTTTCTAGATTCCTGCTATGAGTGAGACCATCCGGTATTTTTCTTTTTCTTTCTGGCTTATTTCGCTGAGCATGATCCCTTCCAGCGCCATCCATGTTTCTGCAAATTGCATGTGTTTATCTTTTTTGAATGCTGAGTAATATTCCATGGTGTATATGCACCACATCTTCCTGATCCAGTCATCTATTTTTGGGCATTTGGGTTGTTTCCAAAGCTTAGCTATTGTAAACAGTGCTGCTATAAACATAGGGGTGCAGGTGTTCTTTGGAATTGATGTTTCTGTGTCCTTTGGGTAAATACCTAGGAGTGCAATTGCTGGATTATATGGAAGCTCTATATTTAGTAGGTCCAGAAATCTCCACACAGCTCTCCATAGTGGTTGGACCAGTTTGCACTCCCACCAACAGTGCAGGAGAGTTCCTTTTTCTCCACACCCTCGCCAACATTTGTTGTTGCTAGTTGTTTTAATATGTGCCATTCTCACTGGTGTAAGATGGTATCTCATGGTAGTTAAACAGTTACTGATGCCTTGGGCACTGAGATAGCACCTTGGGCACCCCTATACCACCCTGAACCAAGCTTTCTTAAGATTTTTCTTCTCCCAAGTGCCCCTGACAGTGCCGGACCCACATGCCCCACTTAGTAAGTATTTGCGATTGATTGACTTAACTCTGAATCTGTGTGTGCCTTTTTTCCTCTTGCTCTTAGAAAAGTACATCTGCTATGCGGAGCAGACCCGGGCGGTGCTGGCCAAACTGGCTGATCATGGCAAGAAGATGTTTCTCATCACCAATAGCCCCAGTAGCTTTGTGTAAGTTGCTTGTACTTCTTGGCTACTTTCCAGCTCACTTCTCATATTCCACTTACTTTAAGATACAGATGGAAGTTTGAAAGAAAAGCTTGTGAAATTAGTTAATCCCTTTAGCATTAGCCTAACCTGGCTTGACATGTCATTCCAGGGACAAAGGGATGAGGTATATCGTTGGAAAAGACTGGAGGGACCTGTTTGATGTGGTCATTGTTCAGGCTGAGAAACCAAGCTTCTTTAATGATAAACGGAGGTGAGTGTCTATCTTTTCAGGGGACTAGATTTTGTTCTCTTGCTGCTGTGAGTATTTAAGATAGAGTCTTGGTAAAGTCTAGTTGGAAAAACCACAGGCATCTGAGATTATAGCTTTTGATTTTTCACCCCCCTTGCAAGGAGAGGGAGGGAGTTACAGTACATGGCAGATAGCTTACAACTTTGAAATGGTTCTTGATTCTGGCTGACCTGGTCCTGTGAGTCAGGCTTTAAGAAAACTCCAGACTTAGTATTATGGAGGAGCTGCATTGTGCCCATAATAAAACAGGAGCATCAGCAAACCCCCAGTGGTAGCTCCTTAAATAGACCTCTAAACCGTGCATTTGGAATTGCAGTTGGCTTGTGCAAAACTTGTCTGCAACAAAGGATTTGCACTAAGCAGAGTAAATCCCTACCAAGACTTATGTCTTCCTGCTTTGGGAAATAGAGGAGCAGGGGTGTTTTGGGGTGTGCCAGAGACTATGAAATACTCTTAGCATTGGTGGGTGGGGCAAAGGGTCCTAAAATGTTTTAATGTGTGGACAGATTTTTTCATCAAGAGTTGTTCCTGTAAATATCAATATGTTAAGAGTTACTACACAAGTGTTATAAAAAGAGCTTGTGTTTTTTATAATGACCTATTTTTAAAAGATTTTAACTCCCATTTATCCTGCAGATGGCAAGTGCTGCCGGGTGATTTAAAGTGTCGTAATGTCATGCCCTGTAGTTAGTGCTGGATGGACTCAATTCCTCTTGTGATGCTAAATCCCACTTTTCTAAATGTCACAATGACTCTTGGAAGATAAGGCAAATCCAGAAGCATCAGTAGAGAATAAGTCAAGAGAATGAAGGGAAAACTAGCGTTGATCAAAAACAGCTATAAACACTGGCTCCTGCCTGGGTGTGGTCAGGAGAAAGACCTCTACTCCTTTGTCTTGCTCACACTGGCAGAACAGTGTCTCAGACTATTTTTCTGGGGATCCCAGCATAGCCCTGTCCTTCACTGCACACATTTATTTTGCTTTTGTTCTGGATGCTTGGAATGAGAGCTGAATAACCACCTATATTCATACCTGTGTTATTTCTAATCATGAAAGAGGAGAAACAACCTAAAAAAAAAAAAAAAAAAAAAAAAAAACCCTTATGAGGGAATATTATGCAGTCATGAAAAATGATATATTCGAAAAAAAGAAGCAATGAGCATGTTTTATGAAGGTAAAAAATGATAGGTTTAGTATATGTAATTACATGGGAAATTGCTCACAACATTAGAGAGAAAAAGACCATCACTAAGTATACACAAAATGATCCTTAAGTTCATGTGAAGGAAAGAGCAGATGTAGCACATAGCAAGACTCTATCTTCTGAAATGTTAACTGTTTACTAGGGTACTAAAGTTAGAGATAATATACCTTTTCTTTATTGTATTTTTCTGCATTTCCCCAATTTTTATAATGAATTTATACTTTTCCAATCAGAACACAATCCAAATAAGTGTTACATTAAAAAGAGGTGGTGGAGCCAAACTGTGTAGAACAAGATCTTATTCTTATTTCCCATTTTCTATCATAAAATAGTCTGCTTCATCATCTGATTTTAAGTTAAAAACTGGAGAGCAGAAGAGCAGAAGGGAAGACCAGAGCAAAAAAACAAAACAAAACAAAACAAAAAACAACAACACACAAACTGGAAAAATGTATCAGCAGTAGTTCTACAAGTTGTTTTTGTAAGCAGATTTTCTGCATGTTCAAATTTACATTTGGTAAATTTGGCTTAAAGAAAGTTTCTTTACTGGAGGGCTTTTTTGAGCCATCAGTAACTTTGTAAGAGGGACATATACATTATGTTTTCTGATATTTTTATTTGCTCTGGCACTCTTTCTTTACTCTCCATCTTTGGATGCTGGGGCCCACAGTGTGGGAGGACAAACACAAGGCCCGGGAACATGGCCAGTTTTGGTTTTACGACTTTTTCAGGTTTGAGGATCTGTTCCCAGTCTGTAACTGGACAGTATACACCTGGAAGACAGACTGAATTGCTATCACACATCATAATGTTTCTCATTTCTGTTGTTAGACCTTTCCGAAAGGTGAATGAGAAAGGTGTCTTACTCTGGGATAAAATCCACAAGTTGCAGAAGGGCCAGATTTACAAGCAGGTACCTCATGACCAATTTACCTTTTTGTGGCTTTGCTTTGTGGTCAGTAGTGGTGATAGCTGACTTCCAGTGAGCCTTACTATGTGCCTGGCACCAATCTTGGTGCTCTACTGGAATAGACTGTGCCTAACTTAGTGGCAGAATTGAAGCTAAGTCAATATATTTTCAATCTCAATGACCTCAGAATTGAACCATTTCTTAAAGTCAAATTTAAAGCATTTTTAGAGTGTAAAAAACTAAAGGTGCCAGCAGTAGACCTTGGAAATTTCCCTTAAGAAGCATTTAACCAATATATACTTTTACCCAAATTAATATCTATTTACTGATGAGCTGTATTTTATGTATCATTTTACTATATTTTGGTATATGAAGCTCAAAAATGGTTGAATAACTGCTTGAATTGCAGACTGTTATGTTGTGTTACTAGATTTGGCATTTAGTATACTTTCTAGACCTTGAAGAATTGGCATTTGTATAGCCATTTCACTTTTAGGAAGTTAATCTAGGACTATTATTAAGCTGTTGTTAGAATCTTGCTACCAGAATATTTACTGACAAAATGCATGATAAAATAGATGTTGGCATCAGGGAATTGATAAAAAGAATCATGGTACTCCTCAGCTACTGCAATTACATAGCAGATTAATATTTGACATGGAAAAATGGTCACAGAATGTTAAGTATCAAAAGATCAGTACAGAGAAGTGTAATCAATATGAATTACATTGTGAGAAGTATATCTGACCCAGAAAAGCCTGAAAGATTTCATACTAAGATGTTTCAATTTTTCTATTTTGACATTTTAAATGAATTATAAAAAAGTAAAATTTATTTCTGAAAGACAGGTATTTGGGCCATGGGTTGTACATGGTATCTGTCGAAGTTATATCTACATTTTCCTCTTATTGCAGGGCAATTTATATGAATTTTTGAAGCTTACTGGATGGCGAGGATCTAAAGTGTTGTATTTTGGTGACCATATATACAGTGACCTGGCGGTAAGGAGCCTTTTTTTCCTTTTTTTTTGTTGGGGGACAGATATGTCAGCTCCCTTTATTTAAAAATTTTCTCTTTTGTTTAAGGCCACTTTTATGCTTTCATAAAAACAAGGAGTAGGCCACATTTTTTATGTCTTATTTTTTACAGAATAGGATCTACCAGTTGTGAAAAAGATCTGTTTTTTTTGGTGTATGGAAATGATGGAAATTAGCAACCCACTCACTTTATCAATATAATATTTCTATTTAAGTAATAAGAATAAATGCCAGTGTTCTCTCCAATGCTTCTTTTGCTTGTCAGTCACTTTGAAAAAGTGCAAAACTGGCATTTCCAGAAAAACAGTTATTATGTGAAAATGAGCCTTTTTATCTTCCTTGGAAGGACAAGAGGAGTTTGGCAGCTCTTGAATTATGATTTAATCTATCATTGTAGCAAGATCGAATTAGCCCAGGTTATTACCAACCTTGGTTCCCTGTGGGATAAATTTATGTTTCCTTAGTGATCCAGGCTTGGTGGTGCAGTGCACATTTGCAGTAAGAGTAGACCAGTTACCAACTCCAACATTGATACTTCTGAGTATTTTGGCCTATGCTGGATCAGTCTATGGATGTACACATAAGTCTCTGTCTCGCCTGTGTTTGACTACCATCGAGGCAGTGAGCTTTATGTCAGTTGTGCAGTAGGACCCTGTGGGAAACATTTTCAGGGCACAGATGTCTGAGTTCCTGCCGCGGACTAACGCAGCGGTAGACTTGCAGGACTGTCTCAGGATTTGAGAAACTGTGAGGATGCTCAAGGAATCGGCGCATAAATGACAAACAGACACACGTCAAGAGTGAAGATCTGAATGTAATTTGCTCAAAATCATCATACACTTTTATACCTATTTTAACAATGGATGATTTCATACAATTTAATTCTTTCTCAGCATAAAATACTTTGTAAGGCATAAGACATCTACTTCATTATTCATGTGCATGTGATCGCTGTTCCATGACATGGCACAGTAAACAATCTCCAGGTACTGAATCTACACAATCGTTTTTGCCTACACCGAACAGCATTCTTTAAGTTAGCTTTTCTTGATTCGTATCCCAAAACCACAATGATCAAAAAGCATTAATATTTACCTACTGGCACCTTCTACTTTTAGTGATCACGAGCAATATATTCTCTACATAAGCATTTTGATTTTTATGGTGTTGTCTCATGTGAGAAGTATTATGATTATTATAAAACTACCATTGCCACACACTATTTTCTTTATCATGCATTTCCTGAAACTGATTGTACACATATAAGGAAAAAGCAAAGTAAGTGAAAAAGTAGTATGATTATACACAGGTTGCTAGGTTGCTACTTATTCTGAAACAATGGCTATTTGATTAATGGTAAAACTGCTTTGTAGGTAATTCCATCAGGCTTGTTTGCAGGTGACGTTCTTAGCAGCCTTGTTTCCATCAAAGGAGGGGTTAATTACTGAGGGCTTGTTGCCTAAATTAGGCTTATAGGCATGTAGACCTTGTTTGATCTGAACGCCAAAGTTTATCATAATGAAGCCCCTCGGGGACTGCGCCTGTCTTAGGTCGTCAGGAGTCACAGACATGAGGCTGGCCAGTGCCTTCTTTAGTCTGCCCCCGATCTTACCCGTCATTGACTGTCCAGTCCAGAGCACAGGGGAAGGGGGTCTTACTCACTCGGATGTGTCTGAGTGAAAACCTCCCTCTTTCCAGTAAGTTCACTGGTGTTCAGCGGCAGAAGCTGCCGCAAGTTCCACTGATTTCTGTAGACTCAGATTTTCTGGCGGTGGTAGAGGTAGAGGGGTCTTCTCAAGTGCCTCTTTTTTTTTTTTTTAATAGAGGCATGCTTTATTTATTTGTTTGCTGGTTTGTTTGTTTGTTTGTTTATACAAGCACTGGGTACAGTCAGAAGCGCGGGAGGGTGAGAGAATTCACCAGAGCCAGAGCGGGGAGCAGAGCAGGCAGAAGGACCGAAGTACACTGCTGAGGGGAGCAGCGGGCGGCAGGAGAGGTCTGCGCGCCATGTGGGACCCGCCTCCGGTGGCCGGGGAGCAGCCGGGGATCGAACCGGCGCTGCAGAGGCCGTGGGCAGCTTCGCAACCCAGCGCTCAACCGCTGCGCCACCGGGGAGGCCCCTCAAGTGCCTCTTATAGTGATATACCTCCCAGGTGACTCCAGCACTCACCTGGTGTAATCACATCTGTCCAGTTGGTTCAGGTCTCTGGGAAGGAATCATGGGCTCAGAATTAGAAGACTGGGCTTCAATACCAGCTTTGCTGTTATTTCATTGTATGACTGTGGGCATGTCTTTTCAAGCCTAAGTGTCTTCATTTGTAAGAGGAGTGAAATAAGATAATGTATATAAAAGTGCTTAGTAAAAAGTAGAAATAATAAGTGCTGCTGTCAGGATGTTGCCACCTTCCAGAATGCCTGGCCAATGTGGATTTGATCTCATGGGAATTGGTCTCTTGCTAATTGGGGTCTGTGAACCCTGATGAGATAATTATGTGCTACTCTTAAAGCATGTAGGTGCAGGGTCCCATGAGGTGACACCCTTAGGACTTAGCATGATAAGTCCTCACAAAGCAGCATTTCTTCAAGTGTGGTCCCCGAGGCATCAGCATCACCTGGGACTTGCTAGAAATGCAGATTCTTATCCTAGATCTACTGAGTCAGAAACTCTGGGGATGGCACTTGGCTCTCTGTGTTTTAAACAGTTTTCTACACTAAAATATGATCTCAGGGTAATGCTGGCCTCCTAGTGTAAATTAGGAGTTGTTCCCTCTTCTTCAGTTTTTGGAAGAATTTGAGAAGGATTGTGTTAATTCTTCAAGTGTCTGATAGGATTTGCCAGTGAAGTCTGATAGGATTTGCCAGTGGACTTTCCATTGCTGGAAGGTTTGTGATTACTAATTCAGTCTTCTTCAAGGTCTGTTCAGATTTGCTTTTTTCTTCATGTTTCATTTTTGGGAGGGCCTGTGTTTCTAGGAATTTGCCCATTTCTTCTAGGTTATCCAATTAGTTGGTGTACAGTAGTTCATAGCATTCTTTTATGCTCTTTCTATTTCTATAGAATTGTTAGTAATGTTACTGCTTACATTTTTTATTTTAGTAATTTGAGGCTTACATTTTTTGTTAATCAAGTTTTGTTGCTCTTTTTGAAGGAGGCGCTCTTGGTTTTATTGATTTTTGTCTGTTTTTTTTTTTAGTTGCTATTTATCTCTGTTCTAATCTTTATTATTTTCTTTGTTTTAATAGTTTTCAGTTTAGTTCTTTTTCTAGTTCTTTAAGATCTAAGTTAGGTTGTTGATTTGAGGTCTTTTTCCTTTTTTAATATAAGGATTTACATTACGTAAATAGCCTTCTTAGCACTACTTTTGCTGTATCCATGAATTTTAGTATGTTGTATTTGCAGCTTAACTTATCTCAAGTTATTTTCTAATTTCTCTTAAGGTTTCTTCTTTTACCCATTGGATTGCCACATATTTGTGAATTTTCCAGTTTTTCTTTCTGCTGTTGATTTCTAGTTTCATCTCTTGTGATCAGAAAAGTCATTTTGTATTTACTTGCTTGTTTGTTGTCTATATTTCTTAGTGTAGGAACTTGTCAGTTTTTGTACATTCCTTTATCTTCAGAATCTAACAGGGTCTGGCAAATAGCCGTATTTGATAAATATTTGCCAAATAAAAAAAAATTTGCCAAATGGCCAGTTAGTGTGGTGATTGTATTTCTTAAAATTTCCCAGGACATAACTGATATCAGATATTCTGGTCTGTTATCAAATTGTGGGGTGACAATATTTGGAATGAAAAAGGTAATCATGTATGTTTATGTTGTATGATCATTCCAAGTCTCAGTTCCCCATAACGCACAAAACCTGGCACACAGTAAGTGCTCCCCAGCAGTTTGAGTGAATTGAATGAAGACCTTCAGTAGCATCTAAGTTGAGCTTCTTTCTGCTCCCTCCTAATTGTTGTTTTACAGACTGTAGTTAATGATTCCAGACCCTGTGTTTCTGCAGGGGCTGTGATTCACACAGCAATTATTTCCAGAACAGAAACTTCCTTGGGGTGAAATGGCCGAAGCCTGGAGTTAAATTGGCTTTAATGAAATGTAATTCATTGAATTCAGCTTGGTTAATAACTAACCATTATAATTAAAAAGTAATTCAATGAATACCAGTTGCATCTGGGAAAGGTAATGAAATGGTTTAAATTCTTTTGAGATGAATGTTGATTTTTTTTTGTGATCTTTGTGATCAGGATTTGACCCTGAAGCATGGTTGGAGAACTGGTGCAATTATTCCAGAGTTAAGATCTGAGCTCAAAATTATGAACACAGAGCAGTACATTCAGACCATGACCTGGCTGCAGACTTTGACCGGGTTGTTGGAGCAGATGCAGGTTTGGAATTTATTTTCTCTCCTATATTTTCTTCAAGCCTGAAGTTAGTCCACTGGTCAGAGTTATTTCAAGTATTTTCTGTTAAATTGTGACTTAAGTCATCCTCAGTCAACTGCAGAATAACTGCTAGGGTTATTTTGCTCCTAAGAGTTTTGTGAGCTTCCCCTGAAAGCCACTTGGAGAATGAACTTTGCAGGACCTGTGTGAACACGTGTTTGTTTCGTTGTCAGTGGAAATTCAGCATCCTCACTAGCCCCTTAAACTGGACCAGGAGATGTCTCGTGAGGTACTGGGATTTGAAATCTTCCACTGGTGTTTGCATCTAGTCCTGGTTCTGTCCTTAGTCTCTCCTGTGTGACTCCTCCAGCCTGGTTCTTTTTCCCCACCTGTAAAATGAAGGGTCTTCTGGAATGAACACTTCAGACTAGTCCCTGTGGCTTACTAGAGAGAATCAAAGCAAGAGTCAAGATCTCTGTATTTTTTTTAGTAAAATTTTATTGATTTACTCTTCATTTACATAACTCTAATTTTGTTGGTATAATTTCACACTTCAGCACATGCACACACTTCACTCACCATCACCAAAGCTCCAGTTCTGGTACCCTCTTACATTACTCCTTCTCCCAACCCCTTCCTTTCCCTATCTGTAGCCACTCTATTTTTCAGAGTTCAAGAGGTTTTTTTTTTGTTGTGTTTTGCCAGTTTGTTTTCTTCAGTTGTTCATATTCTACAAATAAGTGAAATCACCTGGTAACTTACCTTTCACTTTCTGACTTATTTCATTTAGCATCAGGACGCCAAGATCCACCCCTTCGTCACTCCTGACTCTGGTTAAAATGTCTATGAGATTCCTTTTGTTGGGTGGCCATCAGCTGTCATTTTCTTTTTACCTTTTGCTCCTATTTTAGCCCAACCAGAAAATTCTTTGCTTTTCCATCTAATTGAGGTGTTCTGCTTTCTTGCCTTTTACAAAAACAACTATGCTTTTTCTTCTTAAACACTTTAAAAGATAATATAATAGAAAAAAAAATCAAAAGCAACTAGTCCTATTCCCACTGCACAAATTAAAGAGAAATGTCTGTGTCAGTTTCCACGTTTGTACATATTTTTACATGCTTGCACCTCGTGAGTGCACAGTTATACCTGCTGTTCCTCTTCCCTGCCATTAATATTGACACATATGTAGTGTGTGTAGTAGGTGTGTGTATTAAGTGTTGTTTATATATGTAATACATATCTGAAATAGATGTACCTCTGTGTTATACAGACACTTTGTGTAGATGTATATGCATTATGTTTAAACATAGCCTTTAAAAATATTTCTATATTTTCTGCTTAATCAAGGCCTTGTCTATTAATAGCTTCATAATAATCCGTCTCAAGCAGTTTGGTGGAGAAAGGAGGCTTGCCACTGAGAAGTCTGAGAATCTATTACTTCATGCGTCTGCCTCTAAGTACTTAAAGGAATGAAATTTCTCCAAGAAAAGCTGCCTAATAAAGATTCTTATTACCTGATGAGTTTATCTGCAACCAAAATAGTCTCAGTAATTAGCTTGTGTCCCGCAGGTTCACAGGGATGCAGAGTCCCAGCTGGTTTTGCAGGAGTGGAAAAAAGAGCGAAAGGAGATGAGGTAAGAGCACCCGTCCCGCTGTCTGCTCAACTGAGCCCACCCGCCTTCCCCAGGGCCCGCCTGGGATCCTTCTAACCTCCTTTTCTAGCGCCCGGTTATAAATGGGATCCCCATTGTCCAGAACCAGGCCCTTGCTGTTAGTGATGTGTCACATTTCCCTGAGGCTGCCAGTGTCCGTGGCATCTCTTGTCCTGGCCATTTTGTCATGGTCCGGTGAGGCTGCTGGGGTAGAGCTAGAGTAGGCTGTGAACTACAGTGATTTTGGGGGCTCCTGCAGCCCAGCTGCTTATTAATTTTTTTAAGATTTATTTATTTATACAAGAGCTGGGGTACAGGCCAGAGGCTTGGGAGGGTGAGCAGATTCACCAGAGAGAGAGAGCTGGGAGCAGAACAGGCAGACAGACTGAAAGCACTGCTGAGGGGAGCAGTGGGCGAGACAGGAGAGGTCTGCCCCGTCATGTGGGTATCTCCCTGGTCGGGCAGGAATCGAACCTGCGCTGTAGAGGCTGTGGACAGTTTCACAGTGCTGTGCTCAACCCGCTGCGTCACTGGGGAGGCCCCAGCTGCTTATTGCTAACCCTGCAGTTCAGCAGTGTGCATAAGCCCAGTGTCAGAAAGTATTGGTGCAGCAAGCCTGCCTGCTGCCGGGGAAGTTGAGTGCGTGTGTGTCTTGGGAACAGTTGTGCAGAAGAGGCCTGTGGACAGTGCTGCCTCTGTAGGGAGGATGCTGTGTCTGGACCCCACTCACAGGTGCACTTCTGTGCTTGGCCTGTCCCTGCCCGGGCACAGCCATCTCTAAGGTTTGGAAATAGGGGTCCCTGCCTGGGTTCTGGCTGCTGAACAGAGAACAGACTGATGGCCGGGGAGGGTTTGTGGGGGAGGCATGGAGAGGGGACAGTCCACCTGGCTGTGCTGTCAATCCTACCCTCTCCCTCCCCAGCAAGGTCTTGGCTGTTGGGATCTTACTCTAACTTGATGGTTACTCTAAAATTGGTATAAAATGCTGGATGATGGGGGGAAGGCATGTAGTGGTGATTTGACGTTGGGCCCTTTGCCTTTGAAGGCTCCAGGGACCTCAAATGCTCTCATGAAGGAACCATGTCATCCCACAGAGGTGAGATTTTTCCTTTGAACTCAAGTCTCTCAGAACCTCACATAGCAATGGATTTTTCACTTCAAGTTTAAAAGTCATTTATGTTGCTCCCCCCACAGATCTAATGGCCTTTTTAAAATTTTCTTCTTTTTGGTTGTTTCAGCATCTGTTGTCATCATATGTAAGGACAGATGGCTGCTGCCCAGTTTTACCACAGTTATGCAAATGATTGTGTTTTGCTGTGTTTGCAACCAATTTATGAACAGCCAAATGACTTTGAACTCATTTACCCTACGCTTTGCTCTCTTCTTGCTTCTCCAGAGAAATGACCAAAAGTTTCTTCAACACCCAGTTTGGAAGCCTGTTCCGAACAGACCAGAATCCCACCTATTTCCTGAGGCGCCTGTCGCGGTTCGCCGACATCTACATGGCCTCCCTGAGCTGCCTCTTGAACTACGACGTCAGCCACACGTTCTACCCCCGGAGGACCCCACTGCAGCACGAGCTTCCTGCGTGGGCGAACGGGCCCCCCACCGTCAGACTCCCCCTCCTGCAGGAGGCCCAGGCCAAGTAACCCGGTGCCTGCCTGCAGAAACAGCCAGAAGCCCATGGCCCCAGCGTGGGCGGAGGACACCGTGGGGTTGACTTTGTGTGGATGTGACTGTTGTTTTTGGAAAAGACACAAACATGCCTTTTGATACCGATTTTGTACTTTGGGGGAGATACGCCCCGGGTTAAGACAGAAGCTAGCAGCCCACCGCCCCCTCCCCTGACACGGAGCAGAAGGGCAGGCTTCCCACGCAGACTCTCATCAGCCTCCGGAACTGGCGGCAGTTTTTTTGCGACAAGTGAAGTTCTGAACTTATTCTTGATTTTTCTCCGGAATGTTCATTCGAGTGTCACGGGCAGTGCACTGGGAACTGTGGGGCACCGTGAGCTGCAAAGACAAGCTGCTTGAGGAAGCTGTCCCGTTGCAGCCTCGCACGGCTGTGCCCTGTCAGCTGCCCATCCCCGAGTCGTCTGGTTCTGGGGCCTGCGGCGTGCTGGGGCGTCCCTCGAAAGACAAGACTCAGCCCCCCAGGAAAGTCTCACATCAGAAAGAACAAGAGAAGCTGGCACTCCTTGACCCTCGGTCTGGTCAGTGCCCGCTTCCTGTGTCCATGCTGGGGAGGACACGCGGGGCGGGAAATAAGGGCCCCAGTTAAAATCACTTGCCGGCGGACTGTCGAAGAGGTTGCAGGGAACGAGCAGGTCAGAAGAGCCAAAGCATTTGTGGTGCGTCCCCCAGGAGCTGATTACACTTGGAAATGCCACCCGAGTTGGCTCGATGTGCTCATGGGAGGGAAGAAAATGAAACAGACAGACAATGTGCTCGTTAGGAGATGCCGTCACCCCGCTGGGTTGTGTCGGGGTCTTGTTCAAACGCACGCGTCGCCAGGAAGCAGCCTCGTCTGGGAGCAGCAGACAGTCGCCTGCCTCTCTCGAGTCACCAGCTGGGAGAGGTGCTTGAATTCGGGGCCGGCGGGGCCTCGCCGTTCAGCATCTCCCATCCCCACCACCTTAGATCTCCTTTCTGCCATGTCTCTGTGGCCATTTTGGGAATTTGGGTGGTTTGCCTCAGATCTCTGTGTTTAAGGTGTTGAGGCTAAGAGAAGGAGAGTTGAGCTGGGCCTCGCGGACTGACTGTTTCTCATTTCTTCCCAAGGGCGAGACAGTAAATCCTTAGACCTAAGGACAGAGGCGCAGGGATGGGGCTCGCGGGGTGCGCGCGCTTGCTTCGCATTTTGACTGCAGTAAGTGTGTCGGAACCAGCCGCAGATGAGGGGCTCGCGTGGCACGCCATCGCGGGCTGCCAAGATGCAGAAATGAAATGCGTTATGTAGGGAACTTGGTCCTGCTGCGAGTGATGAAGGAATTCCCTTGTGAGATTTTGTTGCATTTAACTATGATGGTGAAATGACTCTGCAGACCCAGTAGACCCATTAAGACCCAAGAGCCACTTTTCCCTTCTCAATTTTGCTATAAACACAGCACTCCATTTCTCTTTTTTTGGAATGGGGTCGGCCTTTTCTCTGCTGTCTGCTAGCCCTTAGGTGTTTTGAGTGTATCCAAGGCTGGTAGTTAATGGGCACAGAGGGTGCCCAGAACTGCTTCTCAGTTTTTGCTGTGGGGCAGCTGAGTGGGGAAGTAGGAATTGCTTAAAAGGAGTTCCTAGTTGTTGTCTATTCAGTGGATGTCTTTCTGGGCTAAGGTCCAGGTGTTTTGTTTACTCAAGAATGAAGTAGAACTATTTTTAAATAGTTTCATGGTTGACCCAAGCCTTGGGGAAGAAATAGTTTCTGGGGCAGAATAATGAGCTTTACGATTTATTACCAATTTGGTTTCCGTCTCTGGGCCGTGACTGGGCGGCAGTGCACCTGCCCCGTGGCAGGAACCTGGGGTGTACCTGAGTAGGGCCCACCAGCCACCGCCGACCACAGACCCACGCCGGGCCGGCCCAGCCCAGCCTCATCCACGCAAGGGACATCTGCTCAGGCCAGGCGGGGCCTTGACCTGTCACCATCGTGACCCACGCTGCACCAGCACTGTGTTCCTTCCAGATTGTTCTCTGGTGTGCACGTGGATGAAAGCATTCTGCTCCAAGGGAAGTGAATCTGTGCTATGCCATTTAAGAAGTCAGTTTGGCACAGGAACAGAATAAAATCAGTGTGCATATTAAGATGTCTCCCTTTTTGGGCATTAGTTAGACTGATGGTCTAAGAATCATGGATTTGAAAGTCTGTAGTTCGGGTGAGTTCATGCCTGCTGGACGCACAGGGCAGAGGCCTGGGGAGGGGCCCACATGCTGATTTTCCCAGAGCTCCTTTCACAGACCTGACTTTTCACAGACTGTCTTAGGAGTTTGTCTCAGAGCTCCCCTTTGCTCACATAAACCTTTTTAAAAACATGCTCTTCAGCTCCTTCTCTGCTACTGCCTTCCCCCCAGGTAACGGGCCCCGCCTGCTACTGACGGGCACAGCTCAGACTAAACCACCAGCTGCACTGAAGCTTCGGCCACTCAGTTGCCGCAGGGGGGACGGGAAAAGCAGTCTTCCCTCTTAGCACATCAGCTTTGGGTGAACCAAATGGCTTTTCATCTCTTTTCCTCCCCAAAGGCCTTTTAAGCAGTGGAGTGTGTGCTGAATATTGGAATTGAATTCCACACTGCTGAATGCTCCTTTGCTGCCAGAGACCCACTTGGGGGGCCCTGTCTAGACAGTTCTAAGGCCAAGTTTGGGTTCCTCCAGGGCGATATGCTACTCCCAGGGGCCCTAAGCTTTCCCCTTTTAACATCAAGTTCCTTTTTCCTTTCCCTTAGCATTTGGGAGTTTGACTCCAAGTTCAGTGAATCTTTAACACCACTGTTAGGTTCAGAGAAGACAAGGGAATGACTTTCTCTACGGCAGGGGTCAGCTGACTTTTCCTATTAGGGCCATGACCCTAGGAGTGGGCCATGCTTTGTGCAGTGCGGCTTGGTACTCAAAGCCAGGCTGCAGGCTGCATTTGGCCCTCCGGCATGGTTTGTAGCTGCTGCTCCAGTGTGTCCTGTTGGTGGCAAGGTTGGCTGGTCTTGCTGAAAGCTTGCAGACCACAGATGGGCTTTCTAGGTATGTGTGCCATGTTTCTCTAAGAGCTACGCTCTGGGTAGATTTACTTGCATGGTCAGTGATAAAATAGTGTTCCCTGTAATTGGCTTGATTGCCATTGTGCGTGGTTGAGCTGCCAGGCTCGGCGTTAGTTAATATACCTCTCATTGCATTGTTCGAGACTTCCCTGGGTGCAGCGGGTGGTGGGCTTGGCTGTCAGGATCTCCTTCAGGACTTACTCTCCTAACTGCTGGGTGTACTATGGTCGATTCCGACTGCTGAAAGCCTGTTCAGAGAAGGTGACATCCTCCTGGAGCATCCTGTACCCTTTGACTAGTTGAGTGGGCAACCTCAAAGCCCATTAGCTCCAGAGCTTAAGGGGTGGTGTTGGGGGGTTTCTGTCAAGTTTGGCTGCAGCCCCGCCCCCCCCACCAACCCTGCTTCCTTCCCTTCCCAGCGTGATCCCAGGAACACGCACCTGTAAACTTCCTGCATTGGGGTCTCCATCTCAGCATCTGATTTCTGGGGACCCCAACCCACGACAGTGCTTCTGTACTTTTCTAGGACTGCAGGCTTGAGCGCTGACTTAGGAAATTTGTTTTCTATTTATTTAGTGGAATGACGGATTTTGTGTCTGTGATATCAGGCACAACAAATGCAGATTAAGTAGACTTACTATTTATTCTGAATGTGAAATTGCTATTTATTCCAAATGATTTTATGTTATATGATACTGAATTTATGGTCAAATAAAAGTTTGAATTGTCTTGTCAGTTTATTCTAAGACATCTGTTTTGTCAGCTTAAGGTCGTGGCAAAGCCATATCAAAGTCTAATGTAGCCCCAAAATATCCCCAAGATAAGGGGTGATGGATTTATGGCTCATATCTCGTCGTCCTCATCCCATGCTCCCCAGCAAAGCACACTTGCTGAGGTGAGGCTAGACTTGAAGCCACCTCGGGGCCTGCCTGCACCAAGTCTTTTGCATGACTTTCCTCCAAGGAAGAAATACCAGATTCACGAGAAGGTTCAAACAGAGTTTTGTGACCTGATTTCCCATAAAATGATGTAAACTGAATGAAGGAGCTGGACTATGGGACTCAGGCCCTTGAAACACCAGAGTCAACACGGTGAGGTTTCCATGTTGCATCCGAGGAATGGAGAGAGCTAACCAGAGGTTTCACAACGCACTGGAGTCTAGAGCCAAACTCCAACTGTGTGGCTATGAGACATTGGCACCGGGAGGAAAGCGGAATCCTAGACTTGGGGAGATGGAATCCCAATTCTTCCAGCCACCTGCCAGCCAGTAGGGTCCCCTGTGACTGTTCGCTGTTTTCTGGGCCTCAGTTTCTCTTCCCCAAAAGTGTGATTGGGTTAGTGCTTCTCAAAATTTTTTTACCATTCCCAGATTATATACTCACTCCCTTTTAACCCCTCCTCTGATAATCTCAATAAGGAACCATATATAAACCCCATAAAAGTGGAACTGCTTTACATGTAGAGGTGGGGGCTGTGGCGCGAGGCATGTCTGAACGCTTCTGCTCATCAATTCTGATTGTCCCTGATTCCATGAATTCAAGTGTAGCAAGGGAGTAAAGCACACGGCGTGGGCCAGTGGTCAGAAGGGGCGCTGTGCCACGGCTTACTGGAGGGGAAGTTACTTGTAAAGGGGAGAGGGCTTGGTCCCTCCAAGTCTTTTTTTTTAAAGATTTATTTATTTATTTATACAAGCACTGGGTACAGTCAGAAGCGCGGGAGGGTGAGAGAATTCACCAGAGCCAGAGCGGGGAGCAGAGGAGGCAGAAGGACCGAAGTACACTGCTGAGGGGAGCAGCGGGTGGCAGGAGAGGTCTGCGTGCCATGTGGGACCCTCCTCCGGTGTCTGGGGAGCAGCCGGGGATCGAACCGGCGCCGCAGAGGCTGCGGGCAGCTTCGCAACCCAGCGCTCAACCGCTGCGCCACCGGGGAGGCCCGGTCCCTCCAGTCTTAAGGGTAGTTTTGACTAAGTAGCCCCCTAGTGTATCTAAGATCCGGCTTCTTTCCATTTCTCATTCACCCCTTCCTGTGGCCAGTTTCACCCCAAGTCTGACTTTTTTGGGGGGAAGAAGAGGGTGAGAGTTGGAGGGTGGAGAGGATTGGGGAGTAGGGAGGTTGGGTATGGGGTAAGGAGGCTTCAGCAGGAGCAAACCTCGTGGGCAAGCCTGCTTAGGATAGCATAGTCTTTCTGAACTTTTTATTTGAATCTAACGGTCCAGAATGTTAATTTTAACTCCGCCTAATAGCTGGTCAACATCAGGGCAGAGAAGTTTCTTGGCCCTCTGCAGAAAGGGGTTTCAGTGCCAGTCACTCTAGTGATTACAATTTTAATTTGTATTAAAAATTCTTGCAAAGCCGCAGCCCACCTGTACAATATTTGGGAAGGTGATGGCATTAATTTTAGTTATCCTGTCTTAAACATTTTTTCGAGATAGAATTCATATGCCATAAAATTGACCATTTTAAAGTGTACAATTCAGTGGTTTTTGGTATTTTTCACAAGGTGGTATAACCCTCACCACTCTAAGATCCCAGAACATTTTTGTTACCTCTCAAAGAAACCCCATTAGCAGTTAATCCCACAATCCTCTTTCCCAGCCCCTGGCGACCTCTAAGCTTTCTATCTCTGAAGTTGTCTGTTCTGGAAATTCCATGAGCGTGAAATCACCCATGTGGTCTTTGTGTCTGGCTTCCACCGCTTGGATTTCCTTCCCGTTTGGGGTGGAATGACATTCATTTTCTTTCTCTGGATGGACCACAATAAGTTGGTGAACATTCGGGTTGTTTCCACACTTAGGCTGGAAACACCACTGCGAGGAAGATGCATACATGTTTCTGTATGGCCATTTTCCATTTCTCTTGGGGAGCTACCTGGAGTGGCATTTCTGAATCATATGGTGACTGCAAATTTTTGAGGAAAAACCAAACTGTTTTCCACGGTGACTGCCCTTATGTGCTCCTGCCAGGGGTGTGGAAAGTTTCCAATTTCTCCACATCCTTGTCTGACTTGTTACTGTCCATCTTTTTGGTGACAGCCGTCCTAGTGGGGGTGAAATGGCACCTCACCGTGGTTATCATGCCTTCTTAACATAAACACCAGCAAGAATGAAGAATTCATAAGAAAGAAGAATTCATAAGACAGCTGTTGGCTAGTTGAAAAACTTATGCGGCTTTAATTAGCCTCATAAATGGATTTTACCTTCAAAGTGTGACCTCTCCTGGTACAAAACACTCTTTGTTTTCCCAAACACTAGTTGTATTGTCTTGATATTCTTTCCATAAACATTTATTGAGCACAGTTCATATGCCAGACGCTGTGTTAGGTGCTGAGATACAAAGGAGCAGGAGGCTCGGCCTCCAGGAGCTTACAATCTAGAGGGGACCGGGACAGGGTCACAGAGTGTGGGGCCGAATATAGTAAGTGCCCCTAAGGGCAGGAGGAACAGAAAGGGACAGAGGAGGAAGAAATCCCCCTGGGGTGGGGTGGGGGTAGAGGTGGTGGATTTAACAGGGTCCCCACCCCACAGAAACTAGAGTTCCCTAGATTAAGCACAGAACTGAGGTATGGTTTCTGAGTGCTTCAGACTTTAAAATGTTAAAGGTCCTTACATTCCCAAAAGGCAACCGGTGCTGAGGATTCACAGTTGACAGCCTTTCTGAGGAGGCTTGGTGGGCCGGGTGGCCCTGGGGGGAGGGGGTGCATCAGGTGGCTCTCACAGCGCCCCCAGAGGGTCACTGCTCTCCAGCTGCCGCTCCTCCAGGTCCTGGAAAAGAGAGTGACTCGTCAGGCCGAATCTTCAAGGTGGAGCATTTCTTTGGGCTGCTGGTCTGAGGCCCTGATGGGGTTCAGGACATGTTACCCCAAACATGCCACTCTGGTTCACTAAATATCTTAAACTGAAGGAATTTTAAAAAATGAACGGCAGAAGCAGGAAAGTCAGTCTGAACGTGCTCCCTAATCCTCTTTCTTCCCTCATCAATCAGATCATTAAACTTCAATGTCAGCCCCTCCCCCCCAACTTGTCCTGGGAGACCAGGGATACAGAGATGGGGAACTGGAGACCAAGAACTCAATTAGTTACTAATCTACCTATATCTTCCTAGTGTCCTTCCCCCTTTACTAGCTCCAGCCCAAACCCTTTTGTCTGGTCAATTCTCCACAAATACAATGTTTCTCTGTCTAAAAGGTATAAAAGCTCTGGCTCTTGTCAGTACACTTCCCACTCTTGGGAACTCTCCTTTGTGCATGTAAACGTGCAATACAATAGGCATGCAATAGGCATGCAATAAAACATGCATGCTGGTGAATCTGTGTCATTTCACTTTACAGAGGCTGCCGGGAACTCTCAGAGGGTAGAGGAAACCTTCCCACCTACAACATTTCAACTCAATCCTTCCTGAGTTTTCTGAGCTCTCACACGGTGGGTGCACCCATGGTGGGGTGCCCGCCGGAGCCGCTGTGTCATGATGGGGGGGTGAATGGTGTGCTGGTGAGGGCCACCCGTTTCGGGGGCAGTGGCTGCTACTTGAAGCTTGTGTGGCCCTGGACACATCATGAGTTGATGGATGCCATCTAGCTGAAGCCGCCCTGCGATTTCAACTGGAAACGTTTATATGGGTTTGATGAAAAAGTGAAACAGGATGTATGACCTGGTTAGTTTTCAATCAGGAGTTTGGGATTGGGCAGCCTCTGGCCCCCCTTATCTCTAAAGGTTGGAGGCAGCTGCCGTCTACCCCAGGGATACTGCACAACCACCCGGGCCCACTCGGCTTGCAACCCTGGCTTTTCGGCTTGAGGCCCCGAGATAAGTCCTAGCAGTGAACTCTCGTTGGTGTGAGCTTTCCACTGAGCTTCACTGAAAGACACCATTCTCCGCACACCCGCTGAGCCAGTTCCCAGAAGACAATGTGAACTCACAGAGAAGGGGTCATAGGAAGGTTCTGGGGGAGCCGAGGTTGCGCTCTCATACATGGGGTTTGAGATGTTCTCAGGCTGCTGTTTGCCAAGATCTGTGACGTCAATGTCCTCATCCGACTGTGGAAAGACAAGGGCGGGCCGTGAGCCAGACCCTCCCCAAGGCAGGGCCTCCCCTCCCCTCCCACGCCCTCCCTGGCCCTCCCCGCCAGCCCTGTGGGAGGTGTGCCCGGTGACTCCTCCAGGCAGTGTGCTCCAGGGCCCCAGCGAATCTGCCTCCAAGCCAGACCCCAGCATGGAGGCGGGGAGGGCCATGCCCCGGGCTGCCCCTGGCCCTCCTCCCCAAGCCCTGTGTCAGCCAGGATGAGGGGCTTGGAGCTGCCCCTGCCACTCCTTTTTGGGGAGACAGGCTCTCCAGGGCAGGAGGTGTTGCTGGCACGGCTTCAGGTGAGCTCTCCGCATCCGCGAGTCAGCCTGAGGAGCCCAGAGCTCGGGCTGGATTTCAGAGAGGCCCCCATCCCCCTGCGCCCCTTTTTCTCTCTCTTACTTCAAAATGCTGGAAGCCGATTGTTCTCCGGTTTAGTCGAACATAGGAATATGCAGCCAAGGCGACGGCCCCCGTAACCAGGAGGATGGCGAAGAAGATCCCTGTTCCCAAGCCAGCGTGGCCTGAGGACTGACACAGAAAAGGGAGGGGTTGATACTTAATACGAGTGTCTTCCCCAAAGGGGTGGTGCTTTCTGGAGCCTGCCGGTTCCTGCATGCCCGAGGGCTGTCGTCAGTTGGGGTAAAAACAATGATGAGAGTTGACACGACTCTAGCTTTTCCCACTGCCAGGGTCTGTGCTCAGCCCCTCGCATGAAACAATCTGTGTGAGACCTACAAGGGCCCAAAGACTTCGGGATAGTTGTTAGGATGTCCATTTGATGATGGGGGTGGGAGCTGAGGCACAGAGAGGCTAAGCACTTGCCCGACATCACACAGCCTGTGCGTGGTGGGGATGGGGATGAAGCTCAGGTGCTTACCCAGGCCGTTGTGGAGCTCCCCAGCCGCCAGCTGCGCTCACTGCCTCACAGGCACTACATGCAGGGACTGACTAATTATGTTATATGATTGATTCATGGCCCTCCCAAGATCCCGGAGGGGGCACATTATGATCCCCATTTTACAGGTAAGGAAGTGGGGCTCAGAGATGTTCTGGGACTTGTCCAGGGTCTTCCAGCTAGTGGAGTGGAGGGGCCAAGCCAGAGCCCATTCTGTTCCTTGTGTCAACAGATGCTGTGTAGGGAGTGCCCTGGAGTGGGGTGAGGCGATTGGGTGCCCAGCACCCCCAAAGCCGCTGCCATGGAGTCTCCAGAGTAGGGGGTGAGACAGTTGGCCTCAAGGAGCGTGGCCATTGGGGCCTTATGACGCCTCACCAGGAAGCTGGATACTCACCACAGGGGCAGGAGGTGCCTTTAAAGGCCTGGAAATGACATGAATGACCCCATTGGAGGCAAAGATGTCCCACTGCAGAATGGCCCGTCCATCCACAAACCTGGTCTCCTAGGGGAATGAGAAGAGGGCTGGGCAGTGTCCTCTCATGGTTGGTCCTTCTCTGGAGGGGAGCTGCTCAGTTTCCCTGAGGTCCCATAGCCTGCGTATTAGCTGTCTTTTCATCGACAGGCAGCACAACCACCTGCTCACTGTCTGCACAGCGCGGAATTAGTTGTCCTGTGTCAACAAGCCAAGAGCTGCAAAGAACCCAAGGGATCCTGCTGTCCAGCCTGCTTGCCTGACAGATGAGAGTTCAGAAGGAAAGTGACTTGTCCGAGATCCCCCAGGTGGAAGGGCAAACCCCGTGCCTCTGGACTCCAGGCCCATTGCTCTGCCCATCACATCAAAGTGGTTGGAAAGGGATCTTTAAGTGCTCGTGAATGTGTGATCGTCTGGCTTGTGATGTGGCCATAACCTGAGATCTGATTAGAAGAGCAGACCAGGAGGCACCACGCTCCTCCTGCTGAATCTCAGTCTGCGTTTAACAAATCTCCAGGTGATTCAAATGCATGTTAAGGATTGAGAAACACTGGTTGAAGCTAATCTTCAATGAAGAAAATCATTTAGCAGGTAAATATTAAAAAATAATACCCATTCCGCATTTGCTATACATCAGGCAGTATTCTTGCATGTCACAGTCTTGAATCGCTCAGTTTCCACAAGAGTCCATGATTTTGACAATGTGGCCACATGGTCATTGTTAGCACCGCCAGTGCCACCATTTCTAATACCATAATCACCATCATCATCATCAAAAAAGTAATCATTACCACCATCGATATCATCGCCACCCCTATCATCAGTACCACCACCACCATTGATACCAGCACCATCATTATCATCAAAATAATCATTATCATCAATATCATCACCATTAACATCATCACCATCATTTGCACCATTATTAAGATAATCACCCCCATCATCAATGCCATCATCGCTACCCTCATCATCAACGACATCAACATATAACCATCATTCCTAATTTTTGGATGACTTGCCTAAGTTCCTATAGATATGTAGCGTAAATGGAATTCATCAGGCTTTTGGAGCCACTTGCCTCTGTGGCTATCACCTGTGGCCTTGATGGTGCTGCTGTAGAAGGCGCTTGGGGGCGTGGGTGCGGGGCGCGCATGCCTGAGTGTGGTCACGTCGGGTAGGGTGTGGGCGTGTGCAAGTGCGCACACCTGAGCCTAGAGGCCTGGGCTATGGCTACTGGAGGACGGCTAGGACAGGGCAAGTGACTACGGAGGAGGTAAGGTCACGAGAGAATGCCAGAGGGAACCCAGAGAAAGCCCAAAGATCCACTGGGGCTTGGGGGCTTGCCAGCCTCTTGGTCCCCCAGACCCCAGCGGCCTGCCTTGTGCCTGGCTCCCCTACAACAAGCTAGCATGCGGGGGGATTGGTTTTCACACTGCAGTAAACTCAAGCTTCACCTTTTAATGCCTGGGATGGACCCTCACTGGTAGAAACAGCGGCAGCGAATCCCCCAGGTTCGCAGTGGTTTTATTTATAGCTCCTCGCTCATTACCAGCTTCGGGGGCTGGGGGCACAAGGTCTTATTTCCCAAGAGGCAGGGGCTGCCTAGCAGTCTGTGCAGTGTGCTACAGTGTGAGCTAAGACCACCCCTAACTGCACGTTTGCTGTACTTTCACACACTAGTTAGTTGTCAACTACTAAGCACCTACTATGTGCTGGGCACTTTGTATTATCTCCAGTTTCCCCAGTAAGCCCGGAGCACTTTTCATACCAGCTGGTGCTGGTCCTGGCTGGAGGTGATGAGCAGCTGGCTTCCTAGCTGGGTCCCCAGGATGGTCCCATTGACAAGGTCGTTGTAAAAGAAGGTGCTGACATTGGTGAGGTGGTGCTCGATGTCTCGCCCAGACAGCGTCTGCGAGGAAAGGAGAAACAGGAGAATGGTCTTAAGAGACCATGCGAGATATATATATATATATATATATAGATAGATAGATAGATAGATAGATAGATAGATATAGATATATAGATATTTTATTGATAAGGATGACACAGAGAGAAAAATCACTTCTTCACGGCCTTGGCTTTTTGCCTCCATGTGGAGATCAGGAAATGTCAAGTATTGGTTCTCTGGGCTCTGCCAGAGGCTCACCTCTGCCCAGGTATAGTCATCTTTATGCTCTAAGCAGCCGCCCTGCCCCCACCCATGGGGTCTTGAGCAGGCAGTGAGTGGGCAGCCCTTGGGTGGGGCAGGGTCTGGGGCTGTTGGCACCAGCCGGCCAGCTGCGTGGGGAGGCTGAGTAAATATTGCCAGTTCCTCCGAGCACCAGAAAGTGAAGGTTGGTGTAGGGGTGACTGCATGTGACCATGCAGAGGCTTGCTAAGCGCCAGCCTGACTGGGCTTGCTCTCCCCATGTCCTGCCGTCGCCATAACAACAGGCCTGGTTGGCTGCTGGACTAGGGCCCTGAGGAGCAGAGCCCCAGACAGGCCAGTCCATCTCAGATCAGGAGCCAAGCCTGGAACCCCCAGCTGACCTGCGATGGGTGAGCTAAATAATGTGTAGCCACTGAGTTTTGGGTGATTTGTGTAAAGCGTCGTGTTGGTGATCGATAACTCTCTAGAATTGCTTGTCTAAATGACAGACCCCAGGACCCGACTCACCTCGTTGTCCCCCAGCCCGCTGTTCTGTGGCACAAAGAGGGTGCCTCGAATCGAGAGGTCGGTCAGGTGTTTCAGAAACGCCCGGCCTCTGGCTGAGCTATTGGAATAGGCCAGCACGTCCTGAGGAGAGGCAGGGAATGGTCAGGAGATCAGACCGGCCCTGGGGCGCATCACCCCTCTGGAATAGTCTTGACTTAGCCCCAACTCAGGCTGCCACGCGTCTGCTGTTTCTTCTGACTGCTCGTTGGGAGAATTTTCGGAGGACTTTTCCTTCCCCCAGTGATCCTACTGTCCTCAGTCAGTCACAGCGCAGACTGTTCTCAGCATGGCAGCTGCACAGCTAAATGTCAAGTCTACTCTTTTCAAAAGCCTGCAATGACCCTCACTTCACTCAGAGGTGGCCCCCACCATCTGGACACTGTGGCTTCTTGACCACATGGCCTTTGTCTTCCTTTGCTGTTCCTCAAACTCGCCTGGGCTCCTGCCCGGAGTGTTCTTTCTCCAGCATGGCTAACTCCCTCTGCTGCTCACGCTTTCCTCAAATGTCATTTCTCTTCAAGACCTTCTCACATCACTGCAAAATGGGAAACCTGTGGCATCCCTTCACCCTCCGTATCCTTATTTCCCCCCTAGTATACATCCCCTTTTAAATATTCATTATTATTTGCTTGTTTTCTTTATTTTGTTTATTTTAGTCATTGATATATCTCGAGCATATAGTAAATGCTCAGTTAATACATGCTCAACAAATCATAAGGAATTGCAATGCCCTGTTCATATTCTGGCAGTGTGGCCCCTTGCCAGTGCTCTTAGCCATGACCATGAGCTCTGGCTTCTGTCGGGGGGTCCTCTCTCTAATAACTGCTTTGAGGCAACCCCTCCCTCCCTGTGGCGAAACCCCGCAGATGTGGTACCTACTGTCAGAAAGTTTGTGAGCGAAGGCAAGGACATCAGGACCTGCAACAGATTCCCACTGCATGAGAAGCCATCTCCCACGTAGCCATCCTTGCAGGTGCAGTTCACATCTGGAAGGCAGGGGGACAAAGCTCCCACTCTGATGAGGCAGGGGCTGGGCTGTCCCAGCTCACTCCCTTAGAAGTTAGCTGCCAGGCTGGGCCTGCTCGCAGCTGCGTGGCCTGGACAGTGACGCGTGGCTGGGCAGTTACCTTTCATCCGGTAGCAGAAGACATCCCACAGCTCACTCTTGTTGTTTCTTGGCCCATAGTCCACTATGCCAACAACACCAGATCCACAGTTCTTGGAGGAGTAGGCTGTGGGGTAGGCAACACGCCCGCTCTCGAGCCAGCCTGCTGAGCAGAGATGGTACTTGGCCTGTAAGAACACAAACGTGGCCACAGGTCAGCTGCAAATTCACATTTGTTATGGGGTCCTTTGGGTAACATCTGATTTCCCCGTCAGACTATAAGCTCCATGGAGTCAGGGGTTACGACTCATTTTGCCTATTGTACCCCAGTGCCTGGAACATAGTAAATGCTCATGGATTATTTTTTTTGACAGTTATTGGATGGGTGAAAGTGATACTCCATCTACAGGTATCTGAGTCTTTCACACTCATTTCTATTTTCTTTGCTCTTGGGAGAGGATTTTTTATTTTTATTTTTATTTTTTTTAAAGATTTATTTTTATTTATTCATACAAGCACTGGGTACAGTCAGAAGCGCGGGAGGGTGAGAGAATTCACCAGAGCCAGAGCGGGGAGCAGAGCAGGCAGAAGGACCGAAGTACACTGCTGAGGGGAGCAGCGGGCGGCAGGAGAGGTCTGCGCGCCATGTGGGACCCTCCTCTGGTGGCCGGGGAGCAGCCGGGGATCAAACTGGCACTGCAGAGGCTGCGGGCAGCTTCGCAACCCAGCGCTCAACCGCTGTGCCACCGGGGAGGCCCAAGGATTTTTTATTTTTTAATTAAAAAAATTTTTAAACAATATTTGCTTCCCCCCAAACCCTCAGATTGAGTCCCCATAGAGTTTCCTTCCCCAAGGCACCCGTGCACCATCACCACAGTCCTCTGTGCTTGGGAGAGGATTTTTTAATCAGTCATTTACCCCTGGGTGCAAATTCTTTTGCATATGGTTTGCTAGGGCCCATCATTGTCATCATCATCATCATCATCATCATCATCATCATCATCATCATCATCACTGAGAGCTTATTCTGGCCTTGGTTTTGTTGCAAGAACTTTTCATGTCAACACCTTCGAGTTAACATCAATCCTATCAGGCAGGAACTTTTAAAGAATCTCTATTGTATAACTGGGAAAGTTGAGGCAAAGAATAGTTAAGGAACTTGCTCTAAGTCATATGGTCAGAAATAGCAGAGCTGAGATTCAACAGGCAGCCCATTCCAGAGCTTATAATATTAAAAATAAAGGTCCTACTGTGTGCCAATCACTGTGCCAAGTTACTTCAGACTTTAGACAAACACACCAAGTAGGACAGAACTTTCAATGGCTTAAATGCGGCCACCCAAGCTGCAAGAAGAACAGAAGCTCAAACCTTCAAGATACTGTGTCCCAGCATCAAAGACTTTGTTCCTTGGTAAAGAAACGTTAGGTCTGAAGAAAGGCAGAGATGGGGTCATGATGGAAGTTAGGGGAAGGACCCTGAAATCATGCAGTGTAGAGATTGCTGCTCTCTCCCAGTGAACAATCACCAGCAGGTAACTCCAAGGTGTTGGCTTTTCCAAATGGGCAGGCCTTCTGGTTTCAGATGCCAAGAGAGACCTGGCTAGAACTCCTTTCCTCCCTGGCTGCGAGAGCTGCATCAGACCCCAGTTCCTTCCTTCCCAGGCCCTCCAGGCAGAGAGCTCTGGCTCTTCCAGAGAAACATGACTGCTTTGTGGCTTGAGGAAGATCCTAGGCTCATGGTTATTGGCCTCTCTGAGCTCCAGCAGTGGGGGGCACGCTCCCACTCTCTGCCTCTGCCTGGGGAGCTGACTGTCATGGTTGAGAACAGACTTCTGGAGTTAGGGTTAAATATGGATACTCGATCTGCCACCTCCTGGCTGGGTGACATGGGGCACATTACTTAACCTTCCAGAGCTTCGGTTGCTCCATCTGTAGAGCAGAAATAGTAACACCTACCTTCGGGGTTGCTGGATGCACAGACAATAATGTCACTGCAGAGCCCCACACAGTGCCTGACACACAGTAGAAGCCCAGGGGACAAGATGAATTGTTATTGCTCTGGGAGCTCCCCCCCAAGAAGATGGGAGGCTAAGTCTCCCCCATACTGAGAACAGGCTGTCCCCGCCCCTGCAGACCCAGCCTGCACCACCTGGGACCCACCTTCTGTGCATAGGCGAGCTGGTTGAAGGTGGCTACGGTTGCAGCTTCGTTGGCACAGGCCTCTCTAGCTTTGTCGAAGGTCAGCTTGTACTGGCCGAGTGGGGAGCGTAGGTGGAACACGCCCACAGTGGTGTCTAGAGGAGAAGGAGGGGTGTCAGCCAGGTGAGCCCACATGGTTAATACTGCTCCAGTGAAGAACTTTCCAAGAGAAAACATCAGACATATCCTGGGGTGTCAGGGAAATGGCTTCCCTTTGAGTTATGTTGAAGCCCATCATTAAAAATATTAATTTCTTTCCTATTTAGAAAAATAGCACATGTTCACTGTCAAAATCTGGGTAATAGAGAAGAGTAATAAAAGAAGTAAAGATCATCTATGCTCCCTTATGTGCTAAGGCTAACAATTTGGCATATTTCCTGCCAGATTTCTTACTTTATTTTGATATTACTGCACAATCTTCCAGCCTTCTCCCCTATTCATTTGTATCCTCTATATCTTGATGTTATCAAATTTCTCTGGCAAAATGATTACCCTCTCACAGTTATAATTGAATAATTTTTGTGAACTTCGCGCAAAATGTTTTAAAAGAAACATTAAAGTCTGTTCCTGCCAAGGGCTCAGTGTTTTCTGAGCTTCCCTATTCCTTTAAAAAGTTTTCTAGGGGCACAGTGGTTGAGCGCTGGGTTGCGAGGCTGCCCGCAGCCTCTGCAGCGCCGGTTCGATCCCTGGCTGCTCCCCGGCCACCGGAGGAGGGTCCCACATGGTGCACAGACCTCTCCTGCCGCCCGCTGCTCCCCTCAGCAGTGTACTTCGTTGGTCTGCCTGTTCTGCTCCCCGCTCTGGCTCTGGTGAATTCTCTCACCCTCCCGCGCTTCTGACTGTACCCAGTGCTTGTATGTATAAATAAATAAATAATCTTAAAAAAAAAGTTTTCTAGCCATTTTCTCCCGGAAAGACACTGGAGGATCTTTATCATTTTTCATAGCTGATATCTCTTTTAGCGGATTGAACGCAGTGTCCTATTGTGAATTTACTCTGCCCACTGTCTCCACTGGGGCCTGGGAAGTTTGGCCCCTGTGATCCCCAAGCTCGAAGCCCAGGGTGCAGCCGGGCCCCACTGACCCTGGAAGTGGAGGTCAGCACAGTTGGCATCTGCGTGGCACTGCCCGTTGTCCTGCAGACAGCGGTCGATGGGCAGCTGCTCGGGCTCACAGTCCAGCCCGTCTCCCACGTAGTGGCTTTTACATTCACACTTGTGCTTGCCCTGTGGGGAGAGTGGGGAATATGGAAAGCCCATCTCGAGGATCCCAGGGCCCCCTAGGGTCCTGCAGGCCAGCATCTGGCATAGATCTCCAGAAGGACCAAGCGTCAGTCTCCGCGTCCAGGGGGACTTGAGTAACTGCTCTGTCTTGCTTCAGTGCAGGCTCATGATGTAATTGCAGCCTTCACAGCTCACGTCAATGTCACTTCCTCAGAACCCCCTAAGCAGAGCAGCTCTCACATCCCTCCTGTCACACTGGCTGACTCAAGTGTTTTGAGGCCCTTGCTGCTCTCGGACAGAATCGTGTGTCTTTGCTTCTCTACTGAGCTCTGCCCCTCCCGCTCGTGGTATGGAGACTTTTTAATGCTACATCCCTGGCGCCTAGTAGGAGCTTGATATTTGTTCAGTCAATGAATGACCTTGTCTAACTCCCCTGACAATCCTATGAGGTCTGCACTTTCAATGAAGAAACTAAGGCTCAGAGAGGTTAAGTAACCAGTCCCAGGTCACACAGCATGGAAATCCAGGCGCTAAGACTCGCGGGTTCTCTGATTAAGTTCATGTTTATACCGCAGAGGGCATTATCTCCTCCCATCTACTCTTCCCACCAGGGCAACAGGCTAAAGTGAGTGCCCACATCTATCCTTTTCCTGCCACTTCTTACCAACCTTTTTGTTTTAGTAAACTTTTTATTTTGGATAATTTTAGATTTATAGAAAATTTGCTAAGATAGCAGAGTGAGTTCTCATCTTTTCTCCACCCAATTTCCCTCAATGCTGACCTCTTGCAAAACCATAGCACATCTGTGAAAGTTAAGACTTTAACGCTGGGACATGACTATGAACTAGACAATAGGCTTGCTGTGGATTTCACCCATGTTCCTGCTAAGGTGCTTTTTCTGCTTGGGATACCACTTGGCGTTTACTTTTAATTTTTTTTAATAATTAAATTTATTTTCTTACATTGTGGTTCATTTTTGTACAATATTTGATTTCTCCCGTCAGGTGTCGTCCCTGTAGCTCTCCCACCACCACAGGACCCATGATCCATCTCCACAGTCCTTTGTGCTCGTCCCTCCTCTATTCTGTCCTCTCTTCTCCCTCTCCCCTGCTGTATGCCTCAGAGCTATGGTCTGCCTGCAAGTTTTGCCTTTTTCGGTTTCTTTATATTCCATCTAAAAGTGAAACCATCGGGTATTTCTCTCTTTCCTTTTGACTTATTTTGCTTAGCATAATCCCTTCCAGCTCCATCCATGTGACTGCAAATGGCATGAGTTTATCTTTTTTGATGACCGAGTAGTATTCCGTTGTGTCAATATACCACAACTTTTTGATCCTTTCATCTATTTTGGGGCACTTGGGTTGCCTCCATATTTTAGCTATTGTAAACAGTGCTGCAGTAATCATAGGCGTGCAGGTTTCCTTTCGAATCAATGTTTTTGTGTTCTTTGGGTAGATTGCTAGGAGTGCAATGGTGAGGCTACTACCTGGCATTGAACCACTGACGAAACAGGGAATAGAATGAAATGGGAAGGAAAGCTTGGGAAGAGCCTGAATGGACAGCAGCGTGGAGAGGCACAGCTGAGCGGGGCACAAGAAGCTGCCCCAACACCTCACCGGGCCAGTCATCTTGCAGGTGGCGTGCTCGTGACACCCGCCGTTGAGGCCGTCCGCACAGCGGTCTATCTCTGCGCAGCTGCGGCCGTCCCCCATGTAGCCCTTGGGGCAGCTGCAGGAGACCTTCACGTCCTTCTGTGAGCACTTGGCGACACTGGCACAGCCCCCATTGTTCTGTTTGCAGAAATCCACAACTGCAGAGCAGAGGAGAGATGGCTCAATTAACCACTGTCTGTTTGCTGACCTCAAACTGGGAGTATGGGTCACCCCAGGATCTGTGGTGCTGGGGCCATCAACTGGCTCCAACCTGCTGGTGCCTTCTCTCTCCATGTCCTGTGGCCTCTGTGCTAGCCTTTGCCAACACCGATGTCCGGTGGCACTTCATAGTCCAGGCCGGGTGACGTCTGGCACCCCGGCCTGCTTTGTCATTCACCTAGGCTCCGTGTTGGTAGCAGTTTTCAGAATGAGTCTGGGTTAACATGGGCATAGGTGGATGTTTGTGTGTGCAGTTAGCCCACGTTTGAGCCCCTGATGAGAAAGGCTGTTACCTACTTTCTACAGATGAACTGACTGAACCTCAGAGAACTTCACTGATCTTGCAAAGGCAAAGCAACTACCCCGTGGCTGGCTGGATTGAAACCCAGGAGGGTTTGACCACAGAGCCCATGCCTCCCCCTGTCCTGTGCTGCCTCTTAATGCCCTTTATCGTAATTCCCTCACTTCCAGTCCAGTCATAGTTTAGCAGGCATTTTGGTCTGATTTTCCTTGTCTGCCTTTATGCCTAGAATCATGGCAGCCACTTGAGATCCTGAGAGAAAGACAGTGAGGACAAAAACCTTCACCTTCAGGGTAGCAGACCGAGAAGACAGAACCTGGGTCATGGCTTACCCTCTTTGGGACTGCCTGGTAGCAGATTATAAACTGCAGGTATAGCAAGATCTCATGTTTGTCAAGAATTTATATAATGCAAAATGAATATTAATTCATGAAGTAAGTTAGAAGGCACATGTGCCCAAGACTGCTGGCTTCCCCCAGAATCTATTGTCTCCTTTTCTCTATAGTAACAGCTTTGCAGGTGTTGCTTAACAAAAGACTACATTTCCCAGACTCCCTTGCAGCTGGGCAGGGTGATGATGGGATTGCAGACCATGGGGTTGGAGCAGACATGACTTAGGGACTGCTAGGTGTGTCCTTAAGGGGACGAAGGTTTGTGTTGCCACGGTCTCCCCTCTCCCTGGGATGCAATTATGGTAGTTTCTCTCTAGGATCAGGAAAGTGAGCAATGGCAGAGCAACAAGCTAGAAGGAGTCCGGGCCCCTGGCCACCTCCATCCAATCTATGAGACACTGCTCACCTGGGTGTCTGGCTGGCTGACCCCATATCCTGACTACTACAGGTAGATGCTGCAATGTTCAGAGTGGTGTTCACCAAGCGGTGAGAGCATGTGTAAGTTTAACTTTGGCTTTTTGTTTTTTTTTTGAAAGACTGTAGTGTATTTACTTGAGAGTTGGAAAACACTATAAAATAAAATACACCACAGTTTGGAAAGCAATTCTAAAGCCATGACCTGGGAGGTGCTGCTAGGCATGAGCAAGCCCATAAGGAAACTGAGTTGCAGGGAGGGTGGGTATTGCTGAGGTGGCCCAGGCAGGAAGCACAGGGGCTGGGGCGGAGCACAGACACTGACTGGGTGGTCCTGCCTGCTCCTGTGCCGACTACTCCACAACCCATGCAGGACACTCACCTGTGCACGTGATTCCATCCCCTTCGTAGTTCAGGTTACACTCACAGGTGTTGTTCTCCTTACAAGTGGCGTGGGCTGAACAAGGAGGTGTGCACACTGGGGGCAAAACTGCAAAGAGAAGGGTCCCTGTTTATCCATGGCGTGCAGAGCTGGGACCCTCTCAGGAGTCCTTCCAAGAGTACCTGGGCTGCCACTGTGTTTCTAAAGAGCCCCTTTCAGCGGGAGGATGGGGGTGATTTGAAGCTTCTTCCTGGCATGGAGAGCCTGGGATTCCAGAATTGCTCCTTTATATTAATTAAGACATTATCTCAACAACATAATCCAGATTAAAATGCAAATACATTGCCTTCAAGGGCAACTTTATACCCCAAAATTTGCTGGCAGAGATGAGTTTGACGGATTAGCTCTCTAGCCCTAAAGGCAGGAATTTCCAGACAGAGATGGTTCAATTGGAGGAGAAATTCCCAGGCCCTAAGAAGGCACCAGCGAGCCTGGGAGAAGTTTGGTGTTTTGGTGATTGTAGGGCAATTTGGCAGCAAGAAGCCAGAGGGCAGTTAGGAAGAAGGACGGAAGGAGAGGAACTGAAGTTAAGGGTATATGGGAATCCTGGAACATCAGCTGGTAAGTAGAGCTTAGCATGCCCTTCGGGCCCAGGGAGGGTGCCATTATAGTTATTCGTGTTGCATGATTCAACCTTCACTTGCCAGACCTGCCACTGGAATATGCAGATTGGGGTATGAAGGAAGGATTATGGTGATGAGGATAATGATCGCTCTGATAACAGAGCTCGTGGTTTTGATCATCCAGATCTACCAGGTACTTCAAAGCCCCCACCTTGGGCCCTTGCAACAATCTCCCCTGCAAAACATGTGACCTGTTCTTCTTAAGGAGAATCACATGAGCTCAGAGTGGGTGGTTTATCTAAGGCCATTGTTTAATAAGTAGCCAAGTCAAGAGTCAGATCCTGGATTCCAAAGACTGCATTTTCTATGAAACTACCCGGCCTCTGTGTAAACATCTGGGCCCAGGACCATGATCCTGAGCGACCATTCCCACCCGATCCTGGATTCTCTGCTTGCGGTGGGTCCTTCTGCCATTGCACAGCACTGTATTCTGTTTTGAGTTAAATCTTTTCATCTGCTTTCTGTCAAGTCACCAAACCTCCTGAGACCTGAGGCCACATACTCAAATCATCCTTTCCACGCAGCGAAGGAAACACCTTCTTGGTTATCTTATTTCTCAGATGTTGCTCAGATTCCCAAGATCAGTTGGGGGTTCTTGGCAGGGTTCTCTGCAGATCAGTGCTGCTGGGAGCTGCCCACTCCCATGACAGACCTGCCTGAGTGTCGCAGAAGCGGCCGGTCCATCCCGTCTCACAGAGGCACTGCCCGGAGCCCGTGATGCCCTCATCGCACTGTCCGTGGTCCGAGCAGCCACAGGCTGGAAAGCAAATTGGAAGTGTGATCAGCTACGGGGATTGGCATCCCATCAGCCAGCTCACTGCAGGCTGTGTTGTCAGTGTGGGGGCACTGAGCTTATGCCTTATCATTCATTTACTCAAACACTCACATTATAACTTATTCAGGGGCTGTCAGGGGGTGGACGGTACTGGGCTATAAGGTTACAGTGGCAACCATAAGGATGAGGTCCCCATTCTCATGGAGGTTACAGTTAGGAGTTACTGCCTATTGAACATGTAATTACAAATGCAGAGAATGTATAACACAGATCTGGAAGGTGTGACGGGGTATGTCACAAAATAGAAGGAGGGGAGCATTTTCTCTGGGGTCTCCTACCAGAGATATCTATTTGACAATACAGTCTTCGAAATCTGCACCAATTCTTGCATCCTGCCACTTCCATCACTACCACCCTAACCCAAGGCATTGCCAAGTGGGCCTGGATTGTTGCATTCATTTCCCCAAAGGCCCTGTTTCTGCTCTTACCCTCCTGTGTTTATCCTCCAGAGCAACAGGAGACATCCTTTCCAGTCTGCTCATGACACTCCTTCATTCACAACCCTTCACTGCTGCCCATCACACTCTGAATACAGAGAAGTTCCTACGTGACCTGGCCGCTGGCAACCTTCAGATTTCATTTCCTTCCTTTCTTCCTTCTCTTCACTCACTCTGCTCAGTCTCCCTGGTCTCTTTGCTGTTCCCTACAGGTCAAGCATGCTCTTGCACTTTCTCCCTTCCAGGAAAGTTTTTCTTGTCTGCACCGTCCAGTATAGCGGCCACCCACACACATTTTGAGTGCTCAATGGCGACATGTGGCTGGTGGCTACCACTTCTGATGAGAGAGTTAGAGAACGTTTCCAGCCCTGCTGAGCATTTGATTGGTCAGAGCTGCTGTTCATCAACTCAGGGCTGGCCCCACACCTCTCCTTGGTCTCACCTTAAGTATTCTCTAAAACACTGTCTTCTTTCTATCTCAACCCTCTTTACTTGCTTCTTTTTCTTTATGGCCTTTATAAATTTTTTGTTTTGACTTTTTTAATCTTTTTTTTTCCTTTGAATGTTCTTTCCTTGAGAGTTGGGGTTTTGTTCTTTATACCACTGTATTCCTACAACTTAAAGCGATGCCTAGCTTTTGAGCTATCACTTAGTTTCTTTTTACCTGAGGTTCCTCATCTACTAAGTAGAAATAATGATAGTAATGACTCAAAGGATCATTGTGAAGGTTAAATGGTAAAATACATGTGCCTGGCCTATACTATAGATTAGCCATCAATATTCATAAGGACTCAGTGAATGTTGGTTGACTGAATGAAGGAAAGCTCTTCAGTTGCATCTTGCTTTGGTGGCTGCAGGGGATGTAAATTTCACTTCTTAGAATGAGACTCTTTCAGTGCATGGAAACTGGGACTATAACGAAGGAGGGAAAAGCACATAAGGGCAGGCAGATGGGAGGTGGGTGCCTGGGAGAGAGGGAAGAAAGTGTACCAGGCCAGGTGGAGGGTGTGGATGAGGAGAGGGAGCACACAGCTAGAGCTCTGGGGAATGGGTGTCACGTACGCTGGCAGTCTGGCCCGAATCTCCCTGGCCAGCACAGCTCACACGCCGTCCCGTTGAAGCCAGTGTTGCATATGCACGCTCCTGTGGCTGAGTACTGGTCAAGGCAGATACCCCGGTTATTACATGGGGTATCTGGTCCCCCAGGGCAGGCTGGAAGAGATGAAACAGCAGTGACTCAACAGTCTCCCCAAACCCAGAGCAGCTCAGCATCTATATAAATGTGCTGTTGACTCATCCTCAGGTGTGGGCTCCAATCTCCATTAAGTTGGAGGGATCATGACCAGGGGGTGTAGCTACATGGTGTATCTGAAGGTTTCCCTTTGGACAAGCCATGACCCATGGGACATGAACTCCTATGTGTCTGATGGGATTCTACCTTGGCAGGGTGATAAACTAAGCAGTGCCTGGGGCTCAGGAGAGCTGGATTCTAGCAGACCTGGATGGAATAATAAACTGGTTCTAAGCTTCAGTTCTCTGAGTTCTAGATGATAATGATGATGATGATACAGTGTCCACTTGACCTCTACCACATGTTGACTAGAAGGATTAAATGAGGTACCATAATTGAGAGCATGTGGAGGAAACATTTTTGTGAATGGTTCACACTTTAGTGATGGAGAGTGGAGGCTGGGTGATTGACAGAAATTTTCTCAAGTGGACCATGATGAATGGAGCATGCATGTCGTCAAGACCGAGGCTCCCAGAAACACGGTGGAATCTTCAGCTTCCTTCTCATCCTCTCTGTGCCTCCAGTTTCTCTTCTGTAAAATGGGGACAGCATGGAATCTACTTCTTAGGGGTTGCTGTGGGGTGTAAATATATTGCTATACCAGAAAGCAGCACACACTAAATGAACTTGCTTAGAGCAATGGGAACAGCCAGGACATTTGTTCTGCTGCCAATGTTGATGCACTATTGTCCAGAAATTGTATCGGGACCCTTAGAATAGAGGTTTCAAGGTAGGTTTAAATGCCCTTTGGCAAAGAGCCCTTTCCTGGTGATGTAAGAGAGAGAGGGTGATGTCATACATCTCATATGAATGTGGGGTGGGGCCAGGGAGGGCTCAGGAGCCAACAGCCCACACATATCATATTGTAATAGCACCCTGCCAAGGTAGAATCCTTTTAGATGCAGGTAAACTCACGCGCTTATCAGTATCACAAACCAGCATCAGAATTGAAGTATGGTATTTCTGGTACCATGGGAAATATCTTATTCTGTATATTAGGCAAAGAAGCACCACCCAATACAATCTACACACAACTGAATCTCAACTGTGAAAACAAAATATGACAAAAGAAGAAAGTAGAAAGAAAGCTAACCAACTCTTCAGAATAATTGCTTTGGAATCTTTTCGTAGCAGAGCCTTTAGGAGCTATGTCCCTGATCTCCTTTATAATGCCAGTGATTTCAAATGGGACACGAGAATTGCACAATCATTTTAGAATCCTGAGTTGGTCATTGGCGCCCTCACCCTGACAGTCTCTCCCGAAGTAGCCCTTGCAGCACTTGGGTAGCTGTATGACCAGGACGCACTGCTGCCGGCAGCCTTCCAGGTTCCTCTTGAAGTTCAGGTTGTACATACACTTCTGCTTCAGGCCCTACAGGTAGAGCAAGAACCATCCCTTTGCCTTCTGCCTCCGGATCTGGGCTCTAGTCTGCCCCCAGTGGAAGATTCCTGATACTGCAGAGGTCAAAAACTGGACAAGAGTGAGCTCTTCACAGAAAACTTGTTTCTTAGGGACACTGGCAGTTAGGCAAATGGAGAAGGCAGAGCTAAAGCCATGGAGAGACAATTTCTCTCCAGTCACAGAGGAAGTACTTGCTGACCCTTAAAGTTGTTTGCGAAAGATGTGCTTGCTTGGGCAGGGAGTCAGGAGAGGTAGCTTTTTGTCACGGGAAGAGTCTGTGGCGAGGTCCCCAAATCATCAATAGGGAGGGTACGGGCTATATTTTGATTTGTAGGGGTATTTTGTGAGAAGTTTTACTAATAGAGTAGCGAGAGCTTTTACTAATATAGTAGTGAGAAGTTGGCTTTGCAATAAGTAATAAAAATGAGTATTTAATGAGCTCTTACTATGTTCTAGGCTGTTGACCGCATTTGAAAGCTGACTTTTCTTAGTAGCCACACACAGAATCATTATTCATTCAATTTTACAAAGGCAAAATGTACAGATTGTGTGACCTGCCAAAGATTACCCTCTGGAATTTTTTTTTAAAAAAGATATATTTAATTATACAAGCACTGCGTACAGTTGGAAGCACGGGAGGGTGAGAGAATTCACCAGAGCCAGAGTGGGGAGCAGAACAGGCAGACTGACGAAATACACTGCTGAAGGGAGCAGTGGGCGTGGCAGGAGAGGTCTGTGCACCATGTGGGACCCTCACCGGTTGCAGGGGAACGAACTGGCGCTGCAGAGGCTGCAGGCAGCTTTGTAGCCCAGCACTCAACTGGCTGCACCACCAGGGAGGCCCTACCCTCTGGAATTTGACCTCTTATCTAGGGTCTCCAAACCAAGCTTTGCATCTTACTAGCTGTGTGGCCTTGGGCTGATTGCTTACCCTCTCTGACACTCAGTTTATCATAAGTGGAGGTAATAATAGCTTCCTTTGAGTGTTCTAAGGAGGAACAGGGATAATGTACACATGAAAGTACAACACAGAGTTGGGGACATGGACAGCAGCCAACACAATGCAGCTACTGTTATCTTTGAAGTCTCTTCTCTTCTGGGCCTACAACCCCATGGATTTTCAAGATGAATCCTAGAAGATGGGTGGTGGGTGGACAGGATGTGTGGGCTAAGAATGATCACCTCTCCCCTGATTGACCTGGTTATTGGAAAAAATGACACCAATTATGGTGACAACATGCCCACAGTCACACCAGAAGGCAGGGATTCTGGTATGAAACCAACCTGCTCTCTCCCAGCACCCTCATCACATTCATAATTACCTTTGGTTTGCTCCACCTTGGGCAGCTGGGAGTATTTACACAGCTTCCGCAATCTCCCTAGTATACAAGAAAAGAAACTCTTAAAATTCAAAAATATTGGGAAAAACGGCGTGCCATGGTTAACATTTTGATGTTCACTAAGAACTTAGTGAAGAACATTAGAAATACACTGTCACTTTCCATGGAGAATTCTGAAGTTCTTTTGGGCCTCATCTCCTTGGCTTAGTTCTCTGAGGTGAGAGATTCCCTGTTATAGAGCTGCCCTTCTGGATGCAACTGGCCAATCACACTCTTTGATCCTTAATTCTCTGATGTATAAAATACACGGTGTTGTGATTTAATTTTTAGGGGATTGCTAAAGGAAAATAATGAACTGAATATGCTTTAGAAGGCCACAACCTCTACAGCATTTCTTAATTTGTGGGAATAATTTGGGCTATTTATTGAATGCCTACAAGTTGCAGGTACTGAAATTAACTGGTGACTCACTTTGTCATGGAAGTCACTTCATTTCTTACTAGAGACTCAAATTCTAAATGTATAAAATAGAGTTGGTGATAACTACTTGCATTTGTGGATTCCCATAGGTATAAGATGACATGGGACCAAGTGACTGGCTCCAAGGTAGCATTCCATAAATGGCCCTGGATGGGTGAATGAATGTAAAATGGGACCCTCATACAAGCAGGGTCCAGGTGAGAACAATCAATATTGTTAAGTGGATGAATGAAGAAATGAATAGAGGTGTGGGTGGCATATAATAATAAATGAGTCACATGAAATTGTTATTTTTTTTATAGTCACACCTTGTCAACAGTAATTCCATATGGTTTAATCTGGCAGTATCTCAAAAAAAATGTTTGTTGAATGAATGAGTGACTGAATGGATGGGTGATTTGAAAACAAATGGCACAATAACCGGCACATGGTGGTACCTAGTAACTCTTTCCTTAATGGAGAAGGAATCATTGAATGAGTGGGTGGGAGGGTGGCTACGATGTGCAAGCCTGTGTAGGGCTGAGTGATGGTGATAAACACATCATTCAGTCATCAGATCTGTGGGTCCTGGGCTCACTGAGGACCAGTCCTCCTTGTTTTCACAGCCAGGTCCATTCTGGATCATGAGGCTGGTTATCTGCCCCTGAGGTTCTACAGTATTGTTCATAGCACTGACCGAGACATTGAATGTAGCAAAAGTGTCACAGCGGCCCCCAAGGGTGGGATCAATCAGTAGACAGTCAATGCCGTAGGCCACACCCAGGTCAAACAAGAGCTCTCTCTGCACAATTCTGCATGTTTGACCATTCAGGAAGAGTTCACCCTGTGAGAGAGACAGAGAGACAAAGAGAAACAGTCAACAATCCTCAGATTTCTCTTCTTCCTAAGGCATATAATGTGGCCAGCAAGACTCAGAATAGACATTAACATATATGCCAAGTTATTAGCATATATGCAAATATATGCAAACACAGGCAACTATATAATAGTGAATACCCAACATGTATTATGTGCCAAGTACTGTTCCACATGCTTTACCTGTGCAAATTCTTTTAAATCTCACAACAGTCTTAAGGCTCCTATCACACAGTATCCCTATTTTTCAGATGAGGAGACTGAGGTTGTAAGAGGCCAAACAACTTGTCGAAAGTCATTCAGTGAGTAAGTGGGGGTGTAGGCATTCATACCTAGTCAATCAACCCTGAGCTCACACTCTTGGACACTGCAACACTGACTCCAACAAAGTAGGCACAGTGTGGCTGGGGTATGTAGGGTGGAGCAGGGATGATCTAGCTATGGTTTAGGATAAACTCTGTTGATGTGACACTTCATGGGGAGTGACTCAGTTTTTACTTAGAGCCAGTAGCTAGTAAATTACCTGGCACAATTTCTTTTCAGGATATAGGAAGGATGGGTTTTAACCTTACAATGATAACAAGGTCTTTTCACATGGTCTAAGCATGCTTTGTTAAACAAATATTTCATTTAATACTTGTGACAAACTAGAGCTTTCTTTTCTAAGGGTCACCCAACCAGTAAGTTGATAAATACATTCCTCCCCACCCCAGGAAATAAAGTCCATTTCCAAAGTTCTATAAAAAGAAAAAAGATAAATCTTAGCAATTATTGATGGGAGGGACACAGTATGAATTTATGGAAGCTGTGGTTAAATCCCTTAGCTTCTACTTACTGTGTAACTGTGAGCAAGCTCCAGAATTTCTGAGACCTGTGTTATTTTTTAACCAGCTAAATAGGATGCCTGATGTCATTGCACAGAATTGTTATACAGATCAAGCTAAATAATTCACTGCACAGCATGCTGAAAGCTGTCCTAGCACACTGAATGAGCAATGGGACTTTGTTCATAGCCTTCTCTGTTAGTTGTCCAACTTGGAATGGAGATAGTACAGCTGACCTCAAGAGCATAAGTACATTGGGATACCTTCAGAAGTCGTGATGTAGCAATGTTAACTTTTTCTTATATTCATTTAAAATTCAATGCAATTCTAATCCAAACCCCAAAGGGTTCTGCCTAGTCATAAGCTATAAAAACGATGTTGTATGTGACTTTTCAGAAGGCTCCTTGAAGGGAAACAACTCAGCTGGAAGCTGCTTCCCTTTTGTCCTTTCTCCTTCTTACCAAAGGAAAGTGGACTTGGTGGCTGGTGGTCCAGCAGCCATTTTGGACTGTGAGGTGACTTTGAGGCTGGATACACATGTTGCAGAACAGAAAGACACAAGGAGCTTCCTTATTGAATCATCATACTAGTTCTGGAATGGCTGCCTTCAGATCTCTTTTATCAGAGAGATAAACCCTTATATACCTAAGCCACTGTCATCTTGGGTTTTCAAATATATGTAGGATACAGGGTGTACTATGATCCTATCACACCATTCATCACATGAAATTCGAAGAAGGTAAAATGGCTCAGGAACTAGCCAGGGATAGTGAAAATTGCAAACTTTCTCTCTGTTGGCTGATCTCGACAGGGCAGCCGAGAGCTGAGATGAGGGCAAAGTGGGCTGAGAAAAAAAAGAAAAGGAATGGCAGTGTATGTTCCTAGCTCAGGGAAGCCTCCCGCACTGGAAAGGCATGCTCTAAAAGTAAGTGAGAGAAAAAGGAAAAAGACATGGGAAGAATCAATGAAAAGCTGCTCTCCACAAGGGTACAGGGCGGGGGGCCTCCCTGCCACTCACTGCCAGGGCGTGGACTGGCTCAAATTCATCAGGTTTTTCATGAATAGCGACCTGGAGGGTAGTTAGAGAAAAGGGCTTGCTGTTTATGGAGAGAAAAATGAACACCTCCTTGAGGGCCAGGGGCTGGGGAATGCTGGTCACCCAATCCCAGCCCCCACCCGGGGACAGTACTCACGATGTCACTGCCAGCTCCACACTTCACACTCAGCTCCGAGCCTTGCAGGGTCTTCCAGGAAGCAGATCTGGGGAGATCCACTGCCAAAACCTTAGGAGCAGTGATGATTTATTATTGATAATATTCCAAACTGGGGCTGAAGAAGCACTCAAAGGAGTTTTACCGACAACCCAATTTCAGACACAAGCTTTTCCTAGAGTTCTAATAATTTCAGCCTTGAAAGGGAGTAGCTGCAACCAAGGGAGAATAATCACGGGAGGCTGGAAAGTCTCCACCAGCTGAGATGGTTTCGGGCACCCTTCCACCCCAGCGCCTATGGGCACCCTTCCACCCCAGCGCCTATGCTTGGGAAGCCATGGGAGTTGCTGTCTTGGTGTATGAAGCCAGAGGCAGGGCCGGGGGCTAGGGAAACAGCACAGGGCACTGTTATGGGTTGAATTATGTCCTAGAAAGTTTTACTGAAGTTCTGACACCCATTACTGCAGAATGGGACCTTACTGTGAAAGAAGGTAATAGATGTAATTAGGTAAGATGAGTATGATTTAACCCAATGCGACTGGTGTCTTATGAGAGAGGAGAGTGCTGTGTGAAGACACAAACACACAATCAGACAAGCTTTTCTAAGGTCTAGTAATTGTCTGTGACAATTACAGGCAGAGGTTGGGGGGAGGCATCTGCAAGCCAGGAGAGCAGCTCTCCCTGAGTCTCCAGAGGGAACAATCTTGTCAGTGCCTCAGTTTTGGGCATTTGGCCTCCATACTCTGAGAGAATGAATTTCTGTTGTTTCAGGCCACCCAGCTTGTGTGAGGTGAACATGAGAACCACCACACTGTGGAAACATCCTCACCTAGTCTGTGGTGGCTTGTTACGGAAGTCTTGGGAAACTGAGGGTCCTGTGAATTAACCAAAGTCAGAGCATTGGGGAGCATTCTTGGATTAGATAGACTCACTCCCGGAGGGAAAACTGGGTCCTGGGTGAGGACTCAGAGAGACCAGGTCTTAGCAAGAGTTGTCATGTCCCTACAATGTCTTGGGTTCCCAGACCATAGATCAGTTTAGGACTGAACAGCAGATTTCAGCCCTTTGCCTAGAAATTTTGCAGATGGGGAAAAGCCTATTTGGGGAAACTTGGAAAATGCTGTCAGCAGTTATTTTGCTATGTGAACTAGAGAAGAAAAAAAGCTTTTCCGCAGGACAGGGCAGGGATGATACCGTTGGTTATTCAAGTTAGAAAAGACATATGGCAGGTTGAGAGACAGAGCCAGGTGTGGCGCACAGAGCCAGGTGTGGGGTCACTAACCAGGACCAGCCAGGGGAGGACACAGTGGGGCAGGAGGCACATGGGAGGTGGAGACATTGGCAATTCCTGGATCTGATTACCTCCGGGGCATCCCTGTACTCATGTCGGTGTGCAAACACATTACCTTGGAATCTCGGATTACGTGAAACTTCAAATAAGCCTTCAGTTTGTCCTTGCTGTCTTGGTTGAACAGGAATTCCTGTTGCTCGGGAGGTAGGGCCTGCAGGGCTTGGTCGCTGGGCCAGAAGAGTGTGACCGGAGTGTGGATGGGGTCAGTGATGGTGCTCAGCAAACCCAAGTCCTGAAATACAGGAAGCAGGTCATGTGCATGCAAAGGTCCAGGGTCTTGTTGAGGGTCAGAGTCAGCTGGGGCCCCCTCCATGTCTACCCTGGGACTTCTGTGGTTCAAGGGTCACAGGGTCTAAAACTTGATGCCCATCACACTCCAGCTATTCTGGTCCTCATTTTCTTAGAAAGCAAAGCACAAAGCTAAATGCTGGACTTTTGTGAATAAGATCCCATAATAGGTGACTAGTCCCCCAAGCAAAACCAAACCAAACCCCAAAATCCCTCCAAAAATGCAAACCTCTTTAGGTGGGTTATCCTAAGAGAAAAAGGTTTTTACCTGTATTAACTTGCTAAACTTGACATAGCCGTGGTTTATTGCCACTGTTGTAAGATTTTGCTGCAAAGATAAGAAAGGGAATTGATATCTTTCTTCCTATAACTGACAAAGCGCTGTAACAAAAGTTCAACTGGATAAGAGTAAGATGATGTGGCAGGTACTAGTAAAATAACAACAAAAGCTAAGATTGTCCTTCCTGTGGATACATTTTACTCAAATTTAGTTTTAGTGATTATTATGTATCTATTCACCTGTCTATTCTATCTATCTATCTATCTATCTATCTATCTATCTATCTATCTATCTATCTATCTATCTATCTATCTGTCTTTCTACCTACCTACCTCTGCATGATCAGCTATCAATCATCTACCATCTGAAGTTATCTATTTATATAAATATTTTCTATCTGTAATTTCTCTACCTTCCAAATCTATGCCAGATAATCTGCCCTTGTGGACATTTAAAAAAAGCTTTTAAAATCCATTCCACTATATTTAAAATAGACTTTTCCTATTTATTTCTTACTAAATATCTGTTATTTATTGGGCTTTTAGTAGTAGCTTGTGACTGAAGCAGCAAAATTAAAATGCCTCGTAACCAGAATTGAGATAACAACTTGAGTATTATGAGCACTCCATGCTGAGAGTAGGACAATGAGTTCACCTACCAGAATCCTTCCAAAGGCATCTTTAGGGGTGATAAGGAGGTTTTGGGGAGTCAGCAGTTTGTCTATGATGTGAATGATTCCATTGGTACTGATGATATCACTGGTTATGATCTTAGCTTTATTATTTATATACACTGTGCCCTGAAATCACCAAAAAAAAATAAAGAGAAATCACCAAAAGAGCACAAAGAGAAGCAAACACAAAATTGCTTCCTTCAGAATGCTTCACCAACAGTTCAGTGATCATGAAATTGAACATTGAAGTAAAGCTGTGTGCAAAATCTGAAGTCTCAGTTACTTGAGCAAAGTTTTCATTCTGATGGGTCAAAAAGCTGAGACAAGAATGCCATTTTCTCTTGGGGAAGTTAATAGTAAATAAGTAAAACAATTGTGGTGATTCTCAAATGTGAAATAGCAGGCAGATCAAAGTGCATTTCTCTTTCACATGTTCTCTGCAATGCCAACCCCCCCTCTGCCCCCATGACATAATTTCCCCCCTTTACAATGAAATCTGCAGCCAGCATTTGTTTCTCCATTGTGGGGAGGGAGGGACTAGCATGGTCAAGGGGCTTTGGTCAAAAGCTCTGGCTTCTGACCAGGTTTCCCAAAGTAGTTGTGTTGACCATCTGAAGCTGCCTTGCCTCTGAATTCCAGCTCTAATTTTTTTTTAAAAGATTTATTTATTTATACAAGCACTGGGTACAGTCAGAAGCGCAGGAGGGTGAGAGAATTCACCAGAGCCAGAGCGGGGAGCAGAGCAGGCAGAAGGACCGAAGTACACTGCTGAGGGGAGCAGCGGGCGGCAGGAGAGGTCTGCCCACCATGTGGGACCATCGCCTGCGGCCGGGGATCGAACCAGCACTGCAGAGGCTGTGGGCAGCTTCGTAGCCCAGCGCTCAAATGCTGCGCCACCGGGGAGGCCCGCATTGTTATTATTATTGGTGTTACTTTATGGAAGAGAAGAGAGAGGTGTCTTCCCTTACCTGAGAGAGGGAGAATTCCAAAGGGTCTCCTTGAAGGGAAGTAGCATTTGATGTCAATTTCAGATTTTCCAGCAGCAGCTGGTGGCAGCCAATCACATGGTACCGGAGGATCTGGGGGATCAGGCCCTGCTTGTCCCAGTCTTTTATCTGTAACAGAAGCTCAGAGGGTTCCAGGCAGAGCCGGGGGCCTTTTGCTAGAACTTTCCCTTTTGCTATTTTCTCCCAAAAACTCTATCCACCCCCTAGCCCTGGGAAGTGGGCGGTCAGTGGGGCTTGTAGTCAGGGCTCCAGGGTGAGGTTGCTCAAACAGCAGGGAGGAAATTGCTCTCCTTCCTCTCCTGTTTCCAATGTAGCACCTCACAGTGGAGGGAACTTGGAGCTCCTCTGCTCCAGCATTTCCCAAGACTTGTCATAACGACCCAAGTCCAGTGAAAAAATAGTTCTCAGTGAGAAATGATGGAAAAAAACGCCTTGTCCTACCCCCTCTTGGAGAGGCACCTGGGCCAGGTTCATATTTTTATTTTTATTTTTTTTTTTGTAATTCACTAAAAGGATCAGCATTTTATATTATTTTTATTTTTTAATACTTTTTTTTATTACAGTGCCATTGGTTTACATCACTGTTAGTATTTTGGAGGTATGTGATCTCCCGCTTTGCCACTTGAGGTGTCATCTCTGTAGCCCACCCACTACCAAGGTACCCACAGTCCTTTGCGCTCTCTCTCCACCCAGTTCTCCCTTCCCCTCTCTCATCCCCCTCTGGAGGCCTCTTGGACCAGGTTTAAATGTTTAGTCTGGAAAAGATGACATTTTCTCCATTTGCAAATCAAATTCAAATAACATTAACTGTAAGGAAGTGTAATAAAAAGCCCACCAGGTCCTCATTATTTCATGCTTTTCAAAAAATGGTCAAATGTGACATTCTTTCGAATAATGCTTTTGCTGGTGTCCCAAATATTTTCATAGAGAGGGAATGTGTGTGGAAGGTTAAAAACGCAGGTTCTGGGGTCAAATTTGAGTACTTGTTTCACCCTTTGCTAGTCATAAGACTTTGGAGTGCTTTCTCTTGGCGTCCTTGACTATAAAGCAGGGATAGAAATATCACTTGGCTCACAGTTTTCTCAAGGAGACTCAAGGAGTGAGTCTAGGCTGGACACAAGACTCACTTCCACACTCAGAACAGATTTGCTACCTGGGTATGTCAATGGGTAATCCAGCATGAAGAGGGCCAGTGAAATTTAGAACAATAAAGCCTCTGATAAGTCCTGCAAGAAGAGAACCTATTAAAAGCCCTTTAATCCAGCATTCCTTTCTGCTTTTGTTGGGGAAGGGAGGAGGTGCCTATGGAAGATTTGGATCATTTAAGAATGTGTGAACTTCCCTAACCTTCTACCCTGGTCAAGAATGTCCTTTAGAGGGTCTCTGGCCAGGGGCTGCCTCACATGCGCATGAATACTTCCCCTGATAGGGGTTACTTGGCTGGTCAGCTGCAACTGATCCTAAGTATGCCTAAAATAAAAAACATCTCCAAGGTTGGTTCCAAGCTGATGCCCAAGCATTCTAGTCCCAGACCTCTTCCAGCTGCCCTACAGTGTCATGCTTACCCGGGGATCCTCCTCAAAGGCCCTGGATGAAGGTGCCAACACCGTGAAGGGGCCGGGACCCACCAGGTCTCGCACTGAATGTTCCTGGGGAAGGAAGGCAGGGTCACAGGTCACCTACCTCACCAAAACACAGGCAGCCACTCTAACAAATAGCAGGGGAGTAGATGATGAAGAGGGAGGTGAGAATTGGAGGGAGTCAGCTGTGTTTTATTTAGTCTTACATTCAAACCCATTCAGTTTCTTTGTCATTGAAATAATGTTTATTTTTATCTGGTTATAAAATTAGCACATGCTTGTTGTACTAAAGCTTTAAAAAGACATCATAAGGAAGAAAATAACTACCCAAAATCCTACCAACCAGCAGTAGCGCCTATTATTTTTAGGTATTTTTTTTCCCAGTGTCTCTTCTCCATATACATATTTATATGCGGGATAATATAATCACTGAGATAATAATACCCCTGTTAATAAAAACATGATTTCCTTAACTATTCTTCTTGCCAATGCTGAGAGCTTATGGTTACTTCTTTCTTTTAGAGTTTATTATACTAAAATTTCCTCTTTTACTTTTCAGTATATCTGAAACTTATTTGGTTATATGATATCCAGGAAGATCTAATATAATATTTTTATATAATATTTTTACTCAAAGCATTAACCAGTGGACACACAATCCTTCTATTCTCCACTGGTATGATGCAGATTTTTATTTACTACACTTTCATGTGTACAAAAGGCCAAGCTACGTTTATTCCTCTCTTTACTGCTGCCCATCAGAGGGAAGCCTGAGAAGTTCACAAATGAAAAAACACAGAGGCCCTACCAGAAATTCAGGTTTTCAGACCTTCTGCTACCCTCACTGACTCCAGGGTTTCTCCTATCTTGTTTGAGACCCATCTCTTCCAGCTAGACAGACACACATATTCTTACCAGCAACTGGAAGTAATACTGGGAAGTGCTTGGGTTCCTGGGAAGCACCTGGATAAAAGACAAGGCAGGTTTGTTAAATGACTGTGGCTTAAACACAAGAACAAGGCAGGGCGGTGACAGGACAATTTCTCTAAGACCGAGAGTATCTATTATTCTTGCAACTGACAATCTGCTTCTTTCACGCCCCATCTCCAGGCTTACAACTGATGTTCAGAACACTATGGGGACATACTATGAATTCCAAAACTTTTCTGGAGTCACATCTGACTTAATCAAAGAAAGGTTCAACCTGATGGGGTTGGTGCCATTATTATTTTATTTCACAGATTAGAAAACAGATGCCTAGGGAGGTAATACAACCTACTTAGAGCTGGGCAGAGTTGGATTCAAACTAGATGTTTCTGACTTGAATCTTCCATCTGAACGACTACATTCTAGGTCAAATGATTTCCATGGATACCTAAAATTTCTTTTTATTGCCAACCTGTATCAAAAGTCTTTCACACTTTTATAGGGCTTTCCATGTGACAAAATTCTTGTACATTCTTTAGCTACCTGATTCTCAGCACAGTGAGGGAAGTAGACTTCTTTCATGGAAACGCGACTTGTGTTACCTGATAGATGTTGCCATTGCAGGTAAATCCATCCCCAATGTAGTTTGGCTTGCATGTACAGGTCCTTTCATCCAGCCCAGTGTGATTGCAGATAGCAAATTCACTACAGCCACCATTTTTCTGGTAAAATTTCCAAGGAGTGGGGGATGGGAATCAGGTCAGTTAGTTTGCCACAAAGCAATTCTGATTAAGATTATTTTTTGTTTCATTCTTTGACTGGTCGGCATTATCTGCCCTTCCCCTGAAATTTCCTTCCAATTCCCTGCAGTGGCAGGGGTTGTCACATTCCCTCAACCTTAATTCCCAAGATGGCACATTCAATCTTGCATAGAAAGCCCCAAGTCAGCAAATGGAAAATTTCTTGGCACCTGGGGGTGAACTAGAAAGTCACCGATGCTGTGTGACACTCCCAGTTTTAGGTTAAACTCTGATCCCACCATAGCAAAGGGAATAGTCATCAGCAGAAAAGTCAGTATAAAAGAGAACATACTGTCCTTGTTGGCAAAGAGCTTATAAACTGTGGAAGACTAGGCAGAGAGCTAAAAAACAAGCAAAGCAAAGCAGTTCAAATCTGACATCCACAGGCATATCAAGAGGACTCTGCAGCCTGAGCAGTTTCTAAGTGAGGAACAATGTAGAGTTCAGGAAAAACAAGCAAGGAAAAAGGCAGCTGCCTTGAAGACTGACGGCACAATATTCCTCCCCTCCAACCCCTTTTCTAAAAGTATCCGCAGTGTTATTTTGGCCCAGTGCCTAGAATGGTGTCCAGTGCGTGCTGCTGACCTAGGTGCGTGTTGTATGGCCACATGTTTAGAAAAAGGGTCTTTGCAGATATAATTAAGGATCTTAAGATGAGATCATCCAAGGCCAGGTGGGCCTTGGGTGCGTCTTAGAAGATGCAGACACAGGGGCCAGGCCTTGTGAAGACAGAGGCAGAGATGGGAGTTTCTCCAATATTGACAATTGAGGGGAAAATGATCCTTATGGCTCAGATGCAGTTTTGGGATCACCCCAATGCCCCAGGCCCTAGAAGTGGGGTAGAAGGCACCCCAGCCTGCCCTCTGAGGGCCTCCGCCTCCAGCCAGACTCACGGTTAAGCAGATGTTGATGAGTGTGCAGAATTTCCCGTCTCCGGTGTATTTGGGCAAACAGTTACAGACGGCCTGAGCAGGAGGGAGGGAAAGGGGTCATTTCACACCCACTCTGTGGTCTCTCAGGACCGAATGTGCTCATGGTTGCTTCATCGACATTGGCCTATTATAGTGACAATCGCCACCTTACATATTAGCACATTGACATATTATACTTCCCTCTCTACCTGGAGCTTCTAGATGTCTTGTCTTTGCTGCCAAGAGACTTCCTATTTTAAAAAACTTTGTCACCATATTGGTCCCTTGCCTGCTGGGCTTTTCTCTCTTTGGTGGTGAAGTTTCCATTGGGAGGAAGCTGAGCTGTCGCCCACCTCCACTCAGACTCATCCCTGCTCCCTGCCCTGTGCTTGGCAGGCACTGGCGCTGGGATAGGCTGGCACCGGGCTTCCCAGGCAAATCAGTTGCACATGTTTGAAAATGATCAGTCAAACCCAGCTGGGCCGAGGAAGTCAATGGGAGGCTTCGGGTTGAGGGAAGGGACATGGCATGCAAGCAGGCAGTTGGGGACTTCCTGTGTCACCCATGTGCCACACGCTCTCTGCTCAGGAGCACTACCCGGGAGCACGACCAGGGAGTGAGTGGGGCAGAAATGCAGCTCTTCTCTGTTCACCAAACGTGTGCTCAGAGGAAGGAGCAGCCGCCCCCCATGTGCCCACCGAGGGGTCCCCTTTCTGGTCCTTACACAGGCCTCCCACATGGCTCCGTTGTGACATCTGCTTGTTAGAACTTGATCTCGGTGGAGTCAGCCAGAGGGGTCTCTGCTCCTCCCCCTCTTCTTCATGTCCCTCTTCTCTTTACCAGAATGCCCACCAGCCACCCCTTCTGGAGGGTCCTGTTTTCAGAGTTCCATCCCACATCCCTCTCACTGCCCGTGAGGTTGCAGGAGGACTTCTAGAGACTCGGGCACCCTAAACTTGTAGGTTACCCCACTGCATAAGTGGTTTGAATTCAATTTTCTACTGAACCCCCAAGTCTGTTGGGTCAGCGTTGATTCTGGTTTTTCCTACAACCATCTATGTATCACAAACATATTTGGGGTGCTTTAGGCACTTGCTTGATCTGCTTGTTGGGAGGCCTGACACTGAGGTTTCCAGATGCCTCAACCAGGCCAATGCAATGTTTCCTGGAGACTGGATGGCCCCATCCAGATCCCAAAGGACACAATTCCTGTCTGCCAGTCTTCCTTTCCGACGGTGGCAGAGCCTACGGGAAGTGGCACTGGAGTCCCTGAGCCTGCAACTTCCCCGCCTGTGTCTTTGCACCCCACCACCTCTCCCCTCTATGCAGGAACCCTCACATGCTTCCCACCTCCCCAAACCTGCAGTGTATTAGGGAATGTATGACCCACAAGGGGCTCCAGACATTCTCTTCCACTGTGTCACACGCGCTTCAGAACCTCAAGTCAAAGGGAAATTGTGGGATTCTGGGCATCAAAAAAGCTGAACAAAAGAGGAGCATTGCTGAAGACCTTCTAGGTGATACTATGTGTGGTTTGCAGGTATCGACACCGCCCCCCCCCCCCCATGTGAGGGAAGTACCCTTGGTCTTTCCCTTAACTTCTATTTCTCCTCATGCTGAAAGAATGGCCCCTGGGGATTCTTTTAGAATTTGCCCTAAAGTATTTATTTTCTGTTCCTGCTCCCCAGAGGTCTGTCCAGCTCCTTGCCGTCAGGCCTCAAGATCCAGGAGTTTGCTCCTAGGAAATCTTAGGACCCCGGGAGGCAGAGCTCACCTGGTTGGGTCCTGTGTGCGTGCACTCTGCATGCTGGTGGCAGCCTCCATTGTTCGCCAAACACGGGTTGATCTCTTTAAAACAAAGTCAATGGCTGGCATGAGAATCAAACCTGATTTTCAAGTAAAGACATTGACAAGGCTTACTGACCGAGGGGAGTAGGGGGGAAAGTTTGATTCAGTTTTCTATTAATTAATTAATACAGAAACTGGGGTACAGGCCAGAGGTGTCAGGGGTGAGAGGATTCACTAGAGACAGAGTGGGGAGCAGAACAGGCAGACTGACTGAAATACACTGCTGAGGGGAGCAGCTGGTGAGACAGGAGAGGTCTTCTGCGCCAGGTGGGTAGCTCCCTGGCAAGCCACGGATTGAACTTGTGCTGCAGAGGCTTCTGATAGATTCACAGTGCTGTGCTTAAACCCCTGTGCCACCAGGGAGACCCTTGATTCCGTTTTCTTTCAAGTCTGAGGCAGAAGTAACCCTATAGACAGCACCAGATATAGTTTCTCAAAATCAGCTCTTCAGGGAAGGGACTGTGCCAACAGAGAGCCTGTCTGCAGGTTTGAATCAGTCCCTCTGTTGAATAAATATGAGTGTTTGCAGCCAAGAACTTGAAATAATAGAATCTTGAAATCCAAGATAGCATGAATGAAGAGTGTTAGGAATTAAAAAAAAAATCACTTGCAACCATCACCATATATTTGGTCCAGGAATGAATCATCAGTAGTTAAATTTAAGAGGACGTTTTGATGAGGTGCAGAATATTTGTTGGGTAATAAAGTGTCTCCTCACTGATGACTCATTAGGAGCAAAGGGGAAAAAGTAACTATCATGGAGAAATCAGAGTTTGCCTTGATCAAGGGGTCAAAAGTAACATCTCAAAGGGGAGCAGCTGGCAGTCTCACTCCTGTGATACTGGCACTGGAATGCATAATCTGAATATAATCATGAAAATAATCAGATGAACCTCAAATGAAGGGTATGCTATAATGGAATAGTAGACTATATGCTTTCAAAATGTCAAGTCAAACAAGACAAAACTAGGCTGAGGAATTATTCTGAATCAAAGGAGACAATGAGACAAGAAAATTAAGTTCCAGCCCTATGTTGGATCCTGCACTAGAGGAAAAAATGCCCAGAAAAAGACATCATTGCATCCATTGATAAAATTAGAATATGAATGGTAGACAAAAGTAACATATCAGTAATAAAGTTACTGAAGGTTATAACTGTGCTGTGGTGATGTATGTCTCTCCTTATTTTTAAATATGCTCAAGTATTTAAGTATAAAGAGAATATGAGCCATATAGCTTACTTTCAAATGGCGTAGGATAAAGATAAGTGTATAGAGAGAAATGATAAACCAATGGGCAAAACCCTTAACAATAAGTGAATTCAGGTAAAGAAAAATTGATTTTTTTGTACTATAATTTTACAACTCTTCTATGTAAACTTTTTTCATAACCAAAAGGTTAAAATTCAGAGAGTTTACTATGGTGTACCTTTATAACAGAACAGAGTGTAGCCCTTAAGAGAAAGCTTGGAGGAATACTTATTTTCACAAAGAGTTTTTCCCTATTGCTAAGCATAGAGAATACTATGTATCAAGAGATATGCCTTTTATTTAAAAGAATATGTCCATATACAGCCAAATAGGAAAACAGAACAATAGCAAGAGTGGCTATTTACAAATTCCCCTCTCCCCAGCATGCATGCAAACATTCTTTACTTTTTCTACAGGGAGAAATGCATTACTTGTATATATATAATAAAAAGGATTGGTAAATGTTTAAAAAATCAGCCAACATCATATTATTCAATGGGGAAAGTTTCTTTCTCCTTCAAGCATAGAGCCCCAAGCCCTGGCATTTCCACACCCTCACAGCTTCCTGCCAGACAAATGAGAGATGATTCAGCAGCATCACATCCTAAACAGAAATGTGGGGTCCCCAGCTCCCCATGTTCTTGGGGGATATTGTCTTGGTGCCCAGAGTTCCTGCTTGTCAGCTAGGTAAAAGGTCATGCAGGGGGCCTCTCACTAAAGGCAAAAGTCCTAGTGTGAGGAGCATACTGGGAAATCAGCATTTGCTGCAAACAGCAGGCAGATGTTAGAATAGAGATAATATGCAGGACCAAAGGGGACCCCTGGGCAATAGCCCCTGGTCCCCCCTAGCTTACATCTCGCTTGCTCGGATAACTGCATTCCCGGCAGGGACACTCCCTGCTTATTTGCCCCACCTTTGTACTTGATGCTAATAAATCCGAGACTGCCTTTGGATGGGGGCTGCACATTACTTCCGGTGTAGCCCTGCCAGCTTCTTGTTGCTCCACATGGACTTTGAGTGATCTTTCTCATCCTCCCACACCCAAGCAGCTGCCCCATGAGGCGACACAGAAACTCTCATGCATTTAACAAGGCCCTGACTCTGGACCCTCCAGCCACTGGATGGGCAAGCGGGGGATGGGACTTACCCAGGCACACGATGCCGTCGCCGGTGTAGCCTGCCTTGCACACACACACCCGGCTTCCTGGGGTGGTTCTTTTACAGTCAGCCTTGGCAGAGCAGCCTCCGTTGCTGGTCTTACAAGCATCGATAGCTATAAAAGAGAGAGGACAGAAAGCAAAGGAGGGAGAGAAGGGACAAGTCATTGATGTGTTTTTACCTGCACCATTGAGAATGGAAGATATTTCAAAATTGGTAGGATTTTGGAAACAGATTATGGATAATTCAAAAGGCCGCAATGCACCTGGTGTCTCTCCTGGTGAATGCTACCAGATAGTTAAAGATCAAGTGACACCAACATTTCACAAACTATTTTAAGTATTAGGAGAGAAGCCTTCTCAACTCATTCTATGAGTCCCATATTACCCTGATACCATTACCACACAAAGCCTTCACAAGAGGGCCTCCCTGGTGGTGCAAGGGGTTAAGATGTAGCCTGTGAAGCTGTCCGCAGCCTCTGCAGCACGATTTCCATCCCTGGCTGGCCAGGGAGCTACCCACATGGCACAGCAGACCTCACCTGTCTCACCCGCTGCTCCCCTCAGGAGTGTACTTTGGTCTATCTGCCTGTTCTGTTCCCCGCTCTGTCTTTGGTGAATCCTCTCACCCCCCACACCTCTGGCCTGTACCCCTGTATTCATAAATAATTAAATCTTAAAAAAAAAAAACCTTCACAAGAAAACAAAAGACTTTCTAAGTATAGACACAAAAATCGCAGATACTTGCAAATTAAGTATCTTGGACACCCTAAGCTCATATTCATCGAGTGCTCTGTGGTAGGGCTGATTTAAATGCATCACAGGTATTAATTCAGGATATTGTCCAACCATCCAGTGAGGGAGATTCTCTAATTGGAGCAGTTTACAGATAAAAAAATGATACAAAGAGCATTGAACCTATCATAAGGGTAAAATGGTTCAGTTGCCTTCAGATGCTAATGAGCACAAAAGAAAAAAAAAAACACAACTTAGCTGACTTTCCCTCTAGGGCTGCTTTTGCAGATGTAGCAGTAGCAACAACCTTGAGGGGAGCTCCAGGGCCGGCTGGAAATTGGAAACACAAAGATGCGGACACCTTGAAAAAACTGCATCCTGCCCCGGACTCCTGTTATCAACAAAGTCTTTGTAACTGGCTTGGAAGGATGCACCTTCCTCCGTCCACTGTTACTGGAATATGCTCACTTCTTTTGATCTCTGGCTCTTGTCTCCTGAATTCCTTAGTCCCCTGTATCTCCAAAAGGCTAGAGACATCAAAACTTCCAAAGAATTACACCTCAAGAGTATAAACACTTGGGCTGACAGCTCTGTGGCAAACCGTCATGCCTCAAGTTCACGGAGCCCTGTACAGCTCCCAAGCCCCTGGCCCTCTTCAGCAGGAGGCATGTCCTGAAGGTGAACCTGTGTCCACTGCCTCTCAAGAATGTGCAGCCGGATGTAGTCAGGAGGGACTTGTCCCAGCCCTGGTGACCCTAAGTTCCTTGTCCCTGCCCTGTTTATTCTTTCTCTGCTCCTGCTTGTCTCTTCTTAGAGAAAAACCAGAAAACCAGGCAAGGCCGACTGAGACCAAGATGGAGGTGGAAACAGGCCGAGGGTCAACACAGCCTCATCATGGTGGAAAGCTCGTCCGCCAGTGCCACGGCCGATCCAGTCAGGACAAGCTGAGGAGGGAGACGGGCTCCAGAGCAGTTTCTGGAAAACCCTGCCTATTTCTCTGAAATCCTGCTGATGAAGACTGTTAGCTCTCTCCTTCCTTAGTACCGCCCCTCTGCCCCCCCATCAGGGAAGTCCCTGCTTCTCCCCAATTTGGGGAGACAGCCTTTGAGACAGGAGTTGGCTGTGCCTCAGGTTGGGCAGCATCTGATGAAACCTGATTTCCTTGAACCAACTCTGTTCTCTTGAGCTTGGCTTATGAGCGGAGAGTAGCCAGACCACCCCGAAGTCCGTGACAAGGCAACTTACACTAAAATGAAAAGAACTTAGATTCAAACTCAGGGGGTCTAGCGCTGGGGCTGTTTTCAACAGCTGCCGCATCTGCCATTGAACACAGAGCGGTCATTTCACTCCCAACCGCTCTGCCGGAGGAGCAGCTTCATATATGCTTTCCAAATGAGCCAGGGGGGCTCCCAGCAGTTAGGAGACACCCCCAAGGCCATGTGGGTTGTGGAAGGAAGAAGCAGGGCTCAATCCTTTCTGTCCCACTTGAGACCCACAGGTGCACCACACTCTAGTCAGGGATATCAATATTTTTAAAGGTCTCCATGTGATTCCAGTTGTGGCCCAGGCTGTGGCCACTGCTTGGAGAAGAAAGCAGGTGCAGAAGAGGGGGTGCTGCCTGGGGCACAGCTGCCCTATTACTAGATGTTCACCGCCCGTTCAGCATGGACGGTTGGTGATGCTGCCCATTCAGCCTGCACGTGCCCAGATCTCCCGGCAGCCCGCCTGGCCTGGTCTCCCCCACAAAGTCTTCTTGGCTTGCCTGTGCACGCTGTTCCATTCCCTTGGAATCCTGCCGCACATTTGCAGGAGGCGGTGCCATCTGGGTGGAGAAGGCAGCTGCAATGAGAACAGGCAGTGCTGTTTGTAGAAAAACACGTAACACCCCGCCACGGAGCCCACGCTACCCCGTCACGCCCCAGCAGTCCTGCTCCTGCCTCAGGAGGCACTGAGACATCTTGCCTGAGGCTTGGGAGGAGAGTCCACTTCTAGCAAGTCCCCTCCATGGGCAGTTAAAACTGTTACCCTGTGTCGGGCAAATTGCACAGTATGCCTATGTGGCCATGGGCCCAGGGATAAAGAGGGTGGCCGCCGGTGCCTAGAGAGCTACTGGTGGCAAGGAGCTGTGTCCACACATTGCTTCCTGCAGTGTATGCCATAGCCAATAGCCTTCGTGAGTAAATATTATTATTCCTATGTACCGATGAATGGAACTGAGGCTCGGCGAAATAACTGACACAAGTTCACACAGTCGGTGAAAGTTTCAGGCTGATTTGAATTCACCTCTAACTCCAGATACTAGGTTCTTAATTAATAAAACAACTTTGGAAATTAGGAGTATGAAGTTGAAGTATGAAGAAGCAAGGTTTGGCTGTAAATTGGGCACATGGTTTGATGAAAGTGAGGCCCAATGGGAGCCCTTCACCTCCACGAGATTCCCTGGTCTTGAATGGGGGTGACGACTGGCATTTTGCTCAGGTGACAGCTTATTCAAAGATCTGACTTTGACAAGTTGGTGGGGGCTTCTTCAAGGTATTTTAGCTTCAGACTGAAATTTATCCTAAATCCTTATAAATGGTTCAGAAAACTACTCCCATGAGGACAGGGCTGAGGTGGATGCTATTAGGAAAGAATCCCCTTTGCATTGTCCCCGAAAGAGGCCCAGAAGGTACTTACTTGGCACTGGTGTGGCATGTTCCATTACAGTTGTCCTGTGTGATCTCTGAAAAAGAGAGAGGATCAGAGTGTCAGCTCGTTTTCACCAAACATCACTCAAGAACTTTCTTTTAGTACTTGGTGCAAGGACAAGATTTATTTTCTCTGAAGTAAAAGGCATGCATCTTGTGATCCATGTAAAACTATGTGACCCTATCAATCCTTTTTCACCTTGGCTGCTGGGAAGCTCAGAGGACAATCTGGAGGTCAAATATACTGATGCAGTGACTCCTGTGTGTCAGCCCCTGAGCTAGGTGGTGAGGATGCAAGGATGAGTAAAATACAGTGTCCTCCCTTAGGGTCCTGGTGTTGATGCAAATTCTTTCCTGGGGCTTGCGTTTCTATTTTATTTATATTTCCCATTCTTTCTGGTTTCTTCATCATCGTTTTATTACAGAGTGATGTGAACAAGCATCCATTCACAGTGAGTTTTGGATTCTTCCTCATTTGCCAATCAAATGTCTCCATTTTCCTTCCCACAGTCAGGCCACTTCTTACTTCAGACTTGAATTGTCTCCTGAAGATTCCTACAGCTCCAGATTGTTCCCTGTCACTTCAGTGTCTTCCCTGCTCCACATTCTGGAAGCCAGGGGTGAACTGTTGTATCCATTCTAGGGATTTCCCCCAGGCCACCTTCCAGTTTAAGTGACCCTTGCTCTCTACCCCTCTACCTTCAGGCTTTTAGAACCCCAGCTGTGCTCCCTGGCATTTGACACCTGCTTCAGGATGTCTCTGTGGTTTGGGCCCATCCTGATTTCTGACTTCAGCTATTCAACCAATTCTTAACTCTGCATTCCTTTGATTTTAGCATCAAGTGGAGCTTTGGGCTCTCCCTCTGCAAATCCACACCCCAGCAGAGTGGACCAGGCTGGTTGGTGCCTGTGCTATCTCCTTAGCCCCTGGCTCAGAAGACAGGAGGCTGATTCCTACTTCTGCGGTGTTGCTGCTCCAATTCAGCATCAGAATGCTCTTTCTAAAATGCAAACAAAATGCAAATAAAACCCTTTAGGGATTTGCTGTTGGCCTCAGCAGAAGCTGACTCCTGTCTGCACCTCTAGTTTTTCTGTTGGGCTTTCCTCTCTGCTCCTGCATTCTGTCATCCTCTGGTTTGCTAGACCAGAGCTTCCCCACATCATGCTGGTCCTGCGCTTGTGTCCCCAGAAATTCTCTTCTCTCTCACCTATCCCCTGGAGCACTTTGGGTAACATCAACACCATGTGGTGGGGTTTGGGAAACCCCAAAGACTCACTGGGGGTCAACATGGCAACACATAGCAAAACCTTCCCCTCAAGGGGCAGCTTCTAACTCAGAAGTCCCATTTTGAGGAATTTAACCGAATGGATTGAAACAAAGATAAAATAATAGATACATGAGTTGCTCATTGAGCATTGTTTATAGTAGCAGAACACTGGTTTTTAAAAGGTGTGGTACAGCCATAGAATGGACTGTTGTGTGGAATAAAGAAAATGACATTTATCTACATTTCTTCACATGGAAAGATAGCCATGGCAGGTGTGAAGTGAGAAGCACCTGCCCGGCAGGATGTCGAGTATGGTCCTGTTCATGTAGGTTTACCTGCTTAGGAAATTGTCAGAAGCCTAACACAAAAAATCATGGTGCTTTTTTCCTGCTTTGGGAGCGTGTGTGATTTTCATTTTCTTCCTGCTTTTCTTTATTTTGCAAACTTTTTGTTGCAAATAGCAATTACTTTTATTACCAAACAAAGAAATAAAGATAGCATTTTTTTTTTTTAAAGGAAAAAAAATTTGCTGCTGAGAAGAGAGGCGAATAACAGGTCGGGGCTGAAGGGCTTGTTCTTACCAATGTCACATTTCACGCCTCGCCAACCAATGTCACATTCACAGGAACCGTCACCCAAGGGTCCTTGGCTGCATCTCCCATGGACACAAGGACATGCTAGGTGGAAAAAGCCCCAATTTTATCACCCTCTGACACATATTCAGTTATCATTTACTACAAAGGTTCATGTCAGTGCACAATATTCTCCAACCTGTTAGGAGAGGTGCCATGTTCCCTGCTCCCACCTACATGCAGCCCCCTCTGATTAGCTACTGGGAATGAGAAGTAGAGCTGAGTGACCAGGTGAGGCAGAGGTAGGCTAAGAAGAAGGGGTTCTTGCTTCTCTGGCTTCGACTTGCACATAGGACTTGGGGGGGGGAGAGACAAATGGAGGAGAGACGTAGTCACTTAGAAAAGACACTTGGGTGAGAGGCGTGGGGACGCTGACAATGGTGATGCCAATGGCCATTGATGACAATGGCCCCCGTCATCATGATTGTATTTTTGTTTCTCTCCCTTTGTCCCAGACTTGCCTGGCCCCTCTTGCCCCCTTCTTGCCATTCTCTGACAGAAGGTGCCTTAGACTTGTGGACAAGTTCTTAAGCCTCAGTGGTCCTTCTCTGGGAAGGCCCTAATGCTGGGCATTTGCCTAGGGGGATGCCAGATTTTGGAAGTGTTATGGGGAAGCATTATTAGGCATATACTCTTTTTTTCTTCCCCCTCTATGCACACCAATTCTATTAAAGATCTTTCATGCTAAGAATACGCTGCCTTTGTCTTTATGCAGTGGATGGCAGGACCCTGTTTTAGAGCATGCACCCTCTGGGTTTGGTCCCTGGGTGCCCCTTGGTGGCACACTAACACACCTGATGATCATTGTCTTTCATGGGGGACTCAACTCTCAGGAAGCAAAGAGGCAGTGGAGATAGAACTGAGCCAGCTAACAGGTGAATCAGGATTTAGGACTGTGTGGCCAGGCAGGACAGTGCCCTAAGCAGCATGAGAGTGTCCTGTAGGAGTAGCTGAGAATCTCGGGTGTGTGGGAGCTCCAGGATGGAACCATGTTTGTTCCCTAAGAGTGGCTATCAGAAGAAGCAATTTGCTCTGGGTTGATATAAACCTGGTGCAGCGTTGCCTTTTCAGCAACAAAAACACCTGTTCTTTTGTTATGCAGCTGTGTCCTGAGCCTCTCTCAGATCTGGGTGAGAGCTAGGCATGCCTTTCTGGAAAAAAAGCTTTCTGCCCTGGGGGTTTGCAGGACCCCATGAGTGTCATCTCTGATGGGGTTAGGAATTACTGCACAAACACCAGCAGATCATTCTTCTAACTAAGGCAGCAAAAAAGAGCATGTGATTCTAATTATATAGTCAATGTCCCAGTGATAGCGATTCAAAGATAGAAGGGTATTTTGGGGGTCTGATTTGGACTTCCTGATGAGAGAGAAAACAGTGATACTAGGTCAAATTGATGGTTTTTAGTACAGTGTAAAAACATGCCTTCTTATCTCAGCCTCTCATGTCAACCTCATGACTGTGTGTCCCTGGGCACAAGGCATCCGGGTGAGAGAACGCAGATGACGTGGCTTGAATAGCTCACCATGGGTGTGGACGCAGCTAAAACATGTAGCACAACAGAGTGAGCTTCACCTGCAGCCAGCCTGAGACAAGAGCAAGGCTTTGGAGCCCGGCAAGGTGTGTATCTAAATCTCCCTTCTGTCTCTCGCCCCATGTGAGCCTGGGGGAAGTCTGTCGACCTCCTTGCCTTAATATCCTCATCTGCAAAATGGGTATAGCCCTACCCAAGTGTACAAGGTTCCCGTGTGGATCAAATGAGATCATATCCCCAAATCTGCTTCTTGTACTATCAGGCCATGTCCAGAACTGAGTGTAACTGTGAGGGCAGTACCCAAAGGTGACTACAGGATTGGGGGGCCCCTGGGGGAATGCTCGTGAACAGACTGGGGGGGCTGGGTCAGCAGGTTGGGGATAGTGACTGAAAGTGTCGGGACTCCCCGCTCTGTCAATTACATGGACGTTCTTACAATTCACGCAATAGCGGGGACCCTGGTGGCCTGGCTGGTTAGGAGCTAAAGCAGAGTTGCTCTTTTCTTGCACACTCTTAGTTGGTTTTGGGGAGCCGGGGCTGGGGGGCCAGGGGGCACACCTTGGTCGCAGTGGATGCCGTATTTGCCCTCGGTGCAGGTCTCGCAGGCTGTCCCGCTGAAGCCCTCTCCGCACTCACACGTGCCTGTGCCGTTCATGCCGTCCAGGCACACGCCGCTTCCGGAGCAGATGTTCTTGGCTCCTCCCGGGCAGGGCAGGCACTGGGGACCAAAGTAGCCGGCGCAGCATTCTCTCGTCTGAAATGGAAGGACAAGGAGGCTCTTCTACCTTCTGGTTTGTCCCAGGTCTGGAAATCCTGTGGGTGAGGCTGCATGTGCCCCTGGAGCTTTGGCACCACCTGGAAGGGTCGTAGATCCCCTGAGGACCAGGTGAGGCTGAGCAATTTCCAAGGGTGCCAGGGACCAGGGGGCTGTGCCAAGGAGGTAGGAGAGAGGGAAAGGAAAAAGAGAAGAGGATGAAAGAGAGAAAGATGGAAAGCAAAGTAAAGAATAATGCAATCGATGTGGATGGGTTGGGAGGAGGGGGTATCCGGGTGTGTGGATGGAGAATCCCTGCCCTTCCCCAGACCTGGGCCCTTAGCTGAGTGTGCTGTTCCATCTGGCACTGAAGGTGGGTGGCCAATGTGGGGAGGTTTAGGGCATTCCAGAAATTCCAGAAGGGAATCTCTTATAGTGTAGAGCTGTCTGCTTGGCTTGAACCTGCCTTTATTCTTTTTTTTTTTTTTAAAGATTTATTTATGCATACAAGAGCTGGGGTACAGGCCAGAGATGTGGGGGGTGAGAGGATTCACCAGAGACGGAGTGGGGAGCAGAACAGGTAGAGTGATGAAATACACTGCTGAGGGGAGCAGCGGGGGAGACAGGAGAGGTCTACTGTGCCATGTGGGTTACCCCCTGGCCGGCCGGGGATTGAACTCGGGCTGTAGAGGCTTTGGATTGCTTCACAGTGCAGTGCTTAACCCCTTGCGCCACCAGGGAGGTCTGAGCCTGCCTTTATTCTGAGTGCACGAAAACACAAAATCTCCTGTGACCCCAAGCTCTTCAGCTTAAGGAAAAAAATACCTCTCCTTTACTGGACAGGGAGAGGCTATGTCTAGTCTTCCAGGGGAACAAGCAGGACTAAAGCTGTAGAGAATATTCCTGGAGATTCCAAAGCAATAGTGAAGAGGTCCTTAGCTCTGGGGTCCTATGTTCTAAATGACTGGGTGCACCTTCCCTAGAGTAAATCAGTGATTTCTTCTGTCTCTTTCATTTGCAAGCACGTTCATAGGACATGTCACCTGCTGAGAACAGGCAGGTCCTCCCAGCCTCCCTGTCCCTCATTTTCTTCTTCATGCAATTGAGTATTCTGGTTTTTGACCATGGCTAACTCACAGGGCTGCCCGGAGTTTTATTGTTACCACTGCTACTTTGAGTGGCAATGATAGTGAGGAGGAAGAGGAGGCACAAGCATACATGCCAAGGCCTGTTGAGAAGTATAGCTAAGGATTCTACTTCCCAATGCTACAGTAATTAGGGGGAAGAGGACACCACCATACTCACAATGATGGTTTTCACACATCTTGGTCGGCACCCGATGAACAGGGATCGCTTGCCGTTGAAATACATGGTAAAGATACATTTCCTCGACTCGTCACCCTAGGAAATAGTAGTGCTTACATCAGATTTTCAGTTAAGAAAAAGTTTTCCAATATCTAAAAGCAAGTAGGACAAGTAGGTGGCTGGAATGTTCTGGAAAGGGAGGACGTTGACTTCTTGGAACTGCTTAGTAAGAAAGAAAACACAAATCCAAGGTTGGCTGCCAGAACACCAGGTGGCGAATCCCAAAAAATTATAACTAAAGGTGATGCTCTGTACAAGAACATTTCTCTAGAAGACTAACTCAACTTGGAAGAATTGTAGAGGACACCAGATAAAAATGTCCTTCCAGAATTGATTGATATGAGCCTTGGTTTCTATTTATTTATTAATTCATGTTCTGCCTTGTTCTGAGAAAGGTTTAAGGCTGGTTGCAAAGGACTGTAATATATAGGATTCACTGAAAACTCAAGTGAGAGAATCAGCATGGGTACCATTATCAACTACTGTTATCATGCGGTAGAAGGTGCATAAGCCTTTATCCTTGGGACCAGGGTGAGCATTATCAGTATCTGGTATGCAGGTGGGAGGCCAAGGTGTCAGAATTATTTTTACAATAAATAGCACAAGAAACATAGATTGGTAATTAATTCAAAGACATGTCTACCTCCCCCCAGTCTGCCATCTGTTTGTTAGAAAAATTGAGTTGTTACTTCAGCTCTTAAAAGGAAATCAGGTAGGTGGAGCCGATCTTTTCTGGATATAGTTTTGGAGATGGATTCTGTCTTCTTGATAAGGTTTCTTGCTCCTGTTCTCTGGCTACTGGGGTATGAAAAATGTTGAAGGTGCAAAATTCCTTCTTGCATTGTATGCTGTTGCTATGAACCCTAATTTCCCTTTATTAATTACATTTTGTGTTGGTCTAAAAAGGAACAGATTTGAGACTTTAGAAAGAAGCAGTCAATCTAAGAAAGTACAATTAAATCAAAACCAAAATGAAAGAATGAGGGCAGTAAAAATGAAATCTGTTTGAGATTTATTTTCCAGTTTGGATCTCTCTGGGATCTAGAAACTATTTATCAAAGCAGACAACGTACTTACCAGTGGTTTAGTTCCCAATGGGCAGATGGACCGGTGAGGACACTTTTCACACTTTCCCTTGGTAAAACACAGGAGCACACACAAAAAATTTCCAGGTTATTACTTTTTGTGCAACATAAGGCATCAGATATTCAGGGCTTGGAACTAAGGCTCTAGGACATAGAATTGAAAATCAGAAAGATATTAAAGAAATTCATCTGGTCGACCTCCTCAATGGACTTTGAGACAGCTTCTGGTCTTGGATGTTAGAGCACTGCTTTCTTCCACAACACTCTTCTGAAGCAAATAATCCTTTAAACATGGAGATCTCATCCTTTTAAATTGTAATGGCTTCAGACACTTGTGGCCCTGGGTTGTGACCCTCACAGAGGGCAGGGGTCATGCCTTAATTATCAGCCATGCATGCTCCGTGGCCTGAGATAGTTTTTGAAATGAATTTTGATGCTCTGTCAGGTTTCTTTCTTTTTTTTTTTTAAAAGGATTTATTTATTTATGCATACAAGAACTGGGGTGCAGGCCAGAGGTGTAGGGGAGGGGTGAGAGGATTCACCAGAGACGGAGTGGGGAACAGAACAGGCAGACTGACTGAAATACACTGCTGAGGGGAGCAGCGGGTGAGTCAGGAGAGGTCTGCTGTGCCATGTGTATATCTCCCTGGCCGGGGATTGAACCCAGGCTGCAGTGGCTGCAGAGAGCTTCATAGGTTGTGTCTTAACCCCTTGTGCTACCAGGGAGGCCCTCTGTTAGGTTTCTTACCAAGAGTCTTGTGCTTAAAAATTTTAAAGAATAAGAAGCCCTCTTCAGTTGCATCATTGGCTTGGATGTAACTTACTTGCACAATAGTAGTGTCATTATTGTCACATCGATTCTTCTGAATTTCCAGAACATTCCCCAAACCATGGATTACTCCCTTGTCAGTGGCAATGTTCGTGTAGTTTACCGGAGCCTCATTTACATAGAGCTGCAAATAGAGGGTTAAATGTGAATTTTTATTGGGATCATTTTAATCAAAATAGGAAAAATGGAGGTTAGAGGATGTCTATATGGAAATGACTTAGGTGACGTTGCCATATTCACCAGAACAGCACAGTTGAGACGTGCTTGGGGGAGGGGAGCCCGAGGAACAGTCCTGCATTCCGCACCATATAGACTGTGTGACCTTGTGTTGCTTTTCCTCTCTGAGTCTCAACTGTCTCTTTTGTGAAAGGAAAAGTTTGTTTTAGATGATCTCTGTGGTTTCTCTCACCCCTCAAATTAATTAGTGTACGAAAAATTGAAAAATTTCCAAATTGAAAAAATTGGAATCATGCTCATCCTATTAATTCCTATGGAAAAATGGCTTGGGGTGGTCCTGGAGGCGTGGACGCCTGCTGAAACCTGGACATGGAGGTGTCCTTTCAGCCTCTCTGTCCTTTCAGCATCTCTCTACCCCGTGGTTGATTTGCACACAAACCCCAGAAAAGCTAAGTGACAGCTCTCTAACAATAAAAATAACTAGCATTTTTTTTTTTTTTGAGAGTTTGGAGCATCATTTTCCAGTTTGTGGAGGCTGCTCAGAGGCCGGCCTTACCCCCTCTTTTCTTTGGGACAAATATGGAGTGTGTGGTAATTTAGATTCTGTTTTTCCTAGTGCATCCAGAAGAATCTCGTAGGCCCCTTCCTGGGGGGTAGGTTTTGTGACCAGGTTCCCGTCCATGGTGGAGACTGCTTGGGGACTGTCTACTGGGTTTGCTGGGAATCCCTCCTGAAGGCATCTATAGCTGCCAGGAGCCAAGCGTCAGTTAGGAACGGTTAGTGAAGCTGCGGGGATGGTTGCAAGGCTGACTACGGAGAGCATGATGAGTTTGACAGCCTGGCTTAATTATCACTTCACGGCGGAACGCAGACAGCTGTCACTGCTGATGAGACTTAGGAAGCTCTGGTGAGCTGATTCCATCGTGGAGGTGACGCCTCCAACGTGGATGGTGGGGGCTGAGACACTCACGCCTGGGTTTTAAGGAGGAGGCTTCGCACCTGGTTGTCGTGGGTCAAGAAGCCGAGGACATAGGAGAAGCCCAGCATGGTCTCCCGGTGCATGCCATTGTGAAGGTCATTCTTCAGCAGTTTTTCTTCCAAGATCACGTGATACCTGATGATGTCCTCCTCCTGACAACACACAGGACTGAAGGTCAGCTGGTCACCAGCCACTGATGGGCTGCTTCAAGGTGTTGGGCAGACAGTGTGGGGGTCACCAGTGCACTGTTGAACCAAAGTGCTGCCCGAGGCATCAGAACACAACCGATATGAAATCCTAAAGTGGGCCGTGAGACCGATCGCTTGGGAGAATTGCACATCTTCCCTGGTTCATACTCGCAATACCTACTAGAGTCGCAAGCTTCTTCTCACGCGTGTAGCTCTCAATGGCCTCGTTGTTTGGAGCAAACACCGTGTAAGCATCAGCAGCCTCGATTGCATTTGCCAGATTATATTGCTGTGGGGGGAAGAGATGAGCATGTGAGGCCTTTTCATGCCCACGTAACCTGAGCAGGGGTGGTACCTGAGAAGGTGGTACTTGCAATGATGTAGCCCCGGAAAATGGAATAGTCTGGCATCTGTTCCAGTCGGGTCAGCAGGTTTGGTAAGGAGCCAGTTAGACCTCTTTGGGGAACCAGGACCTGGGAAAGGAAGCCCCCAATCTTCTGTCAGCATGTGTTGGCAGGACTTGCTGCTCTCCAATATGACAATAGGTTCACGTCATGTAACAATATGTCACAGTGGGGACACTTACCCCAGGGCATACTTTGGTAAATTAAAAAATGCCACCCTTTCCTGTGAGAGTTTGCAACACCAGAAGGAGAGCAGAGCTTGAGGAGTACAATGGGCTGGATTTTAGCCCTGCTCCACCCCCAGGTCAAGCACCTTGATGCAGGTGCCGTCTGCATAGCTATTCATGGCACATCTGACAAAGGTGACCAAAGTCGATGAGACAAGTAGAGAGAAGGCTCTCCTGAGGGAGCAGTGCAACCCGGAGGCTAAGCAGAGAGCTTGACTGTGCTGACACATCCTTGAATCTTTTGTGTTCCTATAACATCTCCCTCAATCCTCTTCCTTCACCCCAAGGGGCCTCACTTGTCTCATTTGGGTAGTGAGGACAATACCACCCATTTTTTAGGGCTCCAAAAATCAGAGGAGATAATGAGATGCGTGATATTTGGCACAGTGCTGGGACCCCAGTGGGCTGTTAATCGTTCCAATTATTCATGTAACCCGAAGTGCCAGTGCTGATGAGGGGCACAGAAAACAGAGAGTCCACTCATCTGGACGTGCCATCACGTGGGTGTTCAGAACTGATTCCACAAGGCACACCTACCAATACCAAAGGGTGTCTACTCAGGGGATTTCAGAGGGTGGAAAAGAGAATAAAACCTACAGGTATTGAGGGGCCCCTGGAGAGCAGAGGGGCAAAGAGAGAGAGAGGGGTTGTTGTTCTCACGGGAAGAATAAGGAGACTTAGAGAAGTTACGTAACTTGTCCAAGGTCACATAGCTAGTGAAGTGACTGTACCCAGATTCTGTGTGATTCTAGAATTTACTCTCCTGACATGCTGCCATTCTAATATGGGCTGCAGCGAGATCAGGGAGGGCTTCAAGGAGGAGGGGAGATTTGAACTTGCCCCCTTGATAATTATACTCAGTTTAGGAGATGCGTTGAGGTGCCATTCTAATAATTAGGTGGTATACATCAAAAATGTAAAAAAAAAAAAGGAGAGGTAATTTCAGGTTTTTAAAAACATTTGAAAATCAAGATTTGAAAAGAAAATATTTCTGATAAATAATGTTACTTTGCATGATATGAAATCATAAACCCAGTATAGCTTCCTGCAAGTGACGAACCACTTGCTCAGAAATGGTGTGTCACTTAATGCCTCTTGGTAATACAAGAGAATTGCAAGGTACTTGCAAAATAATGTACCCAGGAATCTTACAAATAGACTTTTTTTTTTCCTGAACAGAAATAGTTGACCTTTCTTTGTAACTTAAAATAAAAAATGACTATATAAGTGCCAAGTAGAATAATTTTAGTTAAAATGCTATTAGTTAATTGTCTTTTCTAATCTTCCACCTTTCAAAAGTTTCCAATACACCCTAAATTCTACCCTTAATTTTGAATAATGATCCTAATATAGTAACTGAAGATTATAGGATACCTGAAAGCCCACTGATTTTTTTTCTGTTTTATACCTTTGAACACTACTGAATTAAAGAAAATGAAAATTTCACAATACTTTTCCCATCCTCTTCTGCTTCCCCAGCCCATCCTTTGAGGGTACAATAGTGAAAGGGGTTAATGGAACGGAAAAGGTGTGCTAACCAGGGGCCTTTCTCCTGTTCTTGATTGTACCTGTATATCAATTTCTGAATTCTATGGCTCTTGTGTGCCTTTTAAGGTGTCCCCATAAATAAGGAATATAACACTGTGGTCATACTTGACATGGGGTCTGTTGCAGAATAGGCTGAGTAAATGGCCACCAAGTCGGATTGCATGAGAAAGTCTCTAAATGACTTTAAAATAAAGGTGATGAAGCATGACACAGATTATTTTTATATTAAGGGGAAGAATTTTTTAAAAGACCCTGTACAGGAGGATAAACAACAAAGGGAGAAGAGCTGCTGAGATGTGCAGGGGTGCAGTGTATAGGGGGGCTGTACCTTGTCGATGACGTGTATCACTCCATTTGTGGCCACATTGTCCCCATCGACGATGGACGCTCCTTCGATTGTGACGTTCTGTGAATATGGACACAGAGGGGAGTGAGCAGCATGGAGCACACTGAGGGATTGAGATTATTTCTGGGTCTGCTACTTTTTTTTTTTTTTTTACTTTTTTATTTATTTATTTATTTTATTTATTTATTTTTAAATAATAAATTTTATTTTTATATTCCCCATACAATTGCAACCCCCCTTTCTGATCCCAATCCCTCCCCTCCCGCCCCCACCCCCCCAAAAGTGTCTCTGTTTCATGGTTTTTTGTTGATTCTGATTTTCACTTTCTTATAGTTATTCATTTTCCTGGTCCCTTATTTAAGTTTTCTAGATTCCTGCTATGAGTGAGACCATCCGGTATTTTTCTTTTTCTTTTTGGCTTATTTCGCTGAGCATGACTGCTACTTTTTTTAAAAAAAGATTTATTTATTTATACATATAAGAACTGAGGTACAGGCCAGAGGGGTAGGGGGTGAGAGGATTCACCAGAGACAGAATGGGGATCAGAACAGGCAGATCGACAGAAATACACTGCTGAGGGGAGCAGTGGGCGAGTCAGGAGAGGTCTGTTGGATCGAACTCATGCTGCAGTAGCTGGGGCAAGCTTCATAGTTTGCGTCTTAACCCCTTGCGCCACCAGGGAGGCCATGGGGTCTGCTACATTTTGAGCAGCCATGACCTTCACAGTTTTGGACGATGAGTTACGGTAAAGTGTGTTATTGGACATTGCACACCTGCACACTTGAAATGAAATAGTAGTACCTTCCCCTGCCATATGGAAGGCATTCTGACCTTCAACAAATGGTCAACAAATCTCCTTCTACTCTATTCTATTTCATGAAAAAAGGGAAGAGTTTTGCTGCTAGGCAGGGCCCGAGGGTACATTTTAGAGGATCTCTCTCGTTCTCTGTGTGAATATCTGTTGATAATTGTTGAAGATGGATGATGCCTGCCTATGTGGAGGTTCTGTTCTTGATCTATTTTTGTTCATGTTTGGAAATTTCCACAATCTCCAAAATTTTAAAAGCACAATAGGAACATAGATGATGTTTCCACTAAACAGACCAGTTGCTATGGCCACTTACCCCATCTGCCTTTGCCAGGTGTAGGAAGTTGCCCTGCAAAGATGTCGCCAGCATGTCAGAGGACGACAGTGCCTGCAGATCTGCCACTGCGTAAGAGCCAAGCAGCGTGTGGTGCCTAAGACAAGGGTACACAAGATAGCATTGACTAACAGTGCATGTGGTAAAGAGAACAGACTCTGGAGTTGGACCACCAGACTCAAAATATACCTCTGCAATTACCAGCTATAGACCTGTGGGTTACTTATGTAATGACCCTGTGCTCAGTCTCCACATCTGTAAAATCAGAATAACGATGATTTATATCACTGGGCTGTTGGGAGGATAAGGGAGTGGTAAAGTAGTTAGAAGAGAGCTTGGGGGCAGAGTTGACTGCCATGGTGTTAACTGTAACTATTCTGAGGAGGAGGGAGGGAGTGGAGACTCTAGAGCATAGAATGTGCTCAGCTCTGTGAACTTGAAGGCCCATGTGACTTCCCTCCACTTCCCTGAACTTCATTGACATAATGCCCAGTTGTATATCATGAAGAATAAAACAGATGATACCTACTTTATTAGGGCTGGAATGTTGCTCTCAGTCAACCAGAAGTTTTTCTCCTCTTGGTCCATGTCCTCTATCGCTTGTTGGGAAGGCACGAGGACAGTGAGGTTTGCGGTGGCTGTTAGCATGGGTTGCAGAGAAGCATTCTGATCACAGAAGGAAAAGAAAGTAGCCTGACTCATGTTCGGTCACCAACTGAGCTGACCTAGGCTGGCAGAAATGCCAACTTCCCAGGGGATGGAATTATCAGGGCTCCTGGGAAGGTGCCAGAAACCCCTTTCCTGGTGGTGAAGGCTTCATATTTCTGTCTGAAACTCATTCCTTTCCTTGAAATGTGTGAGTGTGAGTCTTGTCAAAAGACACATGTTTCAAATCAGGTCACACTTTGAATCATGAGCGCTCATTTTTCTTTAGTCAAGATGAAGAGTCAGGGAATAGTTTGGATAGGATCATGATGGAGCTGTACACATCTGTTTGAATTTGTTGAAATGCTTGTTTGCCCTCACTTACCCTAGACCAGAGGTTCTTAGCCCTGGTTGCAGGATAGAATCACCAGGGAGCTGTTTAAAATACACTGATGTCCAGGGCCTCCCCTGGTGGTGCAGCGGTTGAGCGCTGGGCTGCGAGGCTGCCCACAGCCTCTGCAGCGCCGGTTTGTTCCCTGGCCGCTGGCGAGGGTCCCACACACAAACAAAAAAAAATATACTGATGTCCAAGGTGAACCTGTTATCAATGAATTGGTTTCTGGGGTTGGGAGCCAGCCATGGATATTTAAGAGAAAAAATGTGTTCCGTCTGACTCCAGAGCGCTGTCAGGGTTGAGAACCATGGCTCTCGACAACTGCCCGCCCCACTTCTTACCCGCTGCATTTTCAGTTTTCTATTATTTGCAGTCCAAATCTCTCAAATTATATACATTTGCATCTTAAATTTCAACAAAGGTACTCACAGTTATCCACTGGTTAAATATAGCTGCCTCGGAGAGAGCTGACAATTCCTTATTCACATCGTTCAAGGGAGGGAGGGAGAGATGGAGAGAAGACAGGGAAGGAACAATGAGAAGCATCACCACAGAGCGTTTCTGGGCAGCACTTCACCTGCCCGGGCTGGGCGCGTTTTCCCTGCCCACACGAAGACTGCTCCAGCTAGTTGAATTCCCATGTTGCAAGAACCTCCCATTTCTTTCATGCTGAAAGGCTCACTCTTCCATAGTCAAGGTAAAGAAGTCATTCTAGAAACTTCTAATGAAGCAACAACTTATAGTTCTTCCAAGTCAGAATTTGGATTGGGAGAACATGACCTTCAACTCCATGGAGGGTCACAGAGCGCAGCCAGTGGACTCTCACAGCCCATGCTGAGCAGTGCTTGGACCAGGCAGCCATGGCAGAGGGGTTTCGGGCCGGGTTGGCCATTTTCTAGTTCCTCGGGCAATTACTTCATCTCTCTGGGCCTCAATGGTCCCATCTGTGAAGTGGGGTTAATAAAAGCTCCAACTCACAGGGCTGTGAATGAGAGGAGTGAGTGAAATTTGAAAATGCTTGCAAGCAAGCCATCATGTAGCACTGCTCTGTAAGTTTTAGCCACTCTTACTTTAAATTTATCTGCCATGGATTTGATAATACATGAACAAGTACACTGAAACCCCACAACTGGCACCAGGGTGGAGTCAAGGGAGGATATAAGGTGTAAAAGGGAAAAGGTGACCTTGCTCTTATATCACTTATAGTTGTTTTTTGGGGAGAAGTTAAATCTTGGAAGGATAAACAATACCGCCAATGGATCAGTGACATATAAATGTTTGAGAAAATTAAAAAAAAAAGCTTCAGACTTGGGGTGAAAAAGGACTGGTTTAATTTCTGAGCCTGCCATTCACTAGCTGTGTGATTTGGGGCAAGTCGCTTAACCTCTCTGAGAACTCAAGTGGCTTCGCTGAAAAATGAAGATGATGATTCCTTGCTCCTGAGATGATGAATATTAAATGCATTAGTGGATTTGAAAACATTTTTTTGAACCACAAAACACCATGAAAATGGCAATGGCAATCATTACATGCAAATTTAGCCCAAAGCAACAAATCTCAGAGCTCTCACAACTGCTTTTAGAGCATAGTTGAGGTTAGTCAATAAATGAGTCAATATTTGTTCCAAAGGAAATTAGCGAACTGGCAGGAACAAGCCCTGGGATGCTTGCATAATCCTTTGAAGGGGCTGCTCTAAGGAAGAGGAGCTGGACCTGTTGGAGGAAGGCCCAAGGCTGGGTCTGTAGGAGAAGGGACTGAGGTGCCAGGGAGCTGGAAGAGCGACAGCAAAGTGGGAGAGGAAACTGTGTGGAAAAAAGCGAGTTGGACTTGTGTGAAAATGCCTGAAGTGTCGCTGAGGATTTGAACTTCAATTTTTTTTTGTACGAAGAGATGAACATTGTAAAAGTAGGGCCCTAGGATTATAAGGTTTTAGGGAATGTGGCCCATGGACAGAGCAGAAAAAATGTTGGGTCTATACTCCATGGTCTGGCTGCCAGGAGAGAGCTCCTGAAAAGGCAGGGGAGGCCTGGGTCAGCCGATGCAGCCGCCAAGACTCGTGGGCTCGGACAAGGCTTCGTCTAGGAAGGTTGAAGGTCCCAGGATGGGTAGAGCCAGTGAGAGGAGGGGCAGAGATCAAAGCATGAGCAGAAAAAAAAAGTCAGTGATTAGAAAATTAGTCTATTTTTTTCTTTCATTTCAGCAAATATTCACAGAAAAGACAAACACCTAACCTCCAGAGTTCATAACCCAGGCGTGGGGGCGACAGGTAAAGGGATGCACGGTGACAATTTGGGGTGATGGATATTGACAGACATAGCAGATCCTTGAAGAAGGTTGTTTCATTCAATGTTATTACAACATTGATGTGAAAAGATACTGGTGACATTGAATGAAAGGACATTCTTTGGGAATCTGCTTGCATTAATGTTTCCATTAAAGTTTCAGTTTCCGAGAACCTGTCAAGGTTGTCACATAAGGGCTTATTCTAAACTGGTGGTTACGCTCTGGATTCTGCGCTTGAACAGCTGTGGGCTGATTTTCTCTCTCTAGAGCTCAGGCAAGTTTGTTTAGAGTCTCCACTGCCTCATCTACACAATGGTTGTAATAATTGCGCAATCTCAGCATGTTGTTGTGAGTTTCAGTGGGTGCTGTTACATATCAAGTCTTGCCTGGTACCCAGAAGGTGTCTAACACCCACCCCCAAAGACAGGCATAAGCATGGGGAGCCCTGGGGACCCATAGAAGCACCCAACCCAAACAGGATCCTCAGGGAGCTCTGCAGGGGCAAAGGACTCATCTGGGAAGTCTGGGAGTGGAAGAGGCGGGACAACAAGGAAGGGAGGCCAGGCCAGGACTGCTTGGTACACAGGAGGGGCCAAATAAAAGCTAGCCCTGGGCATCCTGTAGAAAATTGGTACCTATCTCAGACCAATATGGCACCTGTGAGAAGCAGTTTGCTTCATGTGCAGCCTCCTGGAGCTGCATGCTAAAGGCTCTGAGCCAGAGCTTTTATTTTAAGAAAGAGCTTGGTCTTTATTTTTCTGTTGTGGAGCTCCACTTACCACGGCTGCATTTCCGTAGCACTGAAGACCATCTCCTTCATAGCCCTCTTGACAAACACAGCTCCAGAGGCCAGAGGTAAACTGACAGGTTGCCTGATAAAAGGAAGACAAAGAAGTGGGTTCCTTGCCTGGCTGTCAGTGACACCTGTGGGACATCAGGCTCCATCAGAGGTGACAATGGCAGGCTCGGTGCTGAGATGCTAGAGGTGACACCTGCCAGTGCTGGACGGAATCACTCCTGTTTGCATGTTTGTTGCGGCTCTTATTTCCCCACAATTCAATGCTTTCTCTGCATCCTTGCCAGATTTAGCAAGTAGAATCCACCACTCACAGTTTAACCTCATGGTGAATACATTTTAGCGTATGTATGTACATGCAATGTTCTGAGCAATAGTTGGGGGACACTTAGGCTGAGCAATTATTCATTTAAACTCAGATCTAACCAACAGCTGCATTTTATCTAGCAACACTGTGTTGGTTCTTACAAGCTTCGAAATGGAGTGGTATTTGCAATAACTCTCACATTTTGCTTTGGGATTTCCTTCTGGAGCAAGAGAGATTTTGTTCATTCCTAGACCCAGATAAGAGATAATCTACCCTTTCTTTCTCATGTAATTCATTTTTTTAAAGTAAGGATAAAAGAAAACTCACCAGTGGGTGACAATTCCCAGTTTGTTCCAAGCATGAAGTTACTGGTTCACAGTCAATCCCATTGCCTCGAAATCCTTTCTTGCATTCACACTCATTCTATAATTCCAAGCACAGTCAAGAGGGTTATTAAAAACAACCGCCTTCCATTCCTTGCCTCCATGAGACAGAAAGACCAACTCTTATCCGGGCCTCCTGGAGAACAGCATAATGTCTCTTGCTGGTTATACTTCAGATTCGGAGTTGCTGGTCTCCAATCTATGTTCTGTTCCCTAGTTAGAGTTCCTGAGGCTATGTGCAAGCGCTGCAGAGTGCTACAGAAAGCTCAGGTGTGGTCGAGGCTGGTGAGGAAGGGCAGCTCTGGAATTACACAATCTAGGCATGAATCTTGAGTCAAGGTGCGTGCTCTGCATGATGTAAGCAAAGCACTTAGCCTTCCTGTGCCTCAGTTTCCTCTTACAGGATTGGATCAAAGTAGTATCTACATCATAGGCTTGTTGTGACCATTAACCATTTTCACTCTTACAAATGATACAAATGCTATAATAAGTTCTAACCAAACCAATTCTGTATTTTGGGGGGAAATCGATTGCAGGAATCCAGTGCCTACCTGCCCGGGGCCCACGTACAGACAGGTGGCGTTGTCATGGCAGCCGCCAGAGCTAGGCAGCAGGCAGTTGTTTATCTCCGAGCAATCCCGCCCGTTCCCTGTCCACCCCTGCTGGCATACGCAGGTGTGGGTCCCTCGGCCAGTTTGGAGACATTCTGCCTGCAGGAGAAAAAGGAGCAGTAAAGCCTCTGAAACCTCAGCCCCACTATGTGATTCTAGAAACAAAACAAAGGTTTCTAGAAACACGTGTTTTCATGGGGTACCATGGAAATGATGAAATGCACTTTTGCATGAGACCGATGGAAAGTATTGGATGATTGAAAGGGCAGGTTGCTTGTTGGCCAGCTCCTGACCATCGCTGTCATTTGTGGAGCCAGGGACTGTTAGTATTTTGTAGGTGTAGGTCACCAACTTGCGGAAGATACTGTTATTATCTCTGCTTTACAGGTTAGGAAACAGACATTCAGAGGTGTTAAGTAACTTGCCCAAGACCACACAGCTACAAAGAGGCCCCAACCCAGGTCTGTATGATGCTGGACACCAAGCTCCTAACCACTGTCCTCTCTGTTCTAACTCCCAGGCCCCTGCATGGCCACATCAGGAGGCTGAAGCACAGGGTGAGAGAGAGAGAGGGGTAAGGTGAGGCTGTGTGAGTGGGTGAGGCTAGCCCCAGGGGAGTCCACTGGGCTAGGGCAAGGCATTCATGTTGGGGTCTCGTCCTCAGCAGCAGGAATTTCAGCCTTGGAGAAAGATAACCTGGTTCCCTCTGAGCACCTCTGGCTGTGGGTGGACAAGGGGTGGACAGGAGGTGGGCAAGAGAGGGGCAGGGAGACTAGCTATTCAACTTTGGTGACCAATTGGGTGACCAGGTCAGTTGTGGGTGAAGATATTCAAAAGGTATTAGTGAAAACAAGATTTTCACTAATCATCTCCAGGGTTCGGGTTACACCCCAGACACTAATAGAATTTAGGGCAAGTCACCAACATCCACTAGCATCAGCTTCCTAGTCAATAAAATAGGGGTGTTGATATCTGCTCCACTGGGTCAGTGGGAAAACAATGGGATCAGGTACATTCGTGGAGGCATCCACCCAACTTGCTGTGCAAGTGAACAAGTAGAAACATTTGCACCAGGAGTTTATGCTAATCATCCCACTATCTGCTTCTCGGCTGGGTTTTTAAAGGTCCAAAGCCCCCTGCACACGTGGACCTGTCCCTGCCCCGCATGTGGATTTAGGCCATGCGTGGAGCTCACAGAAGGCCCTGGGCACCGTCTTTCAAGCTTCAGGTTCAAGCAAAGGGGCTTCATGTGCTGAAACCCCACGTGGCCTTTTGGAAGACCTGCCCTGAGAATTGCCTGAAACACCAGGCAGCTTGGAAATAAAGCCCAAGACTCACATTGTGGCTGCAGCCCCCAGGGCTGGACCCTCCACAAGGGTCGGTCTCTGAACAGAGGCTTCCGTCCCCTTCGTATCCGGCTTTGCAAACGCAGCTACAAAGAAAGGGCGCACACAATATCAGACCCAGAACCCCAGGCTCCAGCAGGCTCCGGCATGCTCCGGCCATGGCCAGAGGGCGGCAGCCAGGGGAGGTGGCTCCTGGCCCCACAATGCCCTTATGGGGGAGCTGTGTGCCACGTGGTCACCGGCTTCTGAGGGCTGCAGTCAGACGCCTGGTCGGAGTCCACGCTCCATCCCTAAGCAATCTCTGACCCTGGGCGAGTCCTTTAACCTCTGGGATACCTTGTTTTTTCATCTGAGAAAAGGGTCTGACAGCCTTATAGAGCGATGTCAAATGAGCTTTCCAGCAGGGCTCTTGCACCCCAGAAGACTCGGCATCTGGCAGCTTTTCTGCTTTTGCTGGGCAGGAATCTACCTCTTCATAATCTAGCTGTTCCCTCTGCCTCAGCTGCCTCTAGCTGTTGCGCTCTATCCTGTCCTGTGTGTGGCAGCTCACAGTGGCGATGTGAACTGGCTCCTTGTTCTTTCCTGGCCCCTCGGGGGTGTTTTTCAAATGGCATTCTCAGGTGCTTTATTCTGTTAGCTGACATCCTTCCTGACTCCTTGCCCTCTCAGATGCCCTGCTCAAAGTGTCTCCCCTGGGATACTATTCTACTAGATGAGATTTGTTCTTCCCGCTAATGTCCACTGAGGGCCCTGTGACAGGTGCTGTGGCAGCTCTGACCCCACCCCCATGTGACTACTGTAAACTCAGCCTTATGCACTTTGCAATTAAGAAAATTATTTTTCAAGGCTTCTGGAAGAACTAAATAACTGTAGGTCCTTGAATACAGTCATTTTGTTTGCTGTCATTTCATTATAATATTCATGAAGAAATAACCACGGTCCACGTTGAATGAGACAATGTTGATGGAGAATCTACTTTTGTGATAGATTGTTTTGCTTAAATTTGCAGTTTCCAAGAGCCTATATATGACATTATGTAGGATTTATTGTATTATATTTGGTGCTCAAAGGAATAGATAGCTCTGTTCCAATACTGTTTAATGTTCCAAAGTGTATAGAATATCTATGGGCCTGTGTAGATTGCTCTGTTCCAATACTGTTTAATGTTCCGAAGTTTATACAGTATCTACAGGCCTGTGTCAATAGTCTTTTGTGAGTTACTTAAGAAGTTTTTTGGCTCAGAAAAAGAAAAATACCAGATGGTCTCACTCATAGCAGGAATTTAGAAAACCTGAATAAGGGACCGGGAAAAAGACTAATTATAATAAAAAAAATTAAAATTAATAAGCAACTATAAACCAGAGACACACTATGGGGAGAGGGGAAGGGAGCAGGATCAAAACAAGGGGCGGGGGTGGAAATTGTATGGGGGCCATAACCAAGATGAAAATGTATACATTGTGCAAAAATGAGAAATGATGTAAAAAAAAAATAACAATTAAAAAAAGAAGTTTTCTGGCTAATTTTGATTACTCCATGATTTGTACATTTTGCACTGCAGTAGCTCCTACCTCTTTATGGAGATGCATTCCTGGCCTCCCAGCCTACTGTGTAGTGGGGGAGACAGGCCACAAGCAGTTAAGCTGACAAGTATATAATCACAAATTAAGTAAAGTTGTGTAAAAACCAGGCAAGAACTCCAGACATCCTCTGCCTTTCCCAAGACATTTTTTAGGTGTTTATTACCTTTGAACCAGATGTTCCTAGAGAGGAAGGTTTTGTCTAACATCTTCCCTGACTCTTAAGCTCACTGCATATATTTAGACAGACCACAGTGGTCCACTTACTAATGATCCAATTTTTTTGTAAAATGACTTCAGAAAGTTGAGGAGCTGTTAAATCAGACAACTCTTGGGCCTCCGTGGTGGCCTAGGGGTTAGTCTCAGTGCTATCACCACAGAGGCCAGGGAGCTGACACACATGGCACAGCAGACCTCTCCTGTCTCACCCGCTGCTCCTCTCAGCAGTGTATTTCAGTAGATCTGCCTGTTCTGCTCCCATTCTGTCTTTGGTGAATCCTCTAAATTTTTAAAAAAAATTTCGAAAAGTAAATAGATAAATCTTCATTTGCTTCCTATGAGCCATGATTGATGACTGAGCTCCTATGATGTGTTGTCCCTGGTGTGGGGTGCTTTTACATCCAGTTTTCTACTCTCCATAATTGTCCTCTAGGTAGACAACATCACCCTTATTATAAGGAAAGTGGGACACAGAGAGGGTAAGTCACTTGCCCAAGGTCACACAGCCGGCAAGTTTCAAAGCAGGGAATATTGAAATCTCAATGCAGAATCTCAGTCAGAAGTTTTCTCCACAGAAACCACAATGGCAACTGGAGAGAACAGGCATTGGTTTATGTAGAATTTATTTATTTATTTATTTATCTTTTATTTTATATAATTCTTACATCATTTTTCATTTTTGCACAATGTATGCATTTTCATTATGGTTATTTTCCCCACCCCCCTTATTTTGACCCTAATCCCTCCTCTCCTCCCCCACCCCCCACCCCAGTGTGTCTCTGGTTTGTGTAGAATTGAGATCTGAGAGCAGGGAGGGTCTCTTTCTATGCAACCCAGGGGCCTGGCTCTGTAAGGGTGGTGCCTACCTTGCTGTTCCGTTGCTGTATTCACAGGTGGCATGGATGTGACAGAACTGCACGTAGGGCCCACAGGCCACCGTCTGCTTGTGGCAGAATCTCCCTGCAGAGCCATCTCGGCACGTCCCGGCAAGGCAGGCCCCCTCACTGTCGATCCTGTTATCACAGGTTCCATCAACGCACAGACATTCTGAAGAAAAGACACATGGTCATTCAGGGCTTGGGGGACGCCAGGCTCTGATATATTAGTTTTACTCTATTGTTAAGTTTTAATCTTAGCTTACAAATATATATCTAAATAACTGCATTAAATATTCTATATAATGTTCTAAATAATATACTACCATAAGTATATTAATTGTATTATAGACTAATATAATGATGTATAAGATATAATTAATATCTGCTTAAATATGCACATGATGTCCTTTTGAAGAACACAAAGCATTTTCTAAGATTATATACCTTTTATTTTCAATGTCTATTGTAGAACTTTCTACATGTTCTGCAAGCTTCTGGACAGTTATGTCACTGAACTTAGAATAACAGCAACCACAGATGATAATAGTTAGCATGTTCCTAGTGCCTCCAAGGCAGGAGGCATTGTTCTAAGGGAAGTGCTTTCCATTTGTAACTTATCCTATTCTTAGGTCATTACTGTTATGACCCCCATTTAAAGATGAGGAAGCTGTGACCTAGAGGGGTGGAGTGACTTGCCCAAGGTTAACATTTTGCAAAGGGAAGAGCTGATGGAGAGGACTGCTTGAAAGCTAGGGAGACAGTCAGTTCCTAAGTGGGGAGCTATCACTTGAGGTACCTGGGGAGGACCTGAGGGACAGGTTTTCAAAATGCAGTCCTTGGACCTGCCTTATCAAGGCTCCCCTGGGAATCTGGTAGAATTTCAAATTCTCAGATTCCACCCTCAGATTCTGAGGGTCTACAGTCTCAGTAATTGTTGTGGGAGCGGCCCAGCCATCAGGCATGTGCTAGTTTGATAAGCAAGAGTTTAAGAAATGCCCCTGATGAGGGGCAAGCCAAACCAGTGGGTGCAGGACACCAGGCAGGTGACCATGCAGCAGGCCTTCTGGGGAGGAGTGGAAGGAGCTCAGGAAGTGCCACTTACTTTTGTCACACCGTGGTCCATATTTATTGGGATCCGAGCAGAACTGACACTGGGAGCCCTGGAAGCCGTCCTGGCAGATGCATGTCCCATTGCCGCCAAGGCCATCTACACACTGGAGCAAAGGGCGCTTAGGATACTGCTCACCTGCTCCTGAGGAAGACCCCTGGCTGCCCGGGGCTGTCAGGCCTCAGTCATCCGGCAGCTCAGCCCCAGCACAGGGGCAGGTCACTTCCTGGGGGCTGGCCGTGGGGCTCCAGACCACGCCCTGGGCACCACCGACCCATCTCAGGCTTCTGACTTCGAGCTCAGGCTCAGCCCTGCTTGACCTGACTGTTTGGGGCTCCGTGGAGAGTGCAGTTGTGTCGGGGCGGGTAAGGTGCTCAAACAGCGCCAACCTTTGAGGTCCCCAGCCAAGTTTAGAACATTAAAGGAAGTACTTGAGGGGGGCCTCTCTGGAGAACTGGGCCCAAACAGTGCTTAAGGGATGGCATGGCAGACACCGCGCCTCAGGCTGAAGGCTGGCCCTTCTCTTAGTCCCATCTGCTGTCTGTGACTTCAAACTGCAGGGCTTCTCCCTCTAGGGAGAAGCGCTTTTGCTGCCCACCTACCCAGTCCTTTCGCAGCTGCATTTCTACTGACCAGATGCATCAAAGTTGGGTGTGGAGCTCTCGCGACTGCCCCGCTGTGGTGGTCGCACTGGTGTCCCTGCTCTTGAATGGTTTAAGTTTGGCCGCTTCACTTTCCAAAGACCTACGTTAGTCCCAATTTTGCCAATCAAAACAAATCTGGGGAGGGGGCCTCCCCCGGTGGCGCAGCGGTTGAGCGCTGGGCTGCTAAAGCTGTCTGCAGCCTCTGCAGTGCTGGTTCCATCCCCGGCCGCCTGCAAGGGTCCCACATGGCGCACAGACCTCTCCTGCCATGCCCGCTGCTCCCCTCAGAATGTACTTCATCAATCTGCCTGTTCTGCTCCCCGCTCTGGCTCTGGTGAATTCTCTCACCCCCTGCCCTTCTGACTGTACCCAGTGCTTGTATAAATAAATAAATAAATAAATCTTAAAAAAAAAAAAACCAAAAAAAAACAAGCCAAATCTGGAGAGGATTTTCACTTTGACGACAGAAGGTGAAAAGTGAAAATAATGTGCAGAGTTTGTTTTGCAGCATCTCCAGGCTCCTGCCTGGGACCACTTTATGCTCTTACTGGATATTAATGTTATTTTAGGTTTTGTATATTATTTGGTAGGTTATCTTTTGGGCCTGGGAACGCTCCAATTTTTTTCCCACATAAATGAATGGTGATTGGTTCTTCATTTTCTGCTATTTCAGGTCATGCAAGAGCTTCAAACTAGATGAGGAAGTTTGGATCTTACCTTCCACTAGGTTTTGCAGATGGGTTAACAAGCAATCACTGAGCAGTGTTGTATACCTATTTTTTAAAGTATCATAAAATCTTATCCTGGAAAGCATCTTGGAGATGGATGCAGGCCCACCCGCTAGCTCTCAAGGAGGAAAGTGGGGTCCAGAGAAATGCGCTGAGTTGCCCAAGGTCAGGCAGACCAGTAATAACATCACTGAACCCCCTTCCGACCCCCTCCATCCCCACTGCCACAGCCAAGAATCCTTCTACTGTGGACACCTTCTGTCCTTTTAGCAACTGATGTGTTGTATTTCTACTGGGAAGAGCAGTTGGCTTTGTATCATTTCTTGGTTTAGTAGTTTTAAACATTATTTTCAACTTAAGAAAGGTCTACTTAAACCTTCACGAAAAAGCAGACACCCAAATCCTTGTCACCTGTCCATTTCCTGAGCACGGATTCAAGAATCCTCCTGGACACTGGACACACTCGGGTCCGTAGAAGCCGCTGCAGCACTTTGGTACCTGAGAAACAAAGCAGTGACCTACACAGAGCGCCCCCTCCTCCAGGAGATGCGTGTTCATTTCTGGGTTACAATCAACAGCATCAGCCTCCTCCCTATGAGCTCGACTTTTTCTCCTGCAGATGATGCGGGGTATGCTCAGCTACCTGCTCACCACGCATCTGCTGTGGCCAGGCTCCTGGGGGGTGCCCGGACCGACAAAGATGAAGGAAGACTTCTCCTGGAGAATGCCTTCCATCTGCCAGGAGGGAGGAAAGGAATTTGAACATTAAAAAAAAAAAAAACAGAGAGAGAAGAGCATTCGAGAGAATGGTAAGTAATGGGGGAACAAAGTATTGCAGAAGAGTGACGAAGAGGAGAAGGGGCAGAGCAGAGCTGGGGGAGGCTACAGCGGAGAGGGGTGGTGACGGAGGAGGTGACGGTTAAGTGGAGACTTGGAAGAAGATAAAGTCTCAAGAAAACCCGAAGGCGCAGCCAGGGGAAGGAGGGCACTGGCACACGCTGTGTCACGGGAGTGCGGGTAAGGGGTGGTAAAAGATGCTGGCAGAGCTGGCCACGCGGGGACGTGGGAAGGATGGATGGCCTGGGGGGTGACCTGGCTGCTGTGTAGAAAGTCTACCCTTGAGTCCCCCGGAGGAAGATGTCGTCGAGGCCCGCAGGCAACATGAGCTGCCTGGCCCTGCTGCCTTCTGTGGGGCCTCAGTAGGCTGGGTGGCCCCCACCCCTACCCGCTGGTCACCATACTCCTCACCTTCACGGTGGCATTGCAGTATCTGGCACAGCCGATCTTCAGATTTCTTAGTTTGCCAAGATAGACACACTTGTGTCTGAAGAGTGTCTGAAAGGAAGCCATTTGGAAGAAGCACTGCAATCTGCATTCGAGGCCTACCTCATCCCTTCATCTTAGGCTCTTGCTCAAGAAGAAAGAAATGAGAACTACACAGGTTATCACACTCTAGGATTTTACCTACTCGAAGGAATTTCAGGTCATTAAAGAAGGAACGCCCAGGAAGACTCTGGGTGATGGTGCCCCTGAGCAAGTTGCTCAAATATCCCTGTGCCTATTTAATTTTTATGCTTTTCTGTATGAAACACTTTCCCGTGGGATTGCATCAAAGAGCTCATCACCTTCTGCAGTGATGTGATGTAGAGGTCAATGGATCTTCTGAATGGGAAGTTCTTTCTTTGGACAAACTTAGAGGCAGACATTTTTATCCTTAATTTGAATTCAGAACACTCTGTACTTGACACAGGACGATGGGCTGCTGTGCCACTATCTGTTTTCCTTTTTAGATTAGAGCTTCTCCAGACAAAAACCAAACCAAACCAAACCATCTTATTCCTCTTTCTGTCCCCAGAATTAGCTCTATGATCCTCAACAGATGTGTGTGGAATTCAAACATGCTTGAATACATAGCCTCGTATTTCTCACACTCCTTTTCAGCATAATGTTTGGGAAGAGCAAGTGAAATGAGGTGTCCAAATATGTCATCTCTGAGTCTGTCCCTTTGGCAGAAGGAATATTTTGAGCTAAAGGTACTTGAAAAACAGTAGATAAAAAAGGGACACTTTCCCCCTGACGTCTTATTTGGTTCCCCTATATTCTTGCTATAGGTGAAACCATCTGATATTTTTCTTTTTCCTTCTGACTTATTTCACTGAGCATAATTCCTTCTAGCTCTATCCATGTTGCTGCAAATGGCATGAGTTTATCCTTTTTGATTGCTGAGTAGTATTCCATTGCGTATATGTACCACATCTTCTTGATGCAGTCATCTATTTTGGGCATTTGGGTTGTTTCCAGGTTTTACTTATTATAAATAGTGCTGCAATAAACATAGGGGTGCAGGTATTCTTTTGAATCAATGTTTTTGTGTCCATTGGGTAGCTCAGGGGAAAAATAATAACAATACAAAACACAACACAACAAAACAAAAACAAATAGGCAATTATAAACCAGAGACATCCTGCAGGGGAGGAGGAGGGAGAGGGATCAGAGGGAGCAAGGGAGGAGCACAGGGGACTGAGGTGATGGTGCTGGGTGCATTGGTGAAGGAAACTCTATGAGGACTGCACCTGGGGGAGGGGGGAGCAAACATTGTTGAAAAATGAACAGTGATGTAAAAAATATATAAAGAAAAAGGGACACTTTGGTCGCTCTTTCTCTTTCTGAAAACAGAAGCTAATCCTCCCTGTACCAGGAGGAAAGAAACATCTTATCACCAGAGACAAGGAGTTGAAGCCAAGAAAGAATTGTACAATTAGGCCTTGTTAAAATAACCACTCTTCCTTTTCTCTTCCAGCCATTTTTGTCACTTTTCCATAATTGCCACCCTCTATTTAAGCTATTAGATAAGCACCTGGGTTTCGCCACTTTTTGGGTGTCATTTTCCTTTGGAAACCCCCAGCTATGTGTTAGGACCTACCTCTGTGTGTCCTTTTCTCCTGCTAATCTGTCTTGTGATAATTTAATGCTCAGACTCAGCTGAGACCCTAGGAGGGTGGATATAAGGTTTTGCTTCCCCCACACAATCACTGGATTTAAGAGAGAGAAGTAGAGAGAAGCAGTGGACATTTACCAAGTAGCTACTTGACTTGGGTTTTTATCTTTGCCCGTCCTGCAGTGAATAATAGCAATTCTGTTATTATTACTAATAGATGAAGAAAATTAGATAAGAAAAGTAAAATGACTTACTTGGGGTTAATAAGCAAGGATTCAAACATAGATTTGTGGGCTCTCTTTCTACTGCTCTCCATAGAGAGCTAAGAACTTACATGAGGCTAAGAACTTATATGAGTCCAGTGAGAATGAAAATCTTTGAAGAGGGAAGGTAGAACAGATAAGAAGCCATGCCAGTAGGCTCGCCCAAGTGACGTGTGGCTTCCCAGAGTTGTCACACTCACCGTGGGCTCAGAGTCAGCAGGACACCTGCTCCAGTACACCACGGAGCAGCTCCCACAAGTGCTCTGGAAGGGAAGACAGAGGATCAGGGTGGGGTTCGCTGTAAGCAGGAGCAGGGGACCTCCCTGCCTGGCCTCACATGCTGCCTTGTTTGGGGTTCTACTAGAGTAACAGTCCTGCCCCCTCTGTCCTCCTTCACTGACCCCCAGGACGGTCTCTTGGGCTCCCTTGGCCACTTCCATTCAGTACCAATGGGATCTTGGGGAGAAGGAGGAGAGCAAGGTCAGGGTATTTTTCTCCTGCTTCCTCTCTGCACGGGCATCCATCCCGATGACTCCCGGCCAATGTCACTTCTTCCACACTTTGCAACTTCCTGAGGTCGGGCCATTCCAACCCTCCTCCAGTTCTTTGGCCCTCAGCTGGGTGGTGATGTGTTCCCGCCATTGCTTCGCTCTTGATGAGCAGCGTAACTTGTTTGCTTCCTACCCACCCATCTATAGAAGTTCCTCCATAAAGGTTGCTTCATTTGAACCAGCAGAGTAAATTCTGTTTCTTCCAGGGACCCTAACAAGTACATAGTGTTGTTTATATTGCATTATAAAGCACACATCGTCAAAGGCAACTGTGGGTCCAACCTGGTGAAAGCAGAAACATCTAGAAGGTGTCAGCTGCTCCTACCCCTTGCTAATTCTAAATACACTTTCCAGAAAATGCACCTGTGCTTTCAATAGACCTAATAGAAACCACCCTAAACCATACAGAGCAGATGGACAGGACTTTAAACCCAAGGGAAATAGTAAAAGAAGACGCCATTCTAAGGCAGCTAGGGGGAAGCTTTTCCTAGTCTAGCCAAACTTCTTTGGGTTGTAGCTCAAACCCACATTTTGATTCTGTTCTTTGGGAAGGCAGAGAACCAACTTTGGAACAAACTGGAACAGAGCAACCCTGTAACAAGACAGTCTTCGAGGGCTGCTGTCCACCCTGCTCCTCCCTTCCCCAAGATGGGGGGACTCAGGAGTCTCATCGGCAACCATGACGCTTTCCTGCAGAGGCCCTATTTTCCTCACACTTTTGTCTTTGGGATAAGAGATGAGACTCTGCTCATCTCTCCTGTTTTGATCTTCACCCTGGTGTGTAAGGCAGGTGATGCACCTGCAAATGTTTTTTTCAAAGAATGAACCGACTCTAAATCACTGCCAGCGACTGGGAAACTGACTTTCTGCTGCTCTTAAAAAGGGGTGCTCAGAGTTGCATCCAATCCCCCAGGTAATACATGACTGGCAGGGAGGGCTAGCTCCATCAGAAGAGCCTCCAAGAGATCAGAGACAGCACATCAACTAAGAAATCTGGAATCAAAAGAATCAGTCGCAATTCTGCACTAGGGACTCAATTAGCTGTTTCCAGCTTTCATGTCAAGAAGAGGGATTAACAAAATAAAAAAAATCTATCACCTCAGCCCAATATTTCTTGCTCAATATCTAGGTTCCAAGGATAGTTTGAGAACACTCATTAAAGATGTCTTGAAGTGTCCTGAAAAGAAAGACCCAGACCAATTATTGCTGTAATTTAGGGGTTATGGTTTCTATGGGGAGCTGAAAGATCAACGTATAGCAGTGTTGAAATTTGGGGTCCTCTGAAAAAAACTGGCTGAGCCAAAAGTGTTGCTGTGGGAACAGGAAAGGACCGCTAGAGGGGACACAAGCTCACAGGCAAACAGAAAGTTTGGCATTTGATAAAAAGTGCAGAAAGATGGTTGATTAGCTGGACCAGAGCTTCTACTTGTAAGTACTTCTTAGAGAGGCCTGGAGCAGGGCCAGTGATGGGGGCAGGGAAGGGGAGACATAGGAGATGGGTCCTTGAATGCTGTTCCGCCCAAATTCACGTTTTCCTGACACTCAGATTGTGATTTAATTTGGAAATCAGTCTTTGAACAGGTGACTGGTTAAGATGAGGTCACACTGGACTTGAGCGGTCTCTGAATCTAACCACTGGTGTCCCTGCAAGAAGTAGAGGGACACACAGTGTCACACGCAGGGACAAGGCTACACAGGGACAGAGGCAGAGCCTTGTGGGGAGGGGCACCTACAAGCCAAGAAATGCCAAGGATCTCCTGCAGGCGTAGATGCTGGGAAGAAGCAAAGAAGGACCCCCTTTTCCCTGAAGCTTCAGCAGGAGCATGCTATTATTTTTTTTTAATTTTATTTATTTTTATTTTTTTAAAAGATTGATTTATTTATTTATACAAGCACTGGGTACAGTCAGAAGCACAGGAGGGTGAGAGAATTCACCAGAGCCAGAGCGGGGAACAGAACAGGCAGACTGACGAAGTACACTGCTGAGGGGAGCAGCGGGCGCGGCAGGAGAGGTCTGCGCACCATGTGGGACCCTCGCCGGCGGCCGGGATTGAACCAGCAGTGCAGAGGCTGCGGGCAGCTTTGCAGCCTAGCGCTCAACCGCAGGAGCATGCTATTATTAACACTAGTACCCTGATTTCAAATGTGTGTCTGCAGAACTCTGAGAGAACTGGGGCTTTAAGTCACCCAGTTTTTGGTAATTTGCTACAGCAGTTCTAGAAAACTAATATACCCTCATAACCTCTATTTTTGTGGAAACCCCCCCACCCAGCCCCCTAGCTCCCCCACCCCACCAAGGAAACTTTGGATAACATTTTGTGAGCTAAGACCTCAGGCCTGCTTGTCTCTTCCTGAACACAGAAGCCCTCTGGGATAAGCATCCTGTGTAAAACTCCCTGTCAGTTTCCTCAGAATTGTGAGAGGAAGGCACGCCACGTGGTCTGTTTCAAGGGGCTGTTTGCAGACGCTTATTTATTTTCCTAGTCTCCTTACCAGTTTCATTTCTCTCTTGGTCTCATCACATCGGTGAGGCAGAATTGGGACGATGGAGGGAGGAATAAGAACTCCAGTCAGTGTGTAAATTCGGCCATTTTTGGCAGCGACCTCAATTTCTTCCATTGTCACATTATTTGCCAGAATCTGTCCCTGGAAAGAAGCAATATCTTTCATTTTCTCTGCCAGGGTGGCAGTGGTCTCCCGGGCAGACCTGGACGATGGTTCTCTCTCTAAAGAAGTTTCAGCTTTTCATTGAGTGAAAGATGCACTTTTCATTGGCTGGGAATGGCTATTAGAAGGGGTGTGGCTGTCAGGAAAAGGTGAGTCGGTGAGTCGGTCAAGTGAATTCTTGACTGACACCAGATAGGGATGTCTTTGCAGAAATGGTCCTAGTAGGTACTGGACTCTGGAGAAAGTATAACTTTTCCAGATCTACAATCTATTTGCTAGGAGAACTTGGGCAGATTGTTGGACTCCTCTGTGGTGAAATGGGGAACCATTTATTCAAATTCACTTGACTTTATATTAAACTCTGCCTTCGTGTGGGGGATGTATCAGTGAACAAACAGAAAAGTTCCTGTTTATGTAGTAGGAAAGGAGCAGAAAATGAACAAATTAGCAAATAATTCTGACCTCCACTTCCCCCTAGTCTGCTCTAACTTCAGCATTCATGGCAAATCCATCCTTCTGGTTGCTCAAGTCAGAACCTTATGACCTCTCTCTTCCTGCCCCATCCAATCCCTCAGCAAATTCTGTTGGGCCTACCTTCAAAATACCTGTTGAATTTAGCCACGTTTCCCATGCCCCTGCTACCGTCCAGGTCTGAGTCACAGCGTTCTCTGGATTATTGCAATCAACTCCTAACCAGTCTCCCTCAGAGATGCGTCATTCCACTGCTCACCACTCTGCAATGGCATCTTATCTCATGCAAAGTAGAACCTCCATTCTTAGCCTGAGTTCTTAAGTCACCCATTCCCTGTCTCAACCTGTCTTTCACCCTCTTACTGCCTAGTCCTCTCCTCCTGCCTCTCTCCCTTGCATTCTGTCTTTCCAGACACAGGCCTTGGTACTCCTCTGTCAGGCTAGGTATGCTTCTTGCCTTATGCTTTTGCACTTGCTTTTTCTGGAAAGCTCTTTCCAAGACAGTCACATTCCTCCCTCTCCTTCAGTTCTTTGCACAGATGTTGTTTTCTTCTTCATGAGGATTACTTGGGACATTTTATCTAAAATGTCAGCCCCATTTTTGCTTTCAAGTCTCCTTCCTTGCTTGGCAGTATTTCTCTTTAGTATTCACTGTTCTCTAATATGTAACATTTTTGCTTATTTAATTTGCTTATTGTCAACCCTTCTGTTTACTAGAATGGAAGTTCCGTGCAATCAGGGACTTGTCTCCTTGTCCATTGCCTATCTTTAGGACCGACAGCGGTGTCTGGCACTCAGTAGGTATTTGAGAGGATGAATGATTGTGATGAGCAGCAGCAATAGGAGGCATTATTTCCCCACTGCCAGACTTGTGCTGATCATACAACCCAAAGGGTGTTAACCACACAATCGGCCTTCTTTTAGTTTCTTAGATGTCATGGTTCCTTCTGCCTCAGGACCTTAGTACATCCTCTCTCTTCTGCCTGAAACACTCTTCCGCTCATCTCTGCCTAGGACCACTCTACTCTTGGCTAAGCATCCCCTCCACAATGAAGACCTCTACATTCCCAGACTTGCTCAGTGTCCTATTGTGAACCTTCATAACCCTCTTAACTTTCTTTTGGTGGAACTTATTACAGTGGTCATTGAGCCACTGACTGGTTGCCAAATCATTATGTAAAGTATATTTTCCATACTGAGATATAAGCTTATCTTTTTCGCTGCTTTAGCCTTTATAGCTAGTTCACACTGTCACACTTGTATTTGCTCAGCAGATATTTGATGCTGAATTATAAATAAATGAAAAAAATCATTAAGATTTTATTTTAAGCTTATGAGTTAGTGGAAAGGTAGGATAATCCTATGAAAAACCACATGCAGAGTAAAGACACCTGTGAATAATGACACCTACATTGTCAGCTGTGTTGAACTCTATGATCTGGTTGGCCATGCTCCTGATGTGAGGGGTGGAAATGAGCGTGCCCACGTCGAGCTACAAGAAAAATAGGACAACAGAGACAGATATTTAGAACAACAAACAACCCCACTTCCCGAAAGTCCTCGCTGGAAAATGTTTATTTGATAATGGGCTCACATTTCATGGCCAAGGGTATGCGCAGAGCTACAGATAAAGAACTACTGTCATCTTGTCTATCACTAAAATATTGCAATTTAAGATCATCTCAGATATCTGACAGCAAGATAAAAAACATAGCAAGAAATGTGGGACTAACCTGGGTAAATGGGACAATGTGGTATCTGACGAGTTCCAGAAGCTTCCGAGACCCCTGCAAAAGAATGCAAAAACTTCTTTAGTCAATGAAGAAAACACAACTCTTCCCCTCTGTGGAAGCCCCCTTCAAATGACTTTGGACATTTAGTCCAGAAAAACAGATGACTCATAATCTGTTTTGTCACTTTGCCAAGTGACAAAAATCCCACCCCCAACCTGCTAACATTCACTAAATTCCTACTTTGTGTGGGGCTATTCTGAAAACACTAAATATACATCTTATTTCATCCTCCCAACAGCCCTGTGAGGTGGGGATACTACTGACTCATTTTATGAGTGATAACACTTAATTTTAAAGACATGTCCAAAGTAGGATATACGCCTCACAATTTGTGCAAACTCTCAGTCACTGCCTCATCACTAGTTTAGGAAAAGCCTGCATGCAGGCACCGGAGGTGCTGCTGCTCACACGTGCCAAATGAGGAACAAGGATACAATACCTCAGGAGAAAGGAGGTAATCAAGAGCCCCATCCTTCATAGAGTTCAATGCGTCATTACTTGGAACAAAAATGGTGTATGGTCCGCCAACCTCAGCATCCTCTAAAGCATGTCCCACATTGGTCTTCTGCATTTGAGAAATGAAATTTTATATCTGCATCCTATCTCAGAGAGACATTTGCAGTATTTCCTCAGCAAGTACAGTTGGTCTTTGAACCACATGTGTTTGAAGTCCCAGGACCCACTGATATGTAAGTTCTCTTCAACACTGTTCCTTCTCCCGTCTCAGCCTATTCAACACAGACACTACAAGAATGAAAGGCATGATGATGACCTACTTATAATTTTCCTACTAACATTTTCTTTAGTTTACCTTATTGTAAGGGTACAGTAGATAATATATACTACATACAAAATATGTTTTAGTTATTTATGTTACCCATTAGGCTATTAACAACAGGCTATTAATGGGAAAATTTTGGGGGAATTTTTGACTGCATGGGGCTTGGTTCTTTAGCCTCCACATATCAGGGTCAACTGTATTTATATGCAATAACTGTTAATTTTTACAAAGGACTGAACATAAAATATTTTTTTAAAAAGAAAATCAAGGGAAGTACATACCTCTAGCAAAAATCTGAACTTGCTATATCTTGGTTGCAGCATTGTCATTATGGTTTGCTAAAAAGAGACATTTTGCTTAAAGATCATTTTAAAAATCAGGTGGTTTAGGAAATAGACACACCAATATTAAAAGGCAGATAGCAGGATCTATATGTAAATAAGATAGATATAAAAGCACCTGGCCAATACAATGTTTATGCAAAGGTTTTTGTTGTTATGGAAAGAGTAACTGATACCTGCAGGTTCTGAAATAGCCTTTGGTGACATGAGGAGGAATAAATTTTATCACAGTGACGATTGTCCTGCTCCATAAAACTGAAGGGATAAATTTTCATGATAACTGGTCTCTGGACTGAGGTGTCGGATGTGCTCACAAAACAGGATAAAATCAAGATCTTTCCTATACCTACTGCTTCTTAGAATTCTGTTTCAAACACAAATTATCTCATCTTCCTCATGATTGGAACAAATGGACCAACACCAAGTGCTGGCATCCTCCTTCTTGGATGTGACTCTCCAGGGAACAAAGGAAGGTGGATTGGGGTTGACATCATTTTTACCTGCAGTATCTCACCTCAGTGTTGCTCTCAAATGTGGGCGCCATGTTGTCCAGGGCTCTGTCGAGAAAGTGCACAAGCCCGTTGGAAGCTACTATGTTCCCCTGGATAATTTTAATCTTCTTTTTGCCTCCATAGAGTTTAAGCTTCAGTTGATTGTCCTAAGTCGCGAAGGAAAAATTAAGTCATTGTAGTGTCCTTGAAGGAGTGAGCACCGGATTAGGAGTCTTGAGTCCTTAAATTCTGCTGCTTACTGGCTGTGTGATCATCCTTAAAATGGGGATGGTGGCATTTGCTTGGTTGGCTTCACAGGTTTTCCATTAAGATCAAACAGGATCATTGTGAACTCACTGGTTACAACCAGTAATCGCTAAATATGAACAAGGCATTGTAAGTCTCCCCCAAGACTGCAAGATCTAAAAGGGCAATATTATTCAATTTACTTTAAATTTAGCACCTCCTTTATTGTCTTGCTCATGAAGGCACACAGTAAGACACACTGTTGAATGAATGACTGAGGCTAATTCCTTCTTCATCCCATGTGGTTACTGTAAGTTACAGACTTAGTAAATATGTATTGAATGAGTGAATGCATGTTTTGTGAGAAATGAAGCCACACTTTTATCTATCTATCTATCTATCTATCTATCTATCTATCTATCTATCTATCCATCCATCCATCCATCCATCCATCCATCCAACCATCCAACCGTCCATCTACCCGAGTCTTATATAATGCAAATGTAGGTTTACCCCAGTACCTCTGTCACATACTCAGTAACTTATCAAGTACTGGTATTTGGTGAATTACAACAGTGGAGATCAAAACCCACAAACCCACACATGCATATTCTGCTGATTCATCACTTGCCCTCTAGCTCAATAAAGTCATAAAAAGAGTTACTCGTAAAAGGGAAGGAGCATAGTTTTATTTAAAAAACAAAACAGAATTAATGGCATTAGGAGTGATAGAGAAGATGGATAAACTCCAGCAATCTAAAACAAACATAACCCATTTCCTTTCGTAGGAGAATGCTGATCTGGCTTTGTGCTGATGCTTCCAGGAAACCGGTTTATAGCAGAGTTTTTCCTTCCTGCTGGCAACTGAACACTGGTTGCCTCACAAACTAATTCAGACCAGTGCAAAATCAGATAACTTACAGCCCTCTTTCTGTGACAGCCCAACCCCCTCCTACTGAACCTTTCTGGCGTTGCTCTCGGCTTCTTCCTACAGAGGGAAGTGCTTTGATAAGCAACAATAAGGAAAGAATCTTCCACAGTTGCAAACATGCAGAGAGAGGCTGATATGCATATTTAGTGGACGGTTCCTTCTAGGAAGAAAAAAACTAAGAACCCCTTACCTTATCACCATTGAAGATTTCTCCTGACTTTCCAGTCAAGGTATAGAATGTCTCTGTGTTATTCATCTGCTCAGTGTTCATCTGCCCAGCTATTATGTGGAGCTTTACAAAATACTGAGCAGCCTTGGGATCCATCAAGAGCTCTTTGACCTGAGGAAAGAGAGTCAGTTCCTGTGGTCTCCTCTGTTGTTTGAAGGAGAAGATAATATTTGCTTCTGACGCACTGACATTCAGCTGAAATCCATCAATGCCAGTGCAGATGTTATTCCAGCTAAGCTGCCCTGGGCAAGGCCTTAAGGGAGCGGGCATCTGGAGACTGGGAGGCTGTGCATAGGATACCCTCCAGTCAAGAAGGGGGTGCCCTAGCTCAGAGACACACAGTGGGGAGAGCACAGCCCTGAGGGTGGAGAAGCAATGAGGGAGGAAGAGGCTGAGGAGGGAGGCAGCCAACAGGGAGGAATCATCTTGAGCACAAGAAGCAGATGGGAGCAAAATATGAAGTTATGTGAAAGGAGCCAGTAGAATGGATGGAGTGAACTTTTAAAGAGTAAAATTAGGGTGTTTGTAATCCATTTGGTCAAGTCTATATTTTGTCACTATTATATTGTCAACAATCCATTGACAGATAATTTTTACTAACTTGATATAAACTTGATCTATACATTAAATAAGGGAACACATGACCAGTGCCTGGCACAGAAGCATCGATATTTACTAGTTCTCTGCAACAAGAGGGATGTGAGGGAATAGATTTAACTCAGGCAGATGAACCGTGGTGGCATATCAGAGTGAGAAGCTCTGGAATTTACTACATTTTCATTCAATACAGCAAAAATTATTATCATGAAATATCTTGGCTTAAGATTAACTAATTTTATACAAATCAACATGTCATATTAAACCAAATATAACAGTTTTGATGCCATCACGATGGACACCTCCACAGGCATTGTCACTTTCATGCCCCAAATGACATTTTCTCAGGTAATTGAGAAAACTGCTCACGTTAGAGACTATGCTCTTTCTATCACTGTTAGTATTTATGGTTATTTAACAAAGTATAATACTTACTAAAACTAGGAGATATTATTAAAAAACAAATGTCTTGCTAATACATTAGTTTATTTCTTCCTGTAGGAAATAAGCCTTTGCATTGTGCAAATCTGACACCTCACGTGACTGCAGTTAAGCAGCCTGGTGATCACCCTTGAAGGGGTAGTGACTGGAACAGATGGGGTCCCCACCTGCTAGAGAGCTGGAAATGGCCCCGAGGCTATGCAAGTTCATTCACTCTGTGACAATTCACTGGTTTGCGCATGTAGAGTTTGTACATTTTCTGTAAGGTTGTTGTCTGGTGCTAAAGCAAGTTCACCAAAAATTCACCATCCTTGTCATCATTAGGTTAAATTTTTTTTTATTGGTTTGTTGACTTTGCTGTTAGGGATTTATTTAGAGCTGTCACCTCTCCATCCCTAGCTGTTCATTTTCCCCACCACCATCTCCTATATTCCCCTGTTCCTTTCCCCCTCCCTGTTCCCTCCTAGCCTCAGAGCCTTCGTGGCACTTATTAATATCCAATTTTTTTTGTATTTTTATTAGTTAAATTGTCCACTATATAAAAAAGTACAGTGATTTTCTTTGCCAATGTTGACTTGCTTTACTACGCGGCATTTCCTCAAGCTCCCTCCTTGTGCTGTAAAATGCTGCATCTCATCTTTCGTTTTGGCTGAGTAGTATTCCACAGAATGGACTGACACAGCCCATGGATCTGATCAGCTACTGAAGGACATTTAGGCTGCTTCTATGTCCGAGCTGCTGTAGGACAGTACAGTAATACTGTGCAATAGGGTTAATTTAAATGGGAATTTCCCACTTTACATAAAAGAAGAACTGCCTACTAAGGGTTTTTCATAATCAGTCCATCAGCATAGAATTATATTAAATACTCACATTGAATCCTTTCGGTCCCTTGTCTGTTGGCAACAGCACAGTGAATGGTCCCAGGTTACTCAGCGGCCATGCGTAGACTTTGTCTTAGGAAGTGAAACACACAAAGGAAAGAAAACAGCAAATGAGTCAGGGCACATGAGGAGCAAGGTCAGGCCGTGGCCCTCGTCGTCCATTAGGATCTTTGAATCAAGAGCATCTCTGTTCTGACTGGCATGGGCAGGCCCTTGATAATCTGGAGGCTCTCTGTGAAATGAAGGCACCATGGTGTCTTGACCTCAAAAGGTTTTACTTTGTGATTTTCCCTGTAGCCTTGCCTTGCCTTCGAGGATGCCCTGGGGTGAGATGCCCTGTAGAGCTGGGGTGACAGTCCCCTCAGACAATCCCAGCATGTCCCTAACCCTGTGCTGACTTTCTGAGCTGTCAACACTGCAATGAGCAAAGACACAGTTCTTGCTCCCTCCCGGGTCACAGCAGAAGAGCCTCCTGCTGGGTTAAAGCTGTGCTGCTGCCATCTTGAAATGTTTAATTTTTCAGCAAAGGACCCTGATTTTTCATTTTGCACAGGGCCCTGCAAAATATGGAGCTGGTCCTGTTTTCTCCCCCCGGGGAAGCTGGGAGAGCAGGATGGTTCCGTGTTTTCACACAGGAGGCGATTGTACGAGCACTTCATAGCTGGGGCAGGCGAGTGGTTGACAGGATTTTGTCCAGGGAAACGTAGGAGGGGCTCAATCTGCAAAGAACACTCTGTCACCCCGTCTGCTTTCATTTGCTATTCTAAGCATTCTTGGAAGAAAGGATGCAAAGAAGCCTAAGGCAAGCATTAGTGCCTGTCCCTTGTAAAACATCCTGGAAAGAGAAGGACATTTGTGCAGGATGTGAGTTAAGATTCACACCAAGAATATACCACTGAAGACGCTTATTTGTCTATCTGTCCTTTTTTTGAGAATTCATTGTTGGTAACGGATAACTTCTAGACTGATATTTTAAGGCTTTTGCTGATTGGTGAAGTTTGTGTTTTATTTTCTGTTGACTGATGAAATTTGTGTTTTATCAAAAGTCTCGTGCAATCGGCTATACTATTTCATTCAATGAATGGAGGAAATATTCATTCTCAGTGAATGGGGTAATGTCCCCTAAAGGGCATTTGGAAATGATGAGGGTGTTTTGTGTGATCACCCTGACAGGGGAGAGGGAGGAGGAACATGTCACTAGAGACAATTAGTGGTTAGGGAGCCAGGGATGGTAAGCCCGGCCCTGCGTGAGAGGTCGCACAAAACCAAGACTATTCTCCAAATTCAAATGACACCTCTGTTGAGGAACACAGAACCTGCATGAGGGTCTTGCCCTCTATTTCTACCACCACCTGCCAACTTTGGTTCAAACCTGAGGACCCCATAAGGTCAAGGGAAAGAGGGATGGTTGTCACCCACGCATCAGTAGCTGCCCCATCTCACTGTTGTTACAGACCTGTTAGCCGGTGGTGACCACAGGACCCTCTCCTCAGCTCTCTGCCTTGCTGGATTTCTTGGCTAATAACTCCTGCTTGTTCCCTTGGAAACAACCGCCTATCTTTCCCAGCTCACCTGCATGGCCTCCCTTAGAAGGGCTGACCCCAATTGACAAGCCTTGCCTAGACTACCCAGCCCTTTCTGAATGATTGTGACTTATAGATATCCTTGCCCCAAAGAGGGCTGCCCTTTCTGTGGACATCTGCACCCAGAGCCACGTACCCAGGAGCGAGAGGAAAGAGGTCAGCCTTCCTTGCCATTTTCCTCTGGGTTCGGTATTTAGTTCTCGGAGTCGCTCCATGATATGTCCATAGCATGTTGAGCCATCGCCCACATAGCCTTTCTGGCAGGTGCATCTATGGAGAGGGCAAAGACACATCCCAGGACTTAGAGCCACGGAGTGGTGACGTCATACAGGCTAACACTGAGAATGAAATATTGTGCAGATGGAGGAGCAGATGGCCGGAGTAGGGCAGGGACCAGGCGAGTGGGGAGAGGCACACACACAAGGGAGCACTCTATAGCACCTGACACGCAGTGCTCCCAGGAAATGCATATTTCAAAAATTATGGCTACCTGTAACCACTGGCTATCTTTGTATGTTCTCAGTACTCCAAAGTGTGATCAAGAGACCATGTGCATAGAAGGAAATATAGGCGAAACACTACGTGATTTGCACATCAAAGACATCTTTACAGACACATCACCCAAAGCAGTGATAGTGAAGGCAAAGATAAACAGCTGGGACTACATCAAATTAAAGAGCTTCTGCACAGCAATAGAGACAATAACAAAAACAAAGAGAAACCCCACCAACTGGGAGAACATTTTTGCACCCAACACTAATGATAAAGGACTGATCACAAAAATCTGCAAAGAGCTGATGAGACTCAGCAACAACAAAGAAAATAATCCAGTCAAAAAATGGGCAGAAGAGCCAAAAAGAAACTTCTCTGAAGAGGAAATGCAAATGGCCAACAGACATATGAAAAAATGTTCAACATCACTTGTCATCAGGGAAATGCAAATCAAAACTACCATGAGATACCATCTTACACCAGTGAGAATGGCACATATTAAAAAAACTAGCAACAACAAATGTTGGCGAGGGTGTGGAGAAAAAGGAACTCTTCTGCACTGTTGGTGGGAGTGCAAACTGGTCCAACCACTATGGAGAGCTGTGTGGAGATTTCTGGACCTACTAAACATAGAGCTTCCATATGATCCAGCAATTCCACGCCTAGGTATTTACCCAAAGGACACAGAAACATCAATTCCAAAGAACACCTGCACCCCTATGTTTATAGCAGCACTGTTTACAATAGCTAAGCTTTGGAAACAACCCAAATGCCCAAAAATAGATGACTGGATCAAGAAGATGTGGTACATATATACCATGGAATATTACTCAGCATTCAAAAAAGATAAACACATGCAATTTGCAGCAACATGGATGGCACTGGAAGGGATCATGCTCAGCGAAATAAGCCAAAAAGAAAAAGGAAAATACCGGATGGTCTCACTCATAGCAGGAATCTAGAAAACTTAAATAAGGGACCAGGAAAATGAATAACTATAAGAAAGTGAAAATCAAAATCAACAAAAAACTATGAACCAGAGACACTTTTTGGGGGGTGGGGGGCGGGAGGGGAGGGATTGGGGTCAGAATGGGGCGTTTGCAATTGTATGGGGAATATAAAAATAAAATTTATTATTTTAAAAAAAAGAAAAAGAGACCATGTGCATCAGATCACTTGGAGTGCTTCCTCTAAATGTAGATTCTAGGATCCCACGCTACTGAGTCAGAATGAGCTACTGAAGGCAAACTCAAGAAAAGGCTCAAAGCTATTGATCTGCTTGGAAGACTCTCCTCTCCTCTCCCCTCCCAAGCAGAGATCTGGCTCCACTGTCCCTTCTTTCGGGAGCTCCTCCTGTCTCATTGTAGATCAGGACCCCTTAGCATAGACTCCTTGTTCCATCTTGCCATTCTCTGTTCCACCAATCCCAGTTTTTGTCTTGTCTTAACCTGTATTATTATTTGATTGATTTCTGCTTCCTATCTAATTTGAGAGGAGTTAGCAGAAGGGCTCCACGTGTATTTATTCACAGTGGTAACGCCAGGCTCCAGCACAGGGCTGAGCTGTAGTAGATACTTAATTCGTAGTTGCACCATACATAGTAATTACAATAAACATAAACACTGAAGTCAGAAATTTTGTATTATAGTTAAGCTTCATAAAAGAGAGAGTTAAAGAGGCTGTTTAAGCTGCACAAGCAGTGGTGTGCTGGTAAGTGTTCAACAACCAGCTCTGTCTGTGTGTGTAAGGCTTGATCTGCCACATTTGCCAATTTCCATGTTCCATATTCATCCCCACCTGGCAATATCAAACTACCAATGTGGCACCAATCAGATGAAAAATTAACAATCAGCTCGTGTGACTCAGTCAGGCTGGCTCTAGGACACTATTGCAAAAAGTTAACAGCTGAGTCAAACTGGCTGGGTGCTTGAGAAGGTGACATTCACCAGGATCCTGGAGATAAGCGAGGAACCAAACATGAGAAGGACATTTCTGAGACGAGAGATGCACAGAGGCTGTGGTCACACCATTCCAGAGAACTGACTCACATTTAGGAGAGAATTTCAAAGAATGATTCTGCACTCAAGAATCCAGTTGCATTTCTAAATATGGTCTCATGGCAAATCGACATAGATTTCAAGTTTGCTGAACAAATGTTTCAGAGCCCACCGCTCCTTGTTGGGATTGCTGTAAAGACCCTCCACATGGTCTTTCTGCCCTTAGTTTTCCTCCCCTGAAATCAACCCTTCACCCCTCTCCCCCCGAGAGCTCTTTCCAAAATGGAAACTGTCATCTGTGCTTAAAACTCTCAGGGACTCCTTTTATCTACATGAGAGTGTGTGAGTGCTTGGCACCCCCACCCAAAGGGGGGTGGTCCTACTTCTTCTGCCTCCTTCCTGCTATTCATTGCAAATTCCAGCAACACCAAGTTGCTGTATTTTAGATGGTGATTTCCTTCCCAGGCCAGTTACCCTGCCAGGAATGCTGTCCCCGCCTCCTGCTCTCCCAGCCTCACCTGATCGTCAGGTGTACCTGCTCTAGGCAACCTAGGGTCACCTCCAGCCTCTCCCCTCACAGAAGCATCCTGTCAATGCCTCCACCAAATGACCTCTTGGGGTATTGTTTCCTTTGCCCTAGGAAACTCCTAGAACCTGAATCTTGCCTTATTCCTCATTATTCCAGCACCTGAGATGGTGCCTCAGTGTTGAATGGATTGTTTACGAAGCACTGACTTAGCTCTAGGAACCTTGAATTAAGAAGGCTGCAAAGATGACAATAAAAGATATCTTGCCATTGAGTGTCTCAGCTGCTGAATATGAATCTGAAAACAAATAATTTAATCTCCTTGAGTCCCAGTCTCCCCATCTATGAAATGGGTTAAACAATGTTAGGTTGTCAACAGAGGAGATAATGCAAGAGAAACCTGGACCTCCCTCGTGGTGCAGGGGTTAAAGTCTCAGTACTATCAAGCTATTGCCAGTCACTGCAGCACAAGTTCGATCCCTGGCCAGGGAGCTGGCCCACATGATGCAGCAGACCTCTCCTGTTTTGCCTGCTGCTCCCCTCAGCAGTGTATTTCAGTGAGGTTTATTCTGTTCCCCACTCTGTTTCTGGTGAATCCTCTCACCACCCTGCAGCTCTGGCCTGTACCCCAGCTCTTGTATGCATAAATAAATAAAAACAATCTTAAAAAAAAACTATTCCCACAGTGACAGACACACAGAGAAGTTTCCATGCTTGGCAGATGATGATGGTGACAACAGTGGTGGTGATAATATGGTGATGGCTGATGTCGAGGGTTGGAGGACATGTTCAGTTAACTTAAGTTCCATAGAGACATGATAAAATGTTGAGTAGGGTGCTTCAGGGCATGGAGAGGGAGATGACTAATTCTGCCTGGAGAAATATGGGACAGATTCTAGGAAAATGGAACACTTAAGATAATTCTGGGATCCAGATAAGTTTTATAGCAAGCCAGATGATTGGAGAATCATTTACTAATCAAGCCTTTTAGGTTTTTATAGAGCAGTTCTTCTCAACAAGGGGCAACATTACCTCCCAGGGGACACATGGGAATGGCTGGAGAATTTCTTGGTTGTCACAACTGAGTTGAAGGTGTTCTGGCATCTAGTAAACAGAGACCAGTAATGCTGCCAAACACCCTGCAATGGGTAGGAGAGGCCCCGCAGCAGAATTATCTGATGCAATGTTATAAACCAGTGTCACTAAAGCAACAACAAAATAGTTACTGGAACCCAAATATCAATAGTGTGGAGGTTCAGAAACCTTGTTATAAAGTATCACTAAGGTAGATGAAATAGTAGCTATTTAGTACAATCAAATACCAGTTTCCTACTCAAATTTCAACTTCTTCTGCAAATACTGTGCTACGGGACAGTAAATTTGAGGATGTTAAGGGGGGAGGTTGGTAAGTCCTAGAGTGAAAAGATAGTGTTGAAACGACTTCTGCTCTAAATTCCATAAATTTCATTGGAAGACACCTTTCAATGCAAGCCCAGTAACTTCTACACACCACTGAGCATGCTTCTCTCTGAAAGTTCCCTAAGTTATTATGAGGCCAGTGATCTGTTTTGTGTAAAGTGATTTTGTCTTGTCTAAGGGTTACTGGGGAAGCATTTAAATGGCCACAGTGCTGAATGGAATGCGTGAGACATAAATACTTTTCCTTTTGTTTAAAATCTTGGTCCAAAGTCTGAGAGTTCATCAGAATATTTTCTGATTTAAATGCTCTCCGCTGTCTGTGGCACATTCATAATCTCGTCTCTTGTGTAAACTGGGTCTTTATTAGGAGTTGAGGTTCCTGCTCTCTTAAGGCTTTAAAAAATACCATTGGCCATTTGCATTTTATAAGCTATGGGGTGGCTTTCATTACACGGAATGCTGGATAAGACTTGGCTGAGCTATAGGGTGCCCCAAAGTCTCACTGCAGCTTTTTCCTTCTTTTCTTCCCTTGTTCTTTTCATCCTGACATCGATTCATTTGTTCCTTCAAACTATCATCCATTTCATTGTTTTCATTGATGACAGGAGTTCTTATAATAAAGGGGGTAAGAATGGATCCCCAAGGACCTTACCTTGTGGGGTTGAGATAAGTAATGGAAACAATAGCTAATGCCCCATTCCAAATCTGGTTCCTCTTCTAGAAATGGTATGTTATTTACTACAATTCTAGGAGGTGGATCCTGTCCTCATCCCATTTTCGATGAGGACACAGCAGCTCAGAGAGGTTAATTATCTGACGAGGTCATACAGCCTGTAAGAGGCAGTGCTCGTGCTCATCACTATTGCCCTGGGGGCTCATCATCATGAGAAATGTTATCATGGAAGCATTCTAGGGTGCTCTGGGGGCCCAGGGAGAAGGGCATCCTAGTAGACAGGACGGACTGGTGAGGCACCCTAGAGGTACAGACACTTAAGCTGGACAAAGAAGGATTTGTGTGCTACTTGAACCAGAGGGGTGGGGTGGGAGATGGGTGGTGTAGATAGGGGACAACCACCCCTTGCGTACACCCTGAGAATGGTCCCAAAAGTTGTTTGGAGCACTTTGGGCAGAGAATGCCAGGGTTCTGAGTGTGGGGGTGTGGTCTACAAGGGAAGCTCAGACTCCAAGAAGGCTTGTCTCCTTGGTCCTCAGACTCCTCCTAGTGTGGCCAGCAAAGGGCCAGCAGACAACACCCTAAAATGTCATGCCCAGTGCACCCAGGGGCACCTTTTGCCCACGTCTAAAGCTTGCACTGCTGGAAACGCATCTGGAAGTGGCTGAACTGCGGTTTAAACCTGGGTCCGTCTGGGAAAGTCCACGTTCTTGTCTCTATGCCATGTTGCATTGGGCCAGGTTCTTGGGAAGGGTCTTCACATGCAGGAGCGATAAACTGCTTGTCTTGTACAAACATGGATGTCCTCAGTGTTGCTGACTTCCCAAGAGTCTCTAAATATTTGTAATATTCATTGTCCATTTGTCCGGTTGGAATGTAAATTATCCCTTTTCTCCCTGCCTTCTCCCTGCCTTCCAGTCTTGTTTTCATCTGAATAGAGAATCAAATAGAGAAACACTTTCCTTCTGAGACCCTTGTCTTCTGCCTCTATTAAGTAAAAGTGAAAAGGCACAATTTTAGCAGCCATGAAGCTATTCTTGTTAATAATAATAATAAAAATGGAGCTTGGAATTTTAAATCATGTTTATATAAACTTGCTAGCTTTTCCCAGGGAGATAGTCTTGGTCTGTAGCCTCAAGGCTGAAGAAACTGTGGTTCTGAAAAGTTACAGGATCACTATGGTGGCACCCTGGAGCCTGCATTTGAACCCATTTTTCTGATATTCTTGGTTAATGTAGTATGATTTTAAATATTCTGCATGAACTAATTGTTTTATTGAGGAGTCATCGACAAAGCAAATCTTTCTCCTTGGTGAATTACTTTACCTGAACTAAATGACTGAAGGCTCTATATTTTATCAATGTGATTTAGCCAGTCTCTAATCTATGTCTCTTTCCAAGCTGAAAACAGCCAAGTTTATTTTTTTGTGGCGGGGAATAGAGGAGTTTTGAGTGACACACGTACCCCTAAAATTCATTGTAGTTCCACTGACATTCTAAATACAAATTTTAAGGAAGCTTATATTGTCCTGACATCTTGCATTTTTAAAATTTTATCTTCTCAAGATGTGGTCCATATACACAATGGAATATTACTCAGCAATCAAAAAAGATAAACACATGCAATTTGCAGCAACATGGATGGAGCTGGAAGGGATCATGCTCAGCAAAATAAGCCAGAAAGAAAAAGAAAAATATCAGTTGGTCTCTTACATAGCAGGAATCTAGAAAACCTAAATAAGGGACCAGGAAAAAGAATAGCTATAAGAAAGAAAAAATCATAATCAACAAACAACTATGAATAAGAGACATACTATGGGGGGGGGCGGGGAAAGGAGAGATTGGGGTCAAAATAAGGGGGTTGCAATTGTATGGGGAATATAAAAATAAAATTAAAAAAGTTTATCTTCTCAAACACAAAGAGTTTAAAATATTCTACTCAATCTTTTGCAGAGGCTGGTAAGAAGTGTGTAAGCTGCTTGATTCGGTTGCCAGTCTTACAGAGCCTGTCTGAGGAGAGGATGTGGCTGCAATTGTGTGTGTTGGATGCACAGGTGCCTTGATGTACGGCCAAGTTTGCACACACTCACAGGTATGGAGTGGGTTCTAGATGCCAGATTCTGCTTGGAGATTGATGACTATCATCTCCTTTAATCTCACCATAGCCCTGGTGGGAGGGATGATTCTCCCCATTGTATGACAGAGGAAGCATTGGTTCTGAGACCCAGTAAGTGGCTGAGCTGGGATTTGAACCCAGGTGTGCTGGCACCCAAGCTCTCTCCACTCCATGCACAGTGAATACAGATCTACTTATTTGCCCAGATAGAACATGATGATCATATAAACTCTCTCTGGAAAACCTCACACTTCCAAGATCTGACTGTAAAAAAATGAAATGAATTTAAAAGAAGATAGAAAGGAGTGTTGGAAACACAGGGACTATGGGGTAATTGCATGGCTTAGTGTGTTGTATGGTTTGGAGCTCACAGTGGTAGTGTGAGTCCTTTGCAGATGCTGATGACAGTGAGAAATGGAAGTGGCACCAAGACAGAAGCTTCTGTACAGCTGGGAGTTGAAAGTCTTGGGTTCTACCCTCAGTTCACCCACTAATAAAATCACAGTACAGCTATGCACTAGTTTTCCAGAATGTTCTCTCATGTACTCTTCACAACAATTTTACCTAGTAGACATCACTCTGCTCATTTTAGACATGGAGTAACTGAGACCAAAGAGACAGTCAGTTACCCCAGTGGGGAGACTCAAGCCAGGTCTTAAATTCCAACACCGTCACCTTCCCACCATGCCTCTGCCTCAGCCTCAGGAATTTTCACACAAATGTTTTTACTCACAGTCGGCCCCTTCTTTGGAAACCTGGAGTCCAGGAAATGCCACTCATGTTTATTTACTCTCCCCGGTCTTGTTTTGCGCCACCGAGGAGCAATATTTCATGAGTGAGGAAACAGGTCTATACATCAGAGGTCAGACTCCGTTTAATCACAACGGACAGTTGTTTCCCCAGTGATGGCGCTTCCTTCTCCCACGCTCTGAACCACTTAACACCAAATTATGGGGCCAAGTCAATATTCCAGGGTGTTCTAATGGTCATGATAGAGGAAACAATTGTTGAGTGAGCCATTGATTAAAGAAAAATGTATTCTGCATCTACTCTGCTCCTCGCATTGTGTTATGTGGGGGCGGGCGTGGACACGAGACAGAAGACAGATCTCCCGCCCTTCAAGGAACCTGCGGCAGTGACTGGCTGCCACTTGCATCACTGGCAGGTGGTGGAATGGAAAAGACTTACTTAGTCTGGCCAGGGGCGATGGTGGTGCAGTTTGCATGCTTATGGCAGCGGTTATCTGATTCACACACATCTGCCAGGCTGCACCCCACTCCAGGTACGAAGTCGCGGTAATGTTCCTTACACTCACAGTGGGCCTGTGGGAGCCGGAGGGGAGAACAAACAAGGGTTTGCGTGAGTTACTCAGGTTGACCTTCTTCTTTCATCCGTGTCTTTATTCTGTCTTAAAAACTAACTTGGGGTAGATTGGACTGTTGGGCTCAGGCTAGAAACTTGCCAAGCCATGAATTGGGAATTGTGTATTCTCATGACACTTGTGGGGAAACTCATCACCCTAATCACGAAGTTCACCTTTTCACTTTTCTTGTTTGCTAATCTGGGGTCTCCCTGGCTCCTGTGTCCTGCTCTTAGATGGTGTGCAGGTGAGTGGAGACTGAGGTTCAATGGGAGGCATTACTATTCTAGAACAGTTCTTTGCTGGGGTCTCACCCCAATGCATGTTGGGGAACATCTGGCGACTGCTGTGACTGTGACAGCAGGAGAGGGGAGCAGTGGCACTGGAGGCTGGGGATGCTGCTGAAAACCCTACAATGCAGGACAGCCCCCCAATGGAGAATTATCCAGCCCAACATGTTAACAATGCCGAGCTTGAGAAAGTCCGCTCTGGAACAATGGGAACAGCGAACTCACCACTTCCATTGAACAATGGAAGGATTCTAAGACTAAAACATCTGCCTGGGGACCCATTTTGAAAGAGAAAAAGCATATTTTTACTCTTGTTCCATGGCCCAGACCTTGGCTTAGAGCGCACTTGACTTTCCCTTTTCCTGAGGGTAGTGGTTTAGCCTCTTGAGTTTCTTGGCAAATTTGTCTCAGAAATAGCAAGGATGTTGTATGATGGACTTTTTTTTCCGCCACATTGGGCAGATTATCTGCAGGGAACCCCAGGAACATTCCATGGGTGGGCTGATTAAGTTGCTAAGGGCCACGCTGTGTTCAGAACGAGCACCGAGGACTTCCCGCCTGCCCGGGCAGCCATAGCCTGTACAGAAAGGTTTCCTCCGGGAACACGTGGTGTGCAGTGAAGGCTGGAGGAGGCACCCACTGACTGTCTGCTGGATGAAGGAGCTACGAGGGAAAGAGCGCCTCCAACTGGATGCGTCCGCAAAGGGCTTCTGATCAGGCTGAGTTTTACTAGTCAAGATCAGGATGCATTTTAGAGGGGCCAAGTCTCACCCCAGAATATCCTCTCTGTTCCCTACAATCTGTCCCTACATTTATCAGCATTTATCCCTTTGGGACAAAATATTTTTGGTTCTAAGCATCCCTCTTACCTTAAAGAGACATTAGAGGGAGCGGAGAATTGCAGGGGAAGTTGTACGTTCACCCAAGACTTGATTAATAGTTCGTTTGTTGATCTAGCTTTGAGTTGCGTCTCTGTTTTGCCAGTCACCCTCTAGGACTGACAGAAGAGGCAGTTGGGTTTTGACTGGGTTGCTGGGAAAGTGTGAATTTGGAGGATGGCTGGGGAAGGACACACCGAGGCCGGTCCTGAAGGCTTGGAGGCCTGACTGGTCAAGTTGAGCACTGAGAGGGAGAGCTGGAGGGTGCAGCAGACAAGTCATACGCCTGGCACGGGTCCCCCTCTGTGCGCTGTCCTACTTCTGTTCACATCAGCTCCAGACTCATTAACTCACCTGTCCAGGTCCATCATACTTGCACACTGTGGACGTTACGGGGCAGCTTCCGAAGTTGACTTGGCACGGGTCCACCGGTAGGCACACCTGGCCATCCCCGCGGTAGCCTTCTTGGCATGTGCACTGGTGCTGGTTGGGCCCCAGGTACGTGCAATGAGCGTGAGGATGGCAGACATTTTGTAAACAGGGGTTGATGGCTTGAGAGGCGGTGACAAAATAAGAGGCAGTTATCAGACTCAGGGATGGAGAAGGAAAACTGGAGTGTGAAATTCACAGTTCACAGCAGATCACACCTCATTAACACTGTGAAGGTAGGTGAACAGTTTTGAGAGTGATTGTAAGAAATCTTTCATCTCACCCCACCTGATCAACCCTACAGGTGTCACCAGAGATGATAGCTACCTATGTTGTGTAGATACAGCACCATGCTGTGTTATACATGGATTCAAATACAAAATAGCATGGAGACAGCACTAATGCTTCTAGAATTTACAACATGTCCTGGGACCTGTGCTAAGCATTTGTCATGCATTAACTGAGCTGATCCTTACAATGAACCTCTAAGGTAGGAACGATTCTTTCCTCTATTTGTTAGACAGGAAAGTGGAGGCAAAGGCAGGTTAAAAATAAATTTGTTAACATTGATGCAGGTTATATAAAAATCTGTATATGTGCTTTGATAACTGAAGGAGAAATTCCCTTTAAGGAAGGGTGACCCTGATAAGAGTATTTTCCTACCACTGTTTACATACTTCATGCAAATACTCAGAAATGATCATTATCATATGAGGAAGGTGATGAGTTTTCTGTTAAGTAACCTAAACATTAATAAACAAGCAGGATGTAAATTCTACTCACGCTCGCAGTGTTTGCCATCGCTGTGGTAATTGGGAAGGCATCTGCATTCGAGCTTCCTTTCATCTTTGCTGGAAGGTGAGCATCTGGCATTTTCTGGGCAGAGTAAGGCTGCGCATTCAGGGATGGCTGCAAAGGAAGGTTTTTGAGGTAACTGCGATAGTAGAACAACAAGTTCTGAAAAGCTCACGAATGCAATATTTCTTTTCATTAAAAAAGCAATACAGAGGGCCTCCCCGGTGGCGCAGCGGTTGAGCGTTGGGTTGCGAAGCTGCCCGCAGCCTCTGCAGCACCGGTTCGATCCCCGGCTGCTCCCCGGCCACCGGAGGAGGGTCCCACATGGCGCGCAGACCTCTCCTGCCGCCCGCTGCTCCCCTCAGCAGTGTACTTCGGTCCTTCTGCCTGTTCTGTTCCCCGCTCTGGCTCTGGTGAATTCTCTCACCCTCCCGCGCTTCTGACTGTACCCAGTGCTTGTATAAACAAAACAAACAAACAAATAAATAAATAAAACATGCCTCTATAAAAAACAAAAACAAACAAACAAACAAACAAACAAACAAAAAAAGCAATACAGATTCATTGTCACGATGCAAAAAAATAGAGAATGCATAAGGTAGAAATCAACCATTTTATCCTCACTCTCTCATTCTATTTTCCAAAGTATCCACCAACGTCAACAACCCATCTAATACACTCATTTATACATCGATTTATGTGATTTTTAAAGACAAAACAGAATTCTGTTAAAATAATTAGGAACTTGAATTTCGATTTAACGTTATGGAGGTCATCAGGGATCTACGTCACTCTCTAATAACTGCATACGAGTTCATAATACAGTTGGGGCATTGACTGTCTCATATAACCGAGAGTCTGATGTATTACCTAAAACTAACAAGTGGGGCAGAGACAGTGGATGCGGGGAAGAGAAATGAGGCAACTGGGTCTGAAATGCAGGACAGTTTTTCACCCGCCTCAGGAGCAGCAGTCAGAGGGGCATATTTTGTTTGTTTTTTTTTTTTTTTTTTTTAGAGGCATTTTTTTAATTTATTTATTTGTTTGTTTTGTTTTGTTTATACATGCACTGGGTACAGTCAGAAGCGCAGGAGGGTGAGAGAATTCACCAGAGCCAGAGCGGGGAGCAGAGCAGGCAGAAGGACCGAAGTACACTGCTGAGGGGAGCAGCGGGCGGCAGGAGAGGTCTGCGCGCCATGTGGGACCCTCCTCCGGTGGAAGGGGAGCAGCCGGGGATCGAATCGGCGCCACAGAGGCCGCGGGCAGCTTCGCAACCCAGCGCTCAACCGCTGCGCCACCGGGGAGGCCCAGAGGGGCATATTTTGTATCAGTTCTTTCAGGTCCCAGTTTCCATGGAGCGAGGCGAAGAGGGCCAGCTTGAGACCTGAACTTGCGGTGTGTGTGTCACCTGTTGTTTAGATCTTGACTCAACAGAATCACTGTGTCATTTGGAGACCGTTCTGGGAGTGTTCTCCATGAGGCTGGCTTCTGTGCTGGGTCTCCTGTCTTATTCAAAAGGCCTTTGCTCATGTGTCCACTGGGCAAAGTCAGGGGGGCTGGAGAGGGAGGCTGACTGTGGTCTTCTAGAAAGATCCATCTTATCCACTTGAGTTTCATTCTGCTGTTGATTTGACTTGGTTGCGTACATGTATGTGTCCTCCACGGGAAGAAGGCAGAGGCAGAGTTTTATTTACTCTCCTTTCTACCACTGCTCATAGCTCCTCAGTGCTGTCAATAACATGAGTTTGAATTTGTCCTTTGAATCTTGTTCAATCTGTTCATTTTATAGAGCAGGAGAATAAAATCCAGAGTCTATGTTGAGTGACGATAGTGACAGACAGAATGTCCAATTTCTTAATTTCTGAGCTGGAAGTTCGCCCTTCATCACCTGCTCTGTGACAGTGGCTAGACCCTGTGACTGTTACTCCTCTCACGGTGATGTGCTGAGCTTGGCTAGTAGAGGGCACTGGGAAGACACTGTAGGAGGAATGTTCTTCCTTTTCCTGGTTCCTTTGAGCAATGTTGTGCTTCTGTTTTGTTTGTTCCCTGCTGCTACCTAGTAGGGTCAGTGGTGTGGGGGTGTGAACACATTCAGGGGTGCTCTGCCCCAGTTGTGTGCCCAGAGTATACAACCGTTCAGTGACCTCACATCCTTGGTCTGGACCCAGTGACCACTTTCCCTCAGTCCTGCCAACACAGGTATTGCACACCCCAGGCTGAGCACTCATAGTGCCCCCTCACTCTGTGTGCTTCCCCACCACCCCTGGCTCCCCAGGGCCCTGGAAGGCTGTTGCCTGTGTGCAGGGCAACTTTGCTGGCCTGAAACCAGAAACTTCTCCTCTACCCACTGGGCTGCCAACACACCTTCTCCAACAAGATTCAACCCATTTTGGAGATTGCCACTACTTCCAAGTTTATCCTTCCTTTTTCATGCTCCATCAGCCCCAGAGCCTCTCTTTATATTTTATAGCTACTCTCCTATCATAGCTTACTAATTCTTTATATAAACTCCCTTTTAAAAAATCACCTTGTAATTTCCATCTGTTGATTGGACCTAGTGTGATAAATGTTTAAAGAATTTCAAATGACTTCAGGCCAGCTCTCCTATTGACTAGTTCATAACCTTTGGTGAGCCACTTACCCTTGGTGAGTCTCCATTTCCTGTTAGCATATTTTGTTGGAGACCTGTAATTGGCACATGCCTCACCTCCCTTACCAGGTAGCTGACTTGTTGCAATGGCCTTAACTGGTTTCCCGGCCTCAATGTCTTTCTCTCCACTCTGTCCTTCACACCATCACCTTCCTAAAACAGCTAAAGCAGCTAGAGCCATGTCACATGACACTGCATCCAAACCTTCTGTGGCTTCCTTTCTTCTATATCTTCTATATCTTTTATCTCACTACTTCTCCCCTCGCCTCCTCTACTTTCCTTTTACTCTCCTGCTCTTTTTTATTTTTGTTTCTCCTCCTTTGATGGTACTTTGCCCATGTAGAGCCCCAGAAAATAAAGTTGAGAGGCACACATCTGTGCCTTAGATCTGGTGTGGCACCAAGGACACTGGTGGCACTTACGCTGGTCGCAGCGGGGCCCGGTGTATGCAGAGAAGCAGTCACATGTTCCGTTGCCATCTACTCCACTGCTGCATATTCCATGTACACAGTTGCACACTGTAGACAGAAAATGGGGCATTTTTCACTCTCTGAAATAGACTCCTAAGCATTCTGGAAGGGTAAACTTGGGGATAGTTTTTATTGACAGTCTTCATGATGAGATGGCAAGAACCATGATTTAGAAGTTCTAGAACCCCAGTCTGAATGTTGGCTTCATTTTCCTCTTCTAAGCTTCTGCTAGCATGTTGACTTTGGATTTCTAACTTTCAAAGCTGAGACAATATATTGCTGCTTTTGAAGCCACCCTGTTTGCTTAGATTTTGTTACAGAAGCCCTAGATAATTGAATGATTTATCTGTATTCCTGAGTTTTTGATGCCTCTTTACATTTTGCACATTTTGAGGGAGGCATGTTCCTCCCTCACCTCTCCCTAGAACTAGCCCTGCTGCCCTTTATTGAGCACTTACTATCTACTAAACATTTAGCCATGTGGTTTTCTTGCATGATATCATTTGATACTCACAGTACCCTGTGAGGGAGATGAGTCCCATTTGCAGAGAGGAAAAAAAAAAAAAAGGGAGATAATTAGCTCAAGTACTCATGCAAAGAACTATATAATTAAATTAGGTTAGCAATTGTCTTCCACCCTTCAAAAGCCAACTTGCCATTGTTTCTACTTTAGCAAATCACTTTGATGTTCATCTATGGCTATAGGTCCTTGGAACAGACAAGTTCTGGAGAGAAGTCAAATTGGCCACGGAGTGAGAGGGATGATCTACAGGCTGAGTAGGGAAGACTCAATTCAATTCAATTAAAAAAGATCTACTTAGCTCCTACCTACCTAGTAGCAGGCTCTGCATCAGGCACTGAGTAATTCACAATATTTCAATGCAAGGAGCTTGCAGTAGTGGGGGAGTCAGACTCTAGGAGATCAGTGACTGTGGGTGTCCAATGTAGCCAATGAGAGAGAGACAGAGGGCAGAGGGGGGAGCTGAATTGAGTCAGCTCTTGTGCCTGACTTATATGCTACCCACAAGAGTTGATCTTGTCGCCCAGCTTCCTGTCTGTACTGCATGGTCCAGTTCCCTGGCATGAGCCTCTCTGTGTCCTGCCTCTCAGCCTCTCTGCTGGATTAAGTGATCTGGCCCAGGCAGCTTGAGGGTGCCTCTGACATGTAAGGCTGCTAGCTGCTGCCAAGGAAGTATCCTTGGGAAGGAGAAGTGAGTGGCATAGGGACTCCCACCTGATTCTGTAAAAAGCCCTTGGTATCTGTTGAACCAGCCTCAGCAAATCTGCGGAGACACGGGAATCTTGGGATGTGTGATTTTAAAGTGGTCAAAGTTAGGACCATTTGGGTCCGAGTGACGATGTGCAAAGAACATTGTGATGTGCCCCTAGGCAGAGTAAGTGGTTCCCTGTCCATGTTGCCATAGCATCCCGTGGGGACTGTGCACACAAATCATGACTGTCTCCTGCATTTCCAACTAGGGGAGGGGTCTGGTCTCTCTTCTCTTTGGATCCCTGCACCTGCTGGTCAGCATAGGGTGGTGCAGTGTTGGGCACCCAGCCTCTGCAGGAAGACACTTGGGCCAAATCCTGCCTCTGTCCTGAAATAGCTGCATGACCTTGAGAAACCTCTCTGCTTCTTCATGTATGAAATGAGGAACGCAGCCTGAAGAGCTGTTGTGAGGATCCAAAGAGATTACGCATGTCAAATCTCATGCCCTGCCTGTGCACAGCAGGAGCTCAGCAAATGCCAGCTGCCTTATTGGGGGTTGTGGGACTAATGACTGGGGTCCTACTGGAGAAATTGGGCTTTGCATTCTGCTCTAACCAGGCAGTGAGGCCCTGAGCAGGGTAGGGCATTGCAGTGGAGATGAAAACCTGTGGCTGATACAGTTCTAAAGCATCTCTAGATCAGCGGTTGGGTAGGAGATTCTCTGGCAGCAGGTTAAAGTCAGTGTTAAAAATAAACTGCAGCTAATAGAGCTGTCCTACTTACAGGCAGAAATGCCACCTCCATGGGACCAGTACCTCACTGGATGAAACAACACTGGCACCCAGTGGATGGCCGGCTAAAAAGGCTTGCACATTCTCCTTGTCCTTGAATGGGAAGTGGCCAGTATCACTGAATCATTCATTCATTCATTCATTCATTCATTCACAGGTGGATGAATGTTAACCTTTCTGTGCATTGTTTGTGTCCTGGCTTATGGCATGCTGCTAAGAGCTTTGCTGTGTCGTCACCCCCACAGGGCAGATATTATTTCTGTCTCATGGATGAAGGAGGCTTAGAGAGGTCAAATAACTTGCCCCAGGCCACACAGCAACTGGGGTTGGTTTCAGATTCAGGCTGGCCTCCAGCCAAAGCCTGCTCTCCTGACCATTATGCCATATACAATATGGCAGCCAGTAGCTATCAGCCTCGGGCGACAACTTAAACCCAACTTAAGTACCATTAACTAAAATTTAAAATTTAGCTTCTCGGTATCACTGGCTTCATCACAGGTGCCCCATGGCCACATGTGTCCAGCAGTTACCCTGTTGGGCAGTGCAGATACAGAACATTTCCATCATCACGGGACATTCTATTGGAATCCAGAATTTGGAGTTTCTTCTCCTGCATCTCAGTTTAGGTTTCAAATTATTTTAATTAAAAAATTGAGGTTTCTAAGCCCTCTTTCTTCCTTTCACTTTTCTCTGCTCCATAGCACAGGCCGGTGTGGAGGGAGGCCACTGTATTCAGAAATGTCTGGCGTCTCCATGTACGCCTATGCTCATCAGCATCCAAAGGCAGTTTCCTGGGGCCAACATGGGTTCATCTTTCTAAATTTTCATTTCAAAAATAATTAACTAGACTTTTGTGGCAAGTAAGCAATGTTGGATGCTATCTTCTTCCTTGATTCATTTAAATTGTGAGATTTAAGTCCTAGTGTTACGGTAGGGAAGGGCCAAGTTAGAGATGTGTTATTTCTGAGCAGTTGATTGATATTTTAGTTTACTGACCCATGATAAAATGTATCAAATGCGTACATGCCAACATCTGTTTTTAAATTTGCTTTCATAAATTTTCTTTATGAAATAATCTTTCATAGTGTTGAAGAAAAAGATCCCCCTAAGATTACAGGATAGGGATTAATAGGTAATAAACAATAACTATAATAATGATAATAATTGCTATCATTTATTGTACACTGATCTCATTCAGTCCTCAGAATAACCCGAAAAGAGGTAATATTGTCTCTGTTTTTACAGATGCAGACACAGAGAACACGCTTAGTCAACTTCAGGTTCTCACTATCAGCCTTGGAGTCTATAGCCAGAACTTGAGTCCCCTCTACATTCTGCTTCAAAACTAGGCCTCTGGATCAGGACAACCTGGCTACAGCGTATTATTGATAGGTCAATCATTCATCCACACACTCATTCACACACTCACTTGTTCATTCATTCATTCATACACTCATTCATTCATTCACTCATTTGCTAATTTATTCATCCAACCTACAAAAGCAAAAGTGTGGTGCTTTTCTCTCCTGCAGGTAGCACTGTGGGAGGTGCTGGAGATAAAGAGGTGTAACAGCATTTGTCTTCAAGGAACCCAGAGATTAGAGGGGAGACAACATCTCTGCTACTGCAGATGGAACATTCCACAGTATGTGGGCGGGATGCCTGTGTGTATGTAGGGTTTTTTTTTAAATTTTTTTTTACAAAAAATATTTGAAGCAATGCAGCATCTACTAAATTTGATTTTTCCATAAAAGTCAGAACCACATGGTGGAGAAAGGCTACTTGCTATATGCTTTGTGGGATATTATGGATCTGGCAGACACTGTCTTCCCTGCTCATGTTCTCTAGACTCCACCCATCCTGTGCACATCTGCTGACTTCCAGGATCCTGCGAATCCTTCCCAGGAAGCCGGCTCCCCCGAGTGCTCACTGAGGGCTAGACATGTTAGGGAATTAACACTTTGGTGACTGCACTTGGCTGTTGTAACAAATTGCCACAAACTCGTATCTTAAAACAACACCAATTTATTGTCTCACATTTCTGGGGATTAGAAATCCAAAGTTACTGTGCTAAAATCAAGGTTTTGGCAGCTTGTGTTCCTTTCTGAAGGGGAGAATCCGTTTGTTTCCTTTACCAGCTTCTAGAGGCTGCCCATCATCACTGACATTGACTCTCTGCTTCCCTCCTCCATATTTAAGAACCCTCATGATTACACAAGGCCCACCTCGATAATCCAAGATAATCTCTTTATTTTAAGGTCAGATGATTAGCAACTTTAATTCAATCTGTTACCTTAATCCCCTCTTGTATATAAGGTAACATATTCCTAGGGCCAAGGGATTAGGATGTGAACTTCTTTCTTTTTTGTTTTTGAAGTGTTCATTATTTTACCTACAAGTTATCTACCTTCAGGTGAAATAACTCAGGTGAGATGAGTGTCTTACACTGACTCCAGAGTTCCCAAGGGGGTTAGCTCTTCACCTACACCCGTCTCTGTCTCAATAACATATGTCACTTTTTAATACCATTAGAATTTCCTTAGGGTCACTCTACATGAGCTATTTGTACTAAAAAAAAAAAAAATCCTTGTACTGGAATGCTCAGGGCCTTTTTTTCTAGGTGGAACCAAAGATAAGATAATAGACAAGCCAGTCTCACAGTTGTTTGTCTATTTAATGCAAAATAGAGCCCCAAATCCCTGATCTCTCAGGTATTTGTGAATTCCCAAATGGAAGGGCTACATTATAATGTAGTGTGACTAGTGGCAAAAGTAGGAAACCTGGGGAGATCAATACTGACGCCAGCATCTACAAAGAACTTAGAGAGAAGCTGACCAAGCCAGGAACAGGTGGGTGTTAGGTGCTGCTGCCTGGAGAGAGGAAATTGCATCCCCTGAGTTAGCCAGAAAGCATGACTGTGAGAGTCGAATAATCTCTTATCCAAACTGCACTTTATCATATTTGCGGTCAATTCTTTCTTTTGTCTGTGCAGATTTGATTTCTAGAACTGTTTGGTATTCCTCCCCTTCTAACTCAACAATAGTCTTTCTGGGGTCTTCAGTTAATAAGACATAGTTGACTTTCAACCTGTACAAATATGTTTGATTTCACAAAAATCAGACATACCTCCTGAACAGCTGGGTCCAAATAAGTTGTCATCTGCACAGGATTCACAGGCTGTTCCACCAAACCCTTCCTGCAGAACACCAGGGAGATGGCGTTAGACCCAAAGTGATGGTTACCTGGGAAGTTCACTGGGTTTCTGACAGTCTGGCGAGCGTCTCATGTAACTTCCCCCAATAACTTCACAGTTTGGGGTTATAATGGCTACATTCATCCCTGTGTTATCTTTTCCTAAGTGTCTGGAGCTCTCCAGAAGGCTGCTTTGTCAGCCCCAAAATATGGATATGTAGCCACTGCTGACAGCCTCATCCCAAGTTGACCCAAGAATAAAATGAAAACTTTTCAGTTTTGCATTTCTAAAGACAGTTGAATTCAATGCTTTCTGGAGAATTTCTTTGTATTTAAATCATCTAAGCCTTGAAACTTGTGAAAGACTCATTTTCATGGGATTACAAAGAAATTCTTCTGTTGTCAGACCCAGAGCTTGCCAGGGGGAGCGGAGGACAGTGCTCGAGTGTCCTGGGCTGGCGGCAGTCCAGTTTCATGAGGTGCTTTCACAAATATAATCTCACTTTACTTTTTCAGCCAATGTAATTGGATGTAATTATTCCTAATCACATTTTAAAGATGGATGCCCTTAAGGCTCAGGAGTATGCTGACTTACTCAAAGATCTCCAGCTTCTTAGAGGTCATTCCGTTGCATATTGCATATTCCCTTTACTAATAGCACCGCTTTTCAGAGATTCCAACTAGTGTGTATTCAAGGAGGGACAGATAAGGAGAGGGAGCAGAGTCAGGAAAAGGGGAAACATTTTGTACTTACTTGGCAGGAACAGCTACCATTTCCTTCCATGCCTTCAGCACACCTGCCCCGGCCACTGCAGGGGGACTGCGCTCCTCCTGGGCACTCTAGGGAATCAAAGGGCTCAGAGTCACTCATCCGTGTTTGCACACAGCATTCTACAAGGGTGCATTAAGTACTACCAAGTGTCCAGTAGTGTGCTAGCTGCCAAGGAGAAGGAGTAACTGAAGGGTTACTCCTTCAATAGGGTTACTTCTTCAATACTCCTTCAAATGGGGGAGGGGAGCAGATATGTGAACAGGAGAATGGCAATAGGTGAATGTTGGAGTTGGGGTTGTTGGGGAGAAGTGGTTGTTGATGAGAAGTCTTAGGTTGTGTGTAGTTCTAAGAAAATTTGGTAAAGTATCCCAACGCAATACCCCAATATCAAAGACAATAATATCCTAGTACAATATCCCAACACAAAATCCCACCTCCAAATCAAAAAGAAGTGAGCTGAGCAGAGAGGGAATAAGAGAGGTCTGGGGCTTCAAGTGGATGAGCCAGCCCAGTGGGACTCAGACCTCAAGTACTTCTCTGAAGGTGTCAGCTCCAAACTCCCTGGATCCTTCTCTTTTTCATGCAAGGGTGGTGGTGTGCAGTAGTCTTTGTAACCTAATACCTACCTCAAACACCACTGTAAATGATGGCATTAGATGCTGATCTTTCTGACGCCAGAATTGTGAGAACAAGTGTCTATTGTGATGCTGTTCTGTCAGAGCAGCCTGAGCAGAGGAAGACCCTTGGCTCCCCACATTCCAGGCCTTTGCTTTGATCTTAGGAATCAGGCTGACTCATATGGTCCACAGAAAGGTAGTTGAGAAAACAAAAATAGATCTAAGGGACCATCAGCTACATAAAAAATGAGGTACACAAATTTTATTACTAAACGGCCAGCAAAGTGTAGGGAGTTAGTTATCAGATCCATAACAGATGTTGAGAATTTGTTGAACATTTGCTATTGCTAGGACTTTACATGTATGCACACATTCTCATAGTAAGTGTATGAATAAGGTGTCTCATCACCACCATCATCACTACCACCACCATCATCATTATCATTCCCACCCCCAGGTCATAGGTAAGAAAACCAAACCTCAAAGAGATAAGTAAGTTGACCAACATTGCATGGTTGGGCTATGTTGGAATTGGCATTGCAGTCAGCCTGTCTGACTGCAAACCATGATTCAACCATGGTTTGAGTCCTTAACCACTAAGCCAGAGTTGCCATGGAATATAGAGGTAAACCAACAAACCTTCCCTGAAAGAGAGAGGCCAGCCAGGAATACGAGAACCGTAAAAGACAGAAGTGGCAGTGGGCATTCTCTCAATATCTGCCATCTGCCAGGCACATCCTACCTACTTTGCATGAACTGGTTCACTTAACCTTCAGCATGACCTCTAGAGATAGGTGCCTTGGCATCAACATCTCCATTATACAGATGAGGAAACTGAGGCCAAAAATAAGTTTACCAGATGAAAGATAAGATTCCAGTTTAATAGGAATTGCAGATAAACAACAAAAATGCTTTAGAATGATTATGTCTCAAATATTATTTATCTGTAATTAATTTATCCTTATTGTTATTTGTTAAAACTGGCAACCTTGCAGGAAGTGTAAGTAACTTGGAGATTTCCAGAATGAGAAAGTGCTACTGCTTGACTGGAAGCAATCTGACTCTAGATTTACTGTAAAACCACATTAACTTTCAGTTGTCATGGGAACTAGAACTCAGGGGTCATGGAATCAACTCCAGGCGATGAAAGGCATCCAGCTGATGATGGAAGCAAATTTTCTCGGAGCAGACTAGTGATCACAGGTTACTTTTTCACCAGTTGACAGGGTAACACAATCAGGTATTTGGGTAAACAGGACAGAGGGATGAGCTAGAGCTGGGGCTGCAGAGACAGTCCTGTCCCCAGACAGTCCTGATCCTGTACTTTTCAGCTGACTCACTTTGGGTGAGTCGCAAAAATCTTCCAAATCCCAGGGTCCTAACCAGGACATTCAGGTCTGACTGCTTCTCCTTACGTGCTTTCTCTCTCGCTCATTAATCTGTGAGATCCCTGATGGCAGGGGCTGGGTTTATCATGTATCATGATGCATTGCTTAGCTATGGGATCTATCCTGAGAAATGCCTTGTTTGGGGATTCCATCACTGAGTAAACATCAGAGTGAAATTATATCTGTGTAGGCTAAATGGTGGAGCTTATTGGGACACCGTCTGTACACAGTCTGTACACAGTCCGTCACCGGCTGAAGTGTCCCAAGGGACGTGTGGTTTAAGTGACTATGTCTAGCATGTAGTTGGTATTCAGCACCTGCTTGACTAGAAGAAACTTTGGAAAAAAATGTAACAAGGTGTGGAGTAGGCGTCGTCTTCATTTTATGTCCTAAATTGAATCTTACGTGATTTGTGAAAATAACTTGTTTCATTTTTTTTTTTTTTAAGCAAAATATTTAAGGCCAAAGTGCAAATTTCTTTCCTGCTTTTCAACTCATTTCTATCAACTCAGGTCTCCCTTAAGAAAGAAGATGATAAAACGACATTCTTAGCAACCATGCTTGAAAGAGATATTACAGGATTTGCGATTAGGACACACGTCTGATGCATTATGAGGCCCAAGTAGCTGATAAGGCTATTTTAGGTCATTATCACACTTCCCTTTGGCTGCTGTGGCTCTGTGGTCTCTTGTATTGTGACTTTCCTTACGCAGGCGACTCAGCCATTATGAGCCGTCAGCAAATCATCAACTGTTCTGTTTCTTTAAAGGAAGATAATGAACGTCCTGGCCAGAGAGAGGCCAGGACCTCCTTGTAACTTTATCTCCCAGGAAACCCTGGAGATGGCCACTCCATGTCACCACTTTTGTTTAAAAGCCTGACGACAGCGCTAGGCAGGGAAGATGTCCTGGTGTTCTGTTTATAGCTGTTTGGCATGTTCTGCTTGCTAAACTGATGTGAAATAGGTTCCTTGTGTGATCTCAGCGTTATTTGTCACTCAAAGCCAAAAAAGACATGCTTAAAAGAGTGATTTCAAATGCACGGAGTCCATCATGTGCAACCTGTGCAGTGAATGAAAAGGAAAATGCAACGGGAAAGAAGAAAGTGAGATCTGAAAATACCAATAGCAGATACAAAAAATAAAGGTGCCTACATCGATGACGCTGACCTCTCAGAGAAGAATTCAGGCCATTTCCCTTGAAATAATGAGATTGCATTGGCCATGATCAGATTTATGTGTAACCCTTGTGCCCATATTCTTTTTCCACAACTTCAAGTGTTTGCACAAGTCCATTAATCTTCACGGTGGAATATAAAGAACTGGAATGTTCAGCTCAAAAAACCAATTTCATCTCAGATGGAATACTGGTTATTCGGAGGTGATTAAGTTGCAAGGTTAAAAATAGGTCTTTCTGCTAATGGGAAAAGACTTTTATAGACAGAGTTGATGGTGTCATACAGGTTTTAATGAGGGAGAAGCATGTTAAATTTGGGTTGAAACACTTTCCCATGTCAGGATAATGTATTTTTTCCCCCAAGTGAGCATTTGTGCCTCATTCTTAGTTTTAGAAGATGATGCATGAATTTTTTGGATTTTGCTTTTCCTTATTTTCCAAATTGAATATGGGGTTACTTTCTAATTTGGTCATATTCAAATAATTTAAAAAGCAACCCAGAGGTGTCGAGTATGAATGGATTTGTCGATGCATCAGAAAGGAAGTGGATGCTGCGGTCGCCTTGGAAAGCAGGCCATGGGGACCTCATGCTTCCTCAGAAAGCTCTGAAATGGCCTTGTCCTGGCGGAAATGTGAAGTGACGGTCAAGATCTGTCTTGTCATCACTAAAAATGGGAGCGATGAGACCCTCAGCTGCCTTGTGGACTTGTTGCTTCCCCGAGCCAAAGGAAGGAAGCCTTTCGAGACATCTAGTGTGCTTGGAAGATGAAGATAAAGGGGCGTATCCTATGTCCCCACAAAAGGACAGCAGATAGAAAATGCAGGCCTTGGCTCTCTGGCCTCAGACCTATCAGAAGGAAACAACTTTACTACTTCAGGGAATCCTCTCAGGCTCCTTCGGATATGGGAATCATGGCACTGGGGAGTGCAAGGAGCTCACTTTGAAAATGTTTGCTTGCTCATGTTTCCCTAGTTGGCCACTCTGTAAAAAGAACTCAGAGAGGCCATTTTATTTGTCTTTCATTATCAGAGGTCTCTTCTGACCGCAATTCACTCATTCATTATTCTTTCAATCATTCTTTGTGTTAGACACTGTGCCAAGGACTTTCACCTGTGTTTTAAATTCTCTACTACAGTTTAGTCAGATAGGACCTTTTACCACCATCTGACAACTAAGGAGACTGAGAGAGAAGCAGGAAGATGCCCCAACCAGTGATGACGGAACTAGGTTCAAAACGAAAACTTCTGGGAGCTGGCCCAGTGCTCTTTCGGACAGGCTGATTTTGGTTACGGTATCTAGGACAAAACCTTCTCAACAGTGTGTCTGAAATAACTAAGCATCAGATTAGCTTTCATGTGTTAGCAAGATAGAAGCAAATATAAAAGTTCTTTCTACTATGTCAGGATATAATATCCAGTTCTCTAAGAGCTGGAATTGATCATGACCACATTTGGTGCCAAAACAGATCTGAAAAGCTGCAAGTCTGGCTATTAATGATTCAGTTGATTCTGATGTGATAATTTCAGAGCTCATCGTACCAACGAGCTGGGTAGAAACTGAAGGCAGCGCAGATGACTTAAATGCCAAACCTTGACCTTTTAGGGTAAAAGGTATTTACCAGTTACTTATGGGAGGACTCGAGGGGCCTGCCAAACAGAATAGGAGTTAGAGACCCATTTAAAGGATCTCTTCTTTTCTTTTCACAAGCTGCTTCAGGCGGTGGGACAGAGTAGACAGACGGCAGGCTTTGGTGATAAACAGTATTGAACTTGAACTTTTTTTATCACTAATCTGTCCCAAGGATCTCTGATTCCTCATAGGTAAAAAGGGGATAAAGGTCTCTAGCTCAGGTTGTGGAGAAAAAGGAACTCTTCTACACTGTTGGTGGGAGTGCAAACTGGTCCCACCACTATGGAGAGCTGTGTGGAGATTTCTGGACCTACTAAACATAGAGCTTCCATATGATCCAGCAATTCCACTCCTAGGTATTTACCCAAAGGACACAGAAACATCAATTCCAAAGAACACCTGCACCCCTATGTTTATAGCAGCACAATTTACAATAGCTAAGCTTTGGAAGCAGCCCAAATGCTCAAAAATAGATGACTGGATCAAGAAGATGTGGTACATATACACCATGGAATATTACTCAGCATTCAAAAAAGATAAACACATGCAATTTGCAGCAACATGGATGGCGCTGGAAGGGATCATGCTCAGCGAAATAAGCCAAAAAGAACAAGAAAAATACCAGATGGTCTCACTCATAGCAGGAATCTAGAAAACTTAAATAAGGGACCAGGAAAATGAATAACTATAAGAAAGTGAAAATCAAAATCAACAAGCAACTATGAACCAGAGACACTTTTTGGGGGGTGGGGGGCGGGAGGGGAAGGATGGGGGTCAGAATGGGGGGTTGCAATTGTATGGGGAAATATAAAAATAAAATTTATTATTAAAGAAAAAAAAAAAGGTCTCTAGCTCAGGATTTGTTTTAAGAATTAAATTAGATAATAAATGCCAAGTACCTCTGTAGTATCTACTGTCAGCAATTTGAAAAAGTAGTATCTATTATTCATTTAGTTTTTAGTTAAAAATATAAAACATCAGGAGACAACATGATGCATTCAATATGGGCTCAAATGTTTAGAAGCTATATGGAAAAAAAGCCATATGGAAAAGTAAGCTAAATTATTTAGGGTATGCTATTTTTCTCTTTATATCTTCCTAAACTTTACAGGCTATGCATACTTTGTTGATATTATTTAGTCAGAAAAAAATCCAAAAAAGAATAAATCTCTTTTACATCTTAGAAATGGGTTCTCAAGGAGATATTTCATTACATCTCAGAAGATGGCAGTCAATGGCAAATTGATGAACTTAAATGCCTGATTTTTTTCTATCCCTATAGGAGGGATTTCATGTAATTTGCATGTTGCAGCAAGGACTCAGTCCCTACTTGAATGTTAACCATTATAATCAGAATTGAAGTTCAATGTCAGCTAATAAGTGCTGTACTTGACCTCAGGAGTCCAACTGTAGCATTGACTCAGACTAGGCTCGTAGTTTTACTTACAGTGGAATCTGGTCATTATAGAATTTGATGTTACATCCCAACAACTTGTTAGAGTTGTTAACAACTTCTAACAGCTTGTAAGAAGATTTAATACTTATTTTGGTTGCCAAACAATAGCTACAGTCTTTGAGGTGTAATAAAAATTCTCCTTAAATGAAATGCTTCTTTGGGGTCATCATAGTCCATCATTCTTACTTTCTCCCTATGGCTATCATTTTAATAAAAATTCATTTTCTTTCAATTGTCCCTTTTTCCTGACTTGTAAAGGACTTCTCTCTCTCTCTTTTTTTTTTTAATAGAGGCATGTTTTATTTATTTATTTATTTGTTTGTTTTGTTTATACATGCACTGGGTACAGTCAGAAGCGCGGGAGGGTGAGAGAATTCACCAGAGCCAGAGCGGGGAGCAGAGCAGGCAGAAGGGCCGAAGTACACTGCTGAGGGGAGCAGCGGGCGGCAGGAGAGGTCTGCGCGCCATGCGGGACCCTCCTCCGGTGGCCGGGGAGCAGCCAGGCATCGAACCGGCGCCGCAGAGCCTGCGGGCAGCTTCGCAACCCAGCGCTCAACCGCTGCGCCACCGGGGAGGCCCTGTAAAGGACTTCTCTTAAAGAGAGATCTCCAACTGGAGGGAAACAGACTTCTTTATAAAAGCTGACAGGGCAAGGAAGAGTTTCCACATATAGACTGAGATGGAAATTTCTAGAAAAAAATACTGACATTCTCCTGTTACTGGGTTCCCTTCCTCTGTGAAGTGGGACATTGAGGCAAGCGTCAAAACCCAAAAACAGTGTTGTCCACTTACCCATGCAGTCTGGGCCCCAGTGACCGGGGCAGCATTGGGGCTGGAGGTAGTCTTTCCTGCAGATGTGGCGGCATCCAGGGAGAGACAGTAAGTGCATTCTGCCCTCAAAGGTGTACCTTGGAGGGTGGAGAGAGGACATTAACCCACAATGAGACCCATGCAATAAACTCTGGGCATCAGGGTTGCCCTAGATTGTTATCCAGGTGTATACACTTAGCCATATGTAAAAAACATCTAAATTGAACACTTCGCTTTCTAGGTAAAATAAATCTCTCCTCTTAGGGATGGGAGCAATCCCATAACACCTTTGGTTTGCCAAAATGATGTCAAGCAAAGAAGTAATTACCATTATGGGCGGTCAAGTTGGAGATGAGAATTGAATTTCTTTGACAGGTTGAGGATACTGATGGGAACATTTCTTCATGATGACTGTGAAAGCGAGAACCATACAAAATATCCCTTCAAGAACCAGTTTGGGTTTGTTCTATTTGTTCCATGAATGAGAACATGAATGCAATAACTGTGTGTGTGTGTGTGTGTGTATGTATGTGTGTGTACAGTAGAGTGGCAGAGAGGTGGAGGTAGACTTAACCAAGTGCCAACCTTGACCATGAAAAAAGTAGTGAGTACAAAAAAGTTCTCAATAAAGTCACCATACAATTTTAACCTTGAAGGTTAAATCTTTCTGAAATATTTTCTAAGAGATTTTGTTGCAAATGTGAATCCACATTGGTGACTGAAGAATCAACTGCTGTATACATGTGATAACACTAGGTTGATTAATGTTGGGAAACTTCTATTGAAAAATGATAATTTTGGTTTTGGAATTCAGTGTAGACACATCAAGCAAATGTAAATTTAAAATAATGTGATATAATAGCATTAAGCTTTCATTTATATAAAATAAGATATGATAATAATCCTCCAAACCTGAATAAAAAATGGACTTAGTGAGCACTGTGCAATGTCTAAATTAGTAGAAACAATAAATAAAAATTGTGTTTGCACATGGGTCACACATCTATTAGCAGGTGTGCAGAATTCCTTGGCATTCTTTGCAAAGATTAACCTTGAATTGTGGGAGTTTTGAATTGTGAGAGGATTTCAGGGATGCAACACTCATAAAATGCAAAGAAACTGTAATTCACTTGTCTCTCTTGGGATTCTAATTAGTATCAGTGTTCCCTCGGTGGTTAATAAGATGACTGTCAGACCCAAGAGTTTGAACATGCTTGACTAGAAATCTCTCCAAATATAACACCTGGATTAGTAAAATAAAAGAAGGCAGGTAATAGGGAATGCACATTGTAATACAGTCAATTTGGTATTAAAATGTGAATCAATGGTACTATTTTTTAGACACAAGGTCATAGTTGTGAATTACCTAAGTTTGGACTCAATGTAATCTTAGAATAAGAGTAAATCAGGGAAATGCTTTATGGTTTTTGAGATGCAAAGTTGCTATTTGGATTTACAATCCCTTGAGTTCCAAGACTCAGCACTTGTATTTTCTTGAGTACCTGCAATCTCGAACCCCTATGGAGCCATTGGTAATCTTGGTGTAACCTTCTGGACACTTGATTCCAAAGTTGAGTGAGCAGGATTTACACGCAGTCCTAATTGTCAGAAGAGATTTCTTGTCGCATCTTTTTGCCTATGTAAACATAAAAAATCAATTCCCATTAAGGAAGCCTGGCTTGGTCGATTTTCTCCATTGGTTTCATGTCAATAGAATAACAGGGGGCTGGCAATGAGGCTGGTAGATAATGATTGGGTGGGCTGCTTCCAACCTCATCTGGAAACAGTGTTGAAATCAGTAAGCGATGTCTGCCATAGGGCTGCTTGTACTATTCACTTTCCATCCCTAATCTACAGTCTGGAGTCCAGCAAGGTAAGGTAAAGTCGCTACATACACTTGTCCAAATGGGAAACTGGAAATATATTCTAGAGTATACTTTTCAATGGGAAATTGTTAAAGTAGGTTATTCAAAGCCAATAGGTCTCAAGGATATTCTTTTCGCATTGATGCCACAGGAATATCTAGTTTCGGTGCTAAAATGCTTCTGCATTGGGTGCTACTGTTTCTGCAAAAATATTCTGTAATCTTTTGGTTACAATCTAACTAGAAGGTGGTTTCCCTGAGGGCAGCAATGTTTTTCTGTTTTGTCCTCTGCTGTACCCTTATCACTGAGAACAGTGTCTGGCATATACTTAGGATCTGTAAATAGTTATTAATTGAATGAATGAATTGTATGAAATCAGAGAGACACACTAAAAGCAGTCCATTAGCAACACCAGGGAGCAGAAAATTAACTGTTAAAATGAATGGTACAGACCCCTGCTGGCTCCTAAAATAATAACACTAGAATGTTCTTTACGAACTCACAATGAAGTACATCTTAGAGTTTGAATTAATCCTCTTTAATGGTCACGGCACCTTTATATGCTTCAAGCAGGTTTTTCTTAATATTAGTTTCCTATTTGGGTAATTATATGTGGAAATATTACTTTATCTTCTCCTTTTCAGTAAGCCAGCTTTAACACTCTCTTTTCAAGAAATTCCCGAATGTCAAATTGTCTTTTCATTGGAATGACCAATTCTATCTTTCATATGATCCCCTTCTGCAACATAAACTCAACTTTAAACTTCAGTCAAGGCCTGATTTCTGCATTAGAGTAAGCACTTAATGATGAGGATGATGGCGAAGAGGGTAGTCACTGTTGTTGTGAGACTGTCAGAGGAGAAACGGAAGCTTAGAGAGGCAAGTCACTGCTCAGGGTTGAACAGCCATAAGCTGTGGAGCTAAGTGATTGATTCTCAGATATATTTGTTAGACAAAGAAATTGAAGTCACATTGCAACTCACCCCTCCCCACCTGAGAGTTGCAACACTTAACCTTTATGCATCTTCCAGTGTTGCTGTGAACAGCTTTATTAGAGCACAGTCAACTGGAATAAAATTGGTGTTGATAAAAATAGATGACTGAGAAGATGTGGTACATATATACCATGGAATATTACTCAGCATTCAAAAAAGATAAACACATGCAATTTGCAGCAACATGGATGGCGCTGGAAGGGATCATGCTCAGTGAAATAAGCCAAAAAGAAAAAGAAAAATACCGGATGGTCTCACTCATAGCAGGGATCTAGAAAACTTAAATAAGGGACCAGGAAAATGAATAACTATAAGAAAGTGAAAATCAAAATCAACAAAAACTATGAACCAGAGACACTTTTTGGGGGGTGGGGGGCGGGAGGGGAGGGATTGGGGTCAGAATGGGGGGATTGCAATTGTATGGGGAATATAAAAATAAAATTTATTAATTAAAAAAATAAAAAAAAAAGATGCCTGGCACTAGTGCAGAATCATGTTTAAGTTTTACTATAAACAGAGTGTAAATCCTTTCTTGTGAAATGCATTTTAAATTAATCATTCAGATTGCCTCCCACCCACCCTTGTGTGGGCTGGCCCGGCTGCAGATCTGACCCTGAATTCCATGATAAGAAGTCACGTGAAGCTACTGGACAGGCTGGTGTCCCTCTATACTTCACAAGGCTACTGATCAGCTGCCCATAGTATCGTTACTACACCTTGTGGAAGGCAGGCACTGTGAATTTCTGGACATTTGAAAATATTGTGATTCTCGATATCAGACCTCACCCCACCTGGAATTCCCCAGAATATCCTTCTGTATTCATCTCTCTACAGCCATTGTTTTTTCTACATTCAGAATGGTGCAATGGGAGTTTCTCACAGGGATGAGGCTACTAAAACAAATAAAAAACAGGATACTGAAACCTGTAATGGAAAGAGGAATGTTAGCTCTAAAATCAGGGATCCCAACAATGGTGGATTAGCACAGGAATTGAACTGACTGGACTAGAAAAATGGTGTCTCTCCACTAGGATCCTATTTCCACAAGCTTTTCTTCTATGAAGTCCAGAAAATATATAGGACAATGTTAGACAGCAAAAGCTTTTGAACACAGCATTATATTGACAAGTTAAAAAAATATATATATATACGTCTTATCTTACCTGCTCTGTGGCTTCAGGTGGCGAGCAGAGGTTTTGCACAATCAATCCAAGAAAGAAAAGTAGTATCCTTTGTAGCATAATGAAGAAATATTTGCTCCTTTTCCGTGCCAGGCACCTGTCAGAACTGCTTAGCTATTTTAACTTAGTCTGATGACTCCCAGCGATTTCTTTCTCATTTCAGTGTTTGCTTTTAAGCCCGTCCCTGACCTTTTCCTGGATTCAAGCAGATAATATATGAGCTCTGCCTCTAGACAGGCAAATCCAGGGGTCGTGGTGAGATTGACCATGCTCAACTGTATATACGTTCTGGCTGAATGACAGGATATCCTGAAGGGGCTGAGGCAGAGATATGATCTGGAATTTTTGTGCCTTGTGAAACTCCCAAGAACAAGATCCTGCCTCCCGTTGCTCTGCCCATCCCACCTCTGGTCCTGCCTACTCCTGGCCTATAGCCCTGCCAACACTTACACAATCCCACCATGGAAAAATGTGGATCTCTCTCTAGATGCAAAGGTCCAAGCTTGTCATTCAGTAGTATTTGTGGGAGAGCCCATAGATGGGCTTAGTCCCAGGCATGGAGGGAATGCTGTGCCCTTGACTTAGAGGAGGGGGGTGGTCTTATCTGGTGCAATTGGCAAACTCTGCTGCAAAGAAGTGTCTATTGGCTTTATAACTCATTCTTTCCCTTCTTCCATGTCACTTCAGTAGAAAACTTCTGTGTTTGTAGGTCTCATCTTACACTTTAAAGTCTGGATCTAATGCCACCTCTTCCAGGAAGCCTCCTGTCCTATTCTTCCAATACTATCTTGGATACCTTCCCTGTATTTTGCTTCAAAAGCTACAAAAGCCCAGTTACATCTATCACAATCCATCTGTTTATATGGCGGCCTCCCATGCCTGATTGAAAATTCCTCGAGGACAGGACCATAGTCTGCAGCTTCTGTTTTCCTGACACATAAAGCAAAGAGCTGCATTTGAAAATCATGGAAACCAGTAATACCAGCCAACATTTTTTGACAGCTTACCATGTCATTATTCTAGACCTCACCATGCAGTAACCTGTTTCATCCTGACAATACTTGGTAAAATAGTAAAGGTTATTTCCCCCATTTTACAGATGAGGTTGCTGAAGCAGAGAGGTTAGGCATCTTATCCAGTAGGTGGGAATCCAGTTTTCTAACAGTATGGCTCTGCAGTACTGCTCGGCACCACCATCTGCTTCTTCGCGCTGTTAATCTTTAATAAAGTACACATCACTCGCAGGTGATGCCCCAGTGCCATAGGCAGCATGGGAGGGTGTCGGAAAGGATAAAATAAAAACTGGGGCTTATCAACAAGACAGGTAGATGGGGCTTGATCTTGTGACACTGAGTTAACTGGGAGACTCATGCAGTTATAGAGGCTAGTTTTGTTTAAATAATCTCTGCAGTCCTTATTTCTTTATATTCCTGAAGCAATATTACTTTATATTGATCAATGTTCTAAGAAACTTACGGTACAGGTTATAATACCACGCACACACACACACACACACGCACACACGCATGCACACACACATACATACACACAGACACTGTATATATTTCATCCAGAGGTCTCGATGGGAAGATGCTGAATGAAGACGTCCTAACAATCTTTTGGTTCATTGACCTTCGACCCTGTTTGGGCATTAGAATCCTGGAGGAGTTGGAAAAAATTCCCCATGTCCTACTCTAGAATAATCCAGTCAGAACTTCTGAGGGTGGGGCCCGGAAGGAGTATTTTTTGAAGCTTAAGGTGATTCTACTTGCGTGAAACTGTTGCTTAAAAAAATGAACTGTAGGGCCTCCCTGGTGGTGCAGAGGTTGAGCGCTGGGCTGCAAAGCTGCCCACAGCCTCTGCAGCGCCAGTTCGATCCCCGGCCACTGGGCGAGGGTCCCACATGGCACACAGACCTCTCTTGCTGTGCCCGCTGCTCCCCTCAGCAGTGTATTTCGTTGGTCTGCCTGTTCTGTTCCCCGCTCTGGCTCTGGTGAATTCTCTCACCCTCCCATGCTTCTGACTGTACCCAATGCTTGTATCAATAAATAAATATATCTTAAAAAAAAAAAAAGAACTGTAATGGTGTGAAGTCAAAGATGTTTGAGGTTTTTCTGTGACAGCGTGCCTGTTGCCTTAGATAATACAGCAGGGAAGGGTGTTGGAAGGTTCTTTCTGATTCTTTTCTCTCTGAAGGATATGGGAAAATACCTGGGACTTGGAATGGGCTAGCTCCCTGGGGAAAGAATAAATGAGCCCATACTGCATTTCCTAAATAGCTCTGGAGATGCTGCAGGGGCTATCGGAGAGGGATTTTCAGATAATTTTGAAAACTCTGCCTCTAATGTTCCTTTCTTACATATTGGCTGTGTCCATTAGCTTATTAGAGGTTCTGACAAGTTCTGCAATGAAACGTAAAGTAACAAAACCAAACAGAACAGTGCAACCTTGCTTAGAGGAGTATTTTCCAAATTCTTTAGTTCTTTCCTTTTGCAAACTAACCTAGCAACCACCTGATCTGGACTTGCATTAATCTCTCTTAGGGAAACACTCCTTTAGAATTTAGCAGGTTGAATATTCTGTTTTAAAATTGCCAGGAAGTAAAAGTCTGTGTCAGTGCCAATGGGCTCTACAGTCTAGGACCTGCTCATATACTTCATGAACTAGTTAGATTTGAAAAGATACGTGCAACTCAACTATTGTCTGAAGTTTTACTAATTAATTTTATTTCTCTTAGGCTCATTTGATTGCTGCAAACAGAGGTTCTTCAAGTTATTTCAGATTCCTGCCACCACCTCTCCCAATGTATCTGCAATCAAAAGTGCTTAGAATGAGGACTACAAGTCAAGTATTTTGGATGGCACATGGTGAGTGCTCAGTCACTCCTGGCTATTGTTATTCTAGAGTTTAAAAATGTCAACATCATATACAACAGCTACACAAATCTCTACCTAGGGTAGCTCTGAGGCCTGTCTGGATTTCCCTCATCCTGGGATGCCCCAGTTCTGCTAATCGATGTGTCCCTCTTTTGGTGGGGTGTCATGATCTTTATTGCAGTCCATATTCCTTTTGGTTATTGCAATTTCTGTCTCTATTCAAAACTGTTCTGAAATAAGAGAAGTAATCAGCAATTTTCCATGGGCAATCTGCTCTCTCCAATAAGATTCAAAATCTGAGTTCACAATTTCAAGTTGTATTAAAGATCTCCTGGGAGGAGAGATGTCTTTCTGCTCTACCTTGTGGACTTCATGCTTAATAGGTATTATCAGTGGAATCCAGTTTTTTTATACAAATAGTTTGGTGTTAGATTCACCTGGACATTCTGTTCATCTACTCCTTGGGCAGAATTCTTGGCATGTGAAATATCTTGGCCAGAGCACAAAATTCTGTACTTTCTTCTCTCCTTCATATTTTATTATAACATTGAAATAAATACTCAAACAGTTACTTGAATTATATTCCAAATATAGAAATTACTCAAAAAGGAGCCCATGTATTTAAAAAAAATCTTTCTTGTTCTGATTTTCTGAGCAAGATTGAATTTGTTTTCTTTGCTACTCTCCTTATTCTTCTTTGGGTGAGAGCGTCTTGTATTTCTTTTAGATCAAAGGACTTAAGCCAAACTGAGGCTAGTGTATAGTTTTCTATCATGTTTTGAAATGACCACTACTTAAAAGTCTTCAAGTGAAAGTCTAAATAATGTTTTATTTGTCCTGATTTATATACTTATAGAGATAGCTTTCCCAAATACTCAACTCTCTGTAGATGTAGGTCATATCTACAAGATAATTTTTTCGTAGTGTCTATCACACTGTAAATTTTACTTATTAATTAGTTAATTAAGCAAACATCTATTGAATACGAGGCACTGTCTTTGCATCGTCTTCCTCTGCCTGTTATGCTGGACCACCATTCTGATACCTGATGCTTAGCTAATGAGGGGATTACCTGTGATTCATCTTATTCACTCTTTAAAATGCTGAACTGAATTGGGTGCCATCTATTTGTTGTCAATACAGACTAACTCATCAAGGTGAAAGCTTCTCAACGACGTAAACAGATTAGGTAATTCAAGTAAAATACCACCTTCCTCAAAGTCCCCGAGTCCCTCCATGTATGATGGGTATTGGTTCAGAGGAATCATTGGCTGAATCCTTTCAAGAGTCCTGCCCCAAACCACTGACGTGAACTTGATCAAGTCTTATGGTCTCCATGATAAATGAAGGCAGGTGGATAACAGGAGATACACTCTGCTCTGCCACATTTACAGCACTGTAAAATATTTATTTGCACACTTCTTACCTAAGGGGATTTCTTCCTCTCCATTTCTTTGTGCTTTGAACATTTGGTGGTTGACTTGAATGCTGGGTACATTGTAGAGGCATATAGGTAAATTGTTTTTTCCTTCTAGTAATCAGAAATTGCTTCAATCCCTCAAAATATTTTTTTTTAATGGTTGCTCTCCACGGTGAAGTTTGGAAAGAAATTTATTTATTTATTTTTGTTTTAACCAGAAATTTTATTTTATACAAATCAGTACTTCTCAGAAATTGCTACTAAGCCAAAAGAAAATAAACAAATGCTGCTGTTTTCTTAAAGAATTAAGAAATGGATAAAATAATAACATACATAGTAATACAGTGTAACTCCGAACATCTTGAAATGTTTTCAGTTGAGTTTACTATGCATATCAAAATGACTTTTGAAAAGAAAACATGGAAACATTTTAGGATTTTGAGGAAAAGAAAGGGTTAAGCTCAGGTTGACTGACAGGGGATATTCAAACTATTTCATCAGCAGAGAGCAGGCAGCCATCATATGAAACAATCACTCATTTAGATAAAACATGGCTACTTCATATATTTCTTTCTTTTTAAAAAAGATTTATTTATTTATGCATACATGAAGTGGGGTACAGGCCAGAGGTGTGGGGGGTGAGAGGATTCACCAAAGACAGAGTGGGGAACAGAACAGGCAGACTGACTGAAACACACTGTTGAGGGGAGCAGCGGGCAAGTCAGGAGAGGTCTGCTGCACCATGTGGGTATCTCCCCGGCTGGGGATTGAACTCACGCAGCAGTGGCTGCGGAGAGCTTCACAGGTTGCATCTTCACCCCATATATTTCATACATGTACCTTAATATGCCTGTTTGTTACTATACCTAGTTAGAAAATAGCCTAAACTTTTAATCTTCATAGAGAGACCTCCTTTTAGTCCATGGCCATTACTCACGGGCCGAGATTCCTAGGAAGGCTATTAATGTGACTCCAAGATCCCAGGGCTCAAGAGCCTGTCAGTTTTGGTTGAAATGATGTCTTTAAGCAGCATGAACACGGAGGCCAAGACAAAGCCTCTCTGCAGAGCTGC